TTAAAAATTTTAATTGTTATAAAACTAATAATATTTAAATTTTTATTTTGAAAATGTATTAAAATTTATTATTTTTTCAAAAAATGATTTGTTTTGAAGAATTTTTATTTTAAAATGTCAACAAAGAAATGATTGAGTTTAGAAATGATTAGTTGTAATTTTTAGAAATAGTTAAATTTCATTAAAAATATTTTCATTCTTGAGAAAAAATAAATAAGTATTTAAATGGTTATTTAATAAAAATTATTGTTCAAGTTTTGAATGTAATTTAATTCAGAAATTATGAAAAAATTACAGTTTTCTTTGAAAAATTGTAATTAAAATTTTTTCAAAATAAGTAAAATAATTTAAAAAGATTATTTTCTAATTATTTAGAAATGTTGTCAAATTTAATTGAATTAAATTATCTAATTAATATTAATTAAAATTAAAATATTTTTGAGGAATTTTATAGTAAAATTTGGAAAATAATTGAATTTTGCAGAAATTTGGAATTGAAGCAGGAATTTTAATTTTAATTATTAGTCGGATTAGAAAAAAGTACGTAAATATTTTTTTATGAAAATTAGGAAAAAGTCAGAATCAAATTTTTGTGAATCGTCTAAGACGATTTTTTTAGTCGTAAAATTTTTCAATAGCTACTTTTTTTACTACTTTTTTCAGTTTTCGAGCTACTTTTTTCTACTTTTTTAATAATAATTATCAAGTGCAAAGCCTGCATTTGTTATTACTTTTTTATTATTTTACTTCTACTAACAATAATAATTATTAGTATTTACTATTTTTTATTCATTTATTTATTTTTATATTTTATTTATTTTAATTTATATCACAGCCTTTTTTTCTTTTTCAGACAAAATTACATTTTTCTAAAAAGTATTTTATGTACTTTTCCAATTTTTATTATTATTATTATTATTATTATTATTATTTGTTATTACTTTTTTTATTATTTTTACTAGTAATAAAATTATTAGTATTTACTATTTTTTACTTATTTGTTTATATTTTTATTTACATCAGAGACAGTTATGTTTTTAGTTTCTTTTTTTTTCTTATTGTTATTTCACTTATTTTACTCAACTTTAATTAATTATATTTATAATATATTCCCAAAAAATGAATCCCTTCTAAAAATTCGTAATTTTGTCTTTACTTTTAGTTTTTGCCTTGGTTTACTTTTATTGTTTGTTTTTACTTTTATTGTTTGCTATTATTTTTATTTTTTGTTATTACTTTTATTTTTTATTACTTTTATTTTTTGTTATTACTTTTATTTTTAAGTTATTACTTTTATTTTTATGTTATTACTTTTATATAATTGTCAAATTAATTTTTTTCCTTTTTTTTCTAATTTCAGAAAGTGTAAATTAATAAGTAGAAAAAAAAAATAATGAAATTGAGTTTGATCGAAAATTTAATAGAAAGTATCAATTTAATTAAATACATTAAATATTTGATTGCGTTTGATTCTAATTATATGAAAATTGAATGGTTTGTGTTTAGCGGGTGGTTTCAAAAAAAAGTAATTTTTTTCATTTATTACGAAAAAGCTTCCTTTACTTTACAGGTATATAAATATAAAGAAAAAAGACAAAGACCGGATGAATTGCGTAATTTATAAATGATTATCTGTCTAATTATCTATGTACTATCTTCTCTGCTCTTTCACTTTTATTCCCGATATGAAAAGTTTCAATATATATAGTAACATTTTTTTTTCTCTTTCATTTTTTTTCAAGAACTTTTTAAATTTTTACTCTTATTTATCAATTATTTTTTTTAGTCTTGTTCTCATCAAAAAATACCTTTTCAATTTTTTTAATATAAAAAATCTTTTTAATTTTTTTAATAAAAAATCTTTTCAATTTTTTTAATAAAAAATCTTTTCATTTTTTTTAATAAAAAATATTTTCAATATATTTATTACAATTAAATAAATTAAATTAATTAAAATTGGTTTTAAACAGATTATTTGGTTTTATAAAACAGTGATGTTTATTTATTTGTAATTTTTTTTTTTTTTTTGCAGATTGTTGCAGAACAATGTAAGCGTGTTGATTATTGCTGGGAAGTCGAGCTTATAATGTGCCATCGTTAATAAAATCTAGTAGAAAAAACACTATGGAAAGTGCTGCGCAGATGCAATCTTGTAATAAACGTCGCGTGGGTAGTTTAATATTACGTTACTTGTTTGTCAAGTAGTTCAATTCAAATTTTTAATTAATTTTTCCATTCTACTTCTCTCGTTTAATCCCTTTTCTCCATTACACGTAAATATTTTCATTCTATTCTTTTCTCTGATTTTTTATTCATTTTCTTTTATTTTCTTTCTTATTTTTCACTTTTTTATTTATTTTTATTTAATTTTATTTATTTTTATTTATTTTCCTTTATTTTCTTTTATTTTTCTTTATTTTCTTTTATTTTCCTTTATTTTCCTTTATTTTCTTTTTTCATTTATTTTTTTTTTCTATTATTTTCATTCTTATTTTTTTTGTCTAATTGTTTTCGTTTTATTTATTTCTATTTAATTTTTATTAAGTTAATAATTTTCCAACGTTTTCTATTTTAGATGAGTCACGAAAGGATAGCGAGGAAAAAAAGGAAAAGAGAAAAAAAAACGATATAGCACGTGTGTAATATGGAACTCTACATAACGTGATAAAAGAGCGCGGAAGACTTTCGCCGCTGTCGATTAGAAACTTCGTTTTCATTTGTAATAATGACGGTTAAATCGACGAAGACAGCGTTCGCTTTTCTCGGCGGAGCAATTTTTTTTTTTTTTATAAACAACCTTTTATTTTCAATTTTATTTTTAATTTTTTTTTTATTATTCCGAAAGGGATGAGTCACGTGCAATCCAAAAAGAGGCGCGCAAGATGAAAAATAAAACAAGGAGAAAAGGAAAAGGAAGGAAAAAAAACGAGAAATAAGAGACCAAGGTCGACGATATTGCCAACTAAGGACACTGAGCAAGGACTCTCTTGTTTTATCTTGTCTCAATTTTCATTTCACCAGAAATCATGAAGTTTCCTGGTGTCACTTTTATTTGCTTTATTTACGCACATTCTGATCATGAATTGGACATCAATCCTCGAAATAGAAAATGATTTGTTTTGCCAAGTCAGGAAGGAATAAACGCCTCACGCGTTTTCTTCGTGCAATATATTTTGAAAAATGAAAATGACTCTAAGGTCGATTAACTATAGAGGAAAAAGGTATTTTTATTTTTAGCTTACATTGAGTGAAAAATTTTACGATTTGAAATTTTCACGAAAAATGCGCCACAATTTTTATTTCGGTATTTTTTATATGGAAGAATTTTCTTTTGTCGAATAGTATTTCAAGTTTTATAGAGTATTTTTTTCTTTTTCTTTGTTATCTCTAAACTTAATTTTCTTTCGATTTTTTTCACTCTTTCTTTTTCTTTCTCTTTTCATTTCTTTTTCCTTTTCTTTTCTTTTTATTTCTTTTTTAATTTTTCTTCTCTTTTATTTTTTTTCTCCTTTTTGAGTTCACAGGCAATCAGATCATTGTCATTACGAAATGTTGAATTAATTTCAAAACCTCTTTATCATTGCACCAATCGAATTTGCTTGAGAATTGAGATCATTCAGTGACATATCAATGATCTAATTGCCAAATTGATCTGTCATCTCATTTTATTTGGAGGAAATTAAACTTAATTAGTATAAATAATTCGCTTTTTGTAATCATAATAATGAAGGGGTTCATTTTTCGAATATTCTTTCTCTCAAAAAAAGAGCCGAGTATTTGAAAAGAAAGAAGAAAGAATTTTTTTTTATTGAAAGAAAAAGATAAGATTTTTTGTCTCATTGACATTGTATCGAGGAAGCGGAAAGATTCGTCAGAAACCTATTTTTGATTGCAGATTTTATCTTATCGTATAAAATTTTTCATTTCTAAGACAATGACAAAAGTGCGCTTTTTTCGATTAATTTCTAATCGTAACAATTTTTAGTAATTAATCAAAAAAAAAAATTTTTTAATTTTTAATTAACTTTAATTTAAAAATTAAGCATTAAAAAAAAAATTTTTTTTTAGTTTTCAATTAACTTTATTTTAATTAAAAGTTAAACAAATAAAAAAATTTTTTTTTATTTCTTTAATTAAACTTAATTAAAAATTAAGCAAAAAAAAATTTTTTTATTTTTTAATAATTAACTTTACTTAATTAAAAATTAAGTAAATAAAAAAAATTAATAAAGAACGAAAAAATTAAGGAAATAAAGAAAAATCTCCACTTTTAAATAATATATTTGATTTTAATTAATTTTTGATTATTAAATAATTAATTAGATTTGGAATGTTATTTATTTTCTAAATTTGATAATTTTTCTATATTATTAGTAATTATTTTAATTAGTCTTTGTAATTCATTCAAATTAATATTTATTACACAATTGTTTGAAATTTATTTTTTGTATTTTCTATTTTACAGGTAAAAAAATAAGGAAGTTTTTAATTTTTTCTCCCTAAAGTTACTAAGTCAATCTTTCGACTCAATTTGTTCTTACTAAAATCTACAAAACTCGGGAAAAAAGTCGAATGCTTTTTGAAAAAAGGAATTAATCGAAAAAAAATTAAAAAAAGGAAAATCGAATAATTTTCGAAGACAAAGGTAAGAAAATCCTGATTATGAAAAATTTGTATTTTAAAAATAGAACAAAAGTACAAACTACAATTAAAATAACAAAAAAAGTAAAAGAAAATTGGTTCGTGAATTTAAATTAAATTTAAAAGATAAATAATGTTTAAATAAATTAAATTATAAGTTAAAAATTAACACTTATTTATTAAAAAAAAAAAAAACAATGACTAATATTCCTATTTTTCTTTGCAGGAACTCGAAAGTAATTTCTCCGGATCATGTGAATAGGAAACGAAAAACTGTCATCAATAGAATTGGATGATTGGTTTAATTTTTGACGATTAGAGGAATGAATTATCATGATGATCGTCGTCGAAACTCTTACCTAAGTCGCAATTATCCTGTGCCTGTTCACATCGCGAAACAACCCTGATAATTGCCCGGCCAGCCAATTGAACACAAACTGCCATCGCGACGTTCCTCTCCCCCTGTTCCTGGGAGATTTGTTGCACTTCCTCGGCATTATACGCTGGTGGTTTCATCTTATGTTATTTCCCCTCTTAATTTTCCTCCTCGTCACGGATCAGAGATTCAAAAAAAAAAACTCTCAAAGAAAGTGTGTCTTTCTCTCTCTCTCTCTCTCTCTCTGGATTCACAATAATTTGTGCCGCAGCGAATTATTTCCGTTCGTTGATGATGATATATTTCAGGTAACAAAAAAGATTTGTTTTTAAACACCAAAAAAACACAATTCAGTATCACACACAGTAATTCCTTTTTTTAATTAGTGGATTATTGAACTTTATCGATATTTATTATTATTCCTTGATATTTTTTTTAAATATTTGGTTTTGTTAGCACAATTTTAATTTCAACGTTCATTAATATTTTTACTTAGTTTTTTTTTTAAACTAGTTTTGTTAATATTTTTATTCTGTTACAACTTTATTCTTATTATTTATTTTCTATTTATTTTCTTTATTATTTATTTTTTTTGTTACTGTTTCCCTTCTGCAGATTTTTTATTAGAAAATTTTTAACTATGCTAATAATTTTTTTTTTTTTTTGCTTTTTCTTGTTTTAGAACCGAAAGGCTCCTTCGGAATCAACTTAAAATGAATTAAAGGATCCGTAGCTAGCCAAAAGCGGTTTCTTTTTTTTTTAATTTGATTGGGAAGGCAACCGAAACCTTTCGCGGAGACGTTGCCTTGCACTGATGAGTTTCAATATGTTCGGTGCTATTTAAGCCCTCGCACTCGCTCCCACCAGGAGATCAGCTGACTTGATCCCTTCTCTCTTACTCTTTGTTTGAAAACAACTGTAGTCTACGGTGACCACGTGGAGATCGCGAGATACAACCTGTCAATTCATAATTTTTACTGATTTTTTCCGAAAATCTCTATTGTCCCATGAAACAAACGATTGGCAAGTGTTCAAAATTGTTTTTTTGGTTTCTTATTGTTCACTCAAATTTTAAGGGTGAAAATTTATTAATTTTGGGTAATTGAGAAGAAGAATTAAATTAAAATATGGGCTGTTGATAAAAAAAATTACAGAAAAAATAAATTTTAGTTATTTTGTAATAAAAAGGCGGGTTTTTTTACTGATCGGACCTTTTTATTAAGAAATAATTAAAAAAACGGTTTTAAAAAAATTAATTTAGTAAATTTTACTAAATTTACCAAAATTTAATAGAAAAATTCTATAGAAAGTAATTCAAAATAAGAATTAAAATCTTCAAAATTGATAAGATTATTTTTTTTCTTGCTATTTTTTTCAAAATATTTTTTTAAATTGAATATATTATTTTAAAAAATTTTGAGGAGTTTTTTTTTTTCTTTTGTCAAAAAATATTTATTCTCCAATCTAAATAGAATTGTCTCATTCTTTTTTTTTCATGCTTCTATTTTAATTTCAGCATATTGGGATTTCCTGCTTGTCATCAATTCATAGTGGCCAAACGTATTTTACTTTGTGTAACTCAATTTTCTCGGCAAAGTGCCTACTGCGACAACTTGATTTTCAGTTACTTATTCGTCAAGTTTCCATATAAATAATGAATCAAGGTAAATATTCCATTTCATTAATACAGTTGTTTATAATATATTTCCCCTCTTTTTTTGTTTTTTTCAATTTCTTTATTTTTATTTATTTTTTTTTTAATTTTCGTATAAATTTTAACACAAATTTAATTATTTTCAAAAATTCTTCGAAACAATTGAATTATTTTTATAAATTGTAAAATTCTTCCAAAAAATTAAATTATTTTTATAAATTGTAATAAAATTTTTCTAAAAAATTCAATTATTCTCAAAAGTTTTTTTTTATAAAATTAAAATAAGTATATAATTAATTTTTTTTGCAGGAAGAATATTTAGAGAAGAAATCGTCTGGAGTGTTTTGGCAAAATTGCCAAAAAATTTCTCATCCGGACAAAGAAAATGTTGAGGCACATCGAGAGTTTGCTTTGAGGTCGGAAGAAGAATCGTCAAGTGAAGATATATGCACGATATTTAAGAATAAAAAAAGAAAAGGAAAAAAATGTCCACTCGCCTCGAAAATTTTCCGAACGAACAAGGAAAGTCTTTGACCTTTTTCCCTCTATTTTTTCAAGTAAGTTTTCATTTTTCAGATTTTACTTTCCATATATAATAATCGAAACAAAAAAAATATATATATATTTTCACCAAAAGGAAAATATTTTGAAAATTAGAATTTTTTGGCTGATGAAATTCTTTGAGTTTATTAAATTAGTAACAATTTATATTTTCCAAAAATAAATAATTTATTTTAAATAGGTATTTAAAATTCTTTTGACGAATTTCAATAAAAGTTTTAAGAATAATTTTATTTTTCGAGAAATTAGATTAAAATGGAATTAAAAATAATTGAATCTCTGTAAAAAATTTGATTGAATTAAGAAAAGTTTTTAAACATAATTGAAATTTTGCCAAGAATTTTATCAAAATTTTTGAAAATAATTAAATTTCGGAGAAGAATTTTATTATTTATAAAGATAATTGAAATTTTAACGATAATTTTGTTTAACTTTTGACAATAATTGAATTTCTGCGAAGAATTTTTATTACTTTTGAAAATAATTGAATTCTTGAGACGAATTTTATTTATTTTTTTTTAAATAATTGAATTCTCGTGAAAAATTTTATTATTTGGGAAAATAATTGAATAGGTAATTATGAAGAATAAAGAAAGAATTTAGCAAATTTTTCAAAAAATAATTTAATTTCTGAGAAGAATTTTATTATTTATGAAAATAATTGAATTCTTGCGAATAATTTTATTTAATTTTTTTTTTTTATAATTGAATTCTTGCGAAGAATTTTATTTGTATTTTTTTTGAATAATTGAATTTCCGTGAAAAGCTTTGTTATTTGGAAAAATAATTCAATAATTGTGAAAAATTAAAGAAAGAATTTTGCCATTTTTTGCCAAGAATTTTACTAAAATTTTTGAAAATAATTGAATTTTTCAGAAAAATCTTATTATTTATAAAGATAATTGAAATTTTAACGACAATTTTTTTTTTAACTTTTGACCATAATTGAATTTCGGGGAAGAATTTTATTATTTTTGAAAATAATTGAATTCTTTAGACGAATTTTTTAATAATATTTCTTTTTAAATATCTAATTAAAATCTTTTGTGAAATTTTATTGAAATAACTTAATTCTTTCAAGAAATTGAATTTCTTTGATGAATTTTAATAAAATTTTTAAGAATAATTACATTTTTCGAGAAATTCCATTAAAATTGTATTAAAAATAATTGAAATTCTGCGATGAGTTTTGTTATTTATGAAAATAATTGAATTCTTGCGAATAATTAAAAAAAAAATTTTTAATAATTGAATTCTTGTGAAAAATTTTATTATTTAGGAAAATAATTGAATTCTTCTGTCTTAAAGATTAAATTTATTAATTTTTTTAAAAAATAATTGAATTCTTGAGAATAATTTTATTTAATTTTTTTTAATAATAGAATTCTTGTGGAAAATTTTATTATTAGGGAAAATAATTGAATTCTTCTGAATTAAAGAAAGAATTCAAGAATTTATTAATTTTTTAAAAATGAATTGAATTTCTGAGAAGAATTTTATTATTTATGAAAATAATTAAATTTTTGCTAAGAATTTTATTTAATTTTTTTTTAAATTACTAAATTCTCGTGAACAATTTTATTATTTGGGAAAATAATTGAATTCTTGTTATGAAATTTTATTAAAATTTTTAAAAGTCGGTAATTGAATTGTTGAGAAGCATTTTATTATTTATACGCGAAAATAATTGTATTTTAAAATTGAATTAATTTTGAAATATTTAAGAAAGTCAATTAATAATTTATATTAATTAAACAATTATTGAAAAAGGTAATAAATTAATAATAAATTCTTCACTAATTAATGATTAATTTAATTATTATCAGTAATATTGATTCGTTAATATAAATTTATCAGATTAGTTTACTTATTTATAGTAAGTAATGATTAATTAATTTATTTATTTATAGTAATTAATGATTAATTAATTTATTTATTTTTAGTAATTAATGATTAATTCATTTATTTTTAGTAATTAATGTCTAATTTATTTATTTTTAGTAATTAATTATTAATTTATTTATTTTCTAGTAATATTAATGATTAAAACTAAGTAATAATTAATTTAATAATTCATATTTCGCAGTGAGAATTAATAAAAAATTAATTTCCCGAATATTATTCTTGTGACGAAATTTTCGCATTGAATGTCGCGTGATTAATTTACTATTTAAATGATTAATTTAATAGCTCCCAGTGATATTTCTGAAAAGAAAAAATTAATCTCCAGAATTATGTATTATATTCTCGTGTCGAAATTGGTGAGATGGAAATTTTTGCTTTTTCCGGAGGGGAATAATTGGAAGTAGCGACGAAAATGTTTGGAAAGGAAGAAAAGTCAGTAGTATTAGTTGGCGGTCTTTGCTCTTTATTCCTTGTGTGTTGGCCGACCGAAGGCCCAAGAGGGATAAAATGTTTATATTCTCCGGTATGTTTGGCTCGTGGCCAAGAAATACTGCGCGTGCAATTAGCCTCCAAAAATAGAGTCGTCGACCAAAATCCCCCATGTCTTTGGTCTTCGAACGGCCTCACGACTTTTGCATCCAATTGATATATACTCAGAATGTCATTAACACTATTTTTTTTTATTTTATTTAAATCCAACATTTTTTTTTTCTCTCGATTCAAATGTGACTCGAGAAAAAGGTCAATCGTACGTCTTTTTTTTATTCACCTTCCATCTCAGTTTCTAATTTTTTCACACTTTTCCTTTTTGTATCATTTAATTTTTTTCTTCTCTAAGTTTCTGATTTTCTGATCTTGCAATTTTCTAATTTTTCTAATTTTCGAATTTTCCAGATTTCAATATTAAAAAGTAAAAAGTATTTCTAATCAAGTAAATTGGAAAAATTTTTTTCAATACAAAACTTTGTAAATTTGCCAAGAAAATTAATGGTTTTTTTAATGAGTAATTTATTGGGGATCGAGCGAGAAATATTGGAACGAGATCAAAATAATTATTTTGACAGACTTTTTGGTTTTTGTTTGTATATAATTTTTTTTTTTTTTAATAAAAATCTGTTACAAAGAATATTATTTTCGCGTGATAAAATATAATTTCAAAGTAGAGACGTCATTTTTGATTATTTTACGTCATATTCTTTTCTTTTTTTGCACAAAAATTTCGTGGGCGGATTATTTCCGGTTTTTGTCTTCTCTTTTTTTTCTAAATCTCTTTCTCTCTCAATTTCTCGTGAAACGTGGAAATTTAGTTTGAAAAACCTTGGCTCAACTCGACGCACGAAATCAAAAGAGGGACTTTGACTTTGGTCTTTGTGTGTCTTTTTGCGTCTTGTCCGAATTTCGTTCTATTTTTTCTTTTTTTCCCACATTTCCCCAGAATTAAAAGTGTCGCGTTTATAAAAGAAAAAAATTGCGCACTTAATTTTTATTTTTGGAAGAAATTTGTTTGAAAAAGAAAAAGATTATTATCGTTTTATGAAGTTTTTATTTGCCAAAAAGCACAATTCTTTTTTTTTTACACAAAGGCGAAGAATAATAAAACTTTTATATAATTCAAGTTTCTTAAATATATAATATATTTTTTTTTTCATACGTCACGATCATTGAGTTTTGAGGCCATTTAATTGAAATATCACTATTTTAATAATTGTATATGTATATCTGAACGTTTTCTACTATTTGGACTATTATTTTTAATCTTTAGAATCTTTAATATCGATTTTTTTTCTGCCTAACATTATTAATTGATACTTACAAGTTATTAAAAATCATATAGTTTCGTTGATATAACACAGCAAAAATTGGTGTAATCTTACTTTGTACGTTTAAAGAATTTAAAAAATATTTCTACAAAATTGGTATTTAAAAAAATGGAATGTATTTGAGTAAAATTAATTATAAATAATTTATAATATTAATTACTAAAAACTAAAAGTAATAATACTCAGTAAAATAATACAATAAGTAAAAAGAAATCTAACTTTCCTCTAACTTATAATAATTGTTCCTAATTCATAAATTATTAAATAAAAAGTAAAATTCTTCACTAAATATTGTATAATTAATATAATTAATAACCAATAATTAATAATTAATAACTAATAATTAATTTAGTAAACGTGCTGCATTTAGTGAGATCTAGGAAATAATTTTTCTTTAAAGAGTATCTACGATTTTAAGTTCGTGTAACAATAAAAATAGAAATTTGTCAAAATTAACTTTATAAAAAATAGAAATTAACTATTATTTTAACGTTCAGGTAATATTTTCTTTTTAAATTGCACTCTTTCCCTAAAAATATATCTTAAATTTTTGGTGCTAAAAACGACACTATTTATATTTATTTCTAATCGTCAAAAACCGATGAGTATTATTCGATAAAATTAATTCTCTATTTTACAATTATTTTTACTCATTTAAACTTTTTAAAAAAAGTGATTCATTTAAAGATAATTTTAATGAAAATTATTATTAATTATTATCCAGGATTGCCACAGGTCAGGGAATTCAGGGAAAAGTCAGGGATTTTTATTTAAGAACTGGAAAAAATTAAATTTTCCGGATTCATAATTAGTTTTATTTTATTTTTTAATATACACTCGAATCTTGTTATAACGAATCTCGTTACAACGTTCTCTCGTTACAACGAACATTAAAACTCTCGATACAACGACAAAAAAAAACACGAACGAATTTAAGAATTTAATTTAACCAAAATTTTGGTTAACTTAAAAAAAACGACTAAGTTAATCAAACCTTAACTTTATTTAACCTAAAGAATCTAGTGATCTGATTATTATTAAAAATTTTTACTTTTTCTTTAAACTGATTCCATAATGCAGAAACTTTTAATATAAATAAACATACTTTACGAAATTTTTTACACGTATTTGACGTTTTGTTCTGTTAATCACAGATAAATTCATGTGTTTTAATAGAACGTGAAGTAGGATTCCTCCTTCCGTCGTAATATCGAGATTTTGAAGTCCCGAGATCGTCGTTATAACGAGAATCGAGTGTATATTAAATTAATTATTGAAAATCATGGATTTATAGAAGAATTTTAGTTAAAAACACTAAAAAAAAATTGTATTTTAGAGAAGTTACAAATGTTTGCAAAAATTCAATTTTGTTCAAAAAATTTTTAAAAATTCTAGTCAAAATTTCAATTATCTTTAAAAATAATAAAATTCTTCTTCAAAATTCAATTATCTTTAAAAATAATAAAATTCTTTTCCAAAATTCAATTATTTTTATAAATAATAAACATTTCATAGGAATTAAACAATTTACAAATATTTTATATAAATTTTTTCGTAATAATTCAATTATTTTCATAAATAATAAAAGTTTTTACAAAGATTTAATTATTTTCATGAATAATCAAACTTATCATAAAATTTTAATTATTTTTAATACAATTTTAACCGAATTTCTCGAAAAATGTAATTTTTCTTAAAAATTTTATTAAATTTAAAATTCGTCGAAAAAATTCGATTATTTAAAAATATGTTGATAAAATTCTTTATGAGAATTCAATTTTGAAATAAAATTCATTTATTCAATAATTTTTTCATTTTTTTATTTAAATAATTGAATTCTAGTAGAATTTTCTAATAAAAATTGATTTAAAAATGAATTTCAGTTCAAAATTAAAAATAATTTATCACTGTTCATTTATTTCTTTCGAAGAACTTTAATAAAATTTTTTAAATTAATTACATTTTTCGAAGAATTTACTTAAAATTGCATTAAAAATAATTGAAATCCTAAGAAGAATTTTATTATTTAGAAAAATTATTGAATTCTTGCAACGAATTTTTATTAAATTTTTTTTGAATTATTGAAAACACGAAAAAAAATTTAATTTTGGAAAAGTTACAAATTATTGCAGAAATCCAATTATTTCAAGAGTAATACATAATATTCTTCGCAAAAATTCAATATTGTCAAAAAAATAATCAAATTCTTCTTAGGAATTCCATTATTTTCACTAATAATAAAAATCATCGCAGAATTTCAATTTTTTAAAAAACAATTGAATTCTTGCAAAGGATTTTATTATATTTCTTTTAAATAATTGAAATCTTGGGAAGAATTTTATTATTTAGGAAAACAATTGAATTCTTGCAACGAACTTTATTAAATAACTTTTAAATAATTGAAATCCTGTGAAGAATTTTGTTATAATTAGGAAAACAATTGAATTCTTGCAATGAACTTTATTAAATTTTTTTTAAATAATTGAAATCTTGTGAAAAATTTTATTATTTATAAAAATAATTGAATTCTTTTGAGAAATTTTATTAAAATTGTAGATTTTGAACATTTTTTTTAATAATTATTTGTGTTAAAAATAATAATTTTAATAAAAATAATTGAATTCTTTTGAGCAATTTTATTAAAATTGTAGATTTTGAAAATTTTTTTTTTAATTCTTTGTATTAAAAATAATAATTTAAATCATAGGAAAAATTTTATTATTTATGATAATAATTAAATTCTTACAACAAATTTTATTAAATTTTTTTTAAATAATTTAATTTTTTTTTTTTTTTTTGAAAATTTTATAGAAATTTAAATTATTAAAAAACATGAAGATAGCGATTGATGAAAGAAAAAAAAAGTTAAAATTTTGTCTGGAAATCAGGGAAAAAGAAATTTAATTTTTTGTGGCAACCCTGTAATCAATTATTATCAATTATTATCAATTTCGCATTATTTTTCTAATTAACAATATTATCAATTAGAAAAACTGTTAAATAATTTTTTTTATGGAATTAGCTATTTTTTTTTTTAAATCGTATTTAATAAAAGTATTTTATTTATTATTTGAAAAAATATTTTTTCTTATACTTAAAAAAAACTCCTGCTATAATTAATATTTTACTAAATTGATTCTTTTAATTTTTTTTAGAATACAAAAATGGTTAACAATTTATTGTTAAAATTTATAATTCTTTGTATATTTTTATTTTCATTTGTATTTTTTAGTTTTTAATTTAATAATTCCATTTTTTTGCAATTTAATTGAAATTGAAAATTTCACTGTTTCCTTTTGAAAAAATATTTAGACAATAATTTTTCAATAATTTCAAGAATAATGAAAAAATTTCAATAAAAAACAAATTTGATGGCAAAAATTCTAAAAAAAAAAAATTGATACACGAAAGAAAAAAATGAAAATAAAAATCAAATCAGGACAATTTGATTATTAATATTGACGATTTTCATTATATAGTTTGAATTATTATAATAGGCACGAGCTCTATAACGTAATGAATCAAGTTTGCTTTGATAGAATATAGAGAAATGTGCTCCTAGTTTGATATATTTTTTTTTTGGATAACATTAAGTGTTCCTTGAAATTGGAAATTGACTTACGTAATTACAAGAGAGCTTTTGCAGGCAATTATTACACCTAGAAAAAAAATAATAATTCAATTTCCATTTACAAATTTTTGTCAATTTTAGGCCGATCAAAAGCTTCTTGCGCGTGCTGTAAACCTGTGCAATAGTGTAACAATAAAACACTTAATGCTTGAACTCTTAAATCACTTTGACCAATCAACTTGATTGAATCCGATTCGCAATTTTGTGATAATTCAACTCTTGAGGTAGTTTCCACGTCAAGTGCAGTCTTCAGTTTCGTTATCTAAAAAGAAAAGAAATTTTTTTATTAATTCACAGTGTTCAATAGAGAAAAGAGGGAAAAACAGAAAATGAATAAAATAAAAAATAAATAAAAATAAAAAAATAAAGTAAATATTTTCATTAATTCACAGTATTCAATAAACAGAGATAAAATTCTTCAAAAACATTAAATTTTTTTATAATAAAATTTTCACATGAATTGAATAAAAAAAATGAAACAAGAAAACGAGATTAAAATAGTGAATTGATTTTTAATTTCCAATATAATAAAAATCGAAAACTCACCATAGAATTGATTTTATTGATTCGTTCCTGTGGCTCGAGATATTTGTAGAGATACTGTCCAGTATCTTTGGCTTTTGTCATTAGTCCATCATCTAAATCCCCAGCGATTAATGATGAAGCGACACTTGGCTCAGCACCTTCTAATAGTTCAGGATTTATTCCCAATCCACCGGCGAGTGAATTCTAAATTGTTCAATTTTTATCATATATGTATTTAAAAATTTTTTCCTCTCTCCTTCTCTCTTATTTTTCTCAATCCATTCACATTAGATCTCAAAATCCTAAGATCATATTCACGAAAATTATTTCACCAAAAAACGAAATGAAAAATAAAAACTATTCACTATTTGTTGCACATGTCAAAAAAGCCACACAAAAAATGCATTGCTTTTGTTTTTCACTATTAATTTTTTTGTTTTTGAGAAAGCGGTGTAAGCGTCAAATGCGTCAAAGAATCCACAAAAAAGCAGTCCCAAGATTTTTTGTTGTTGTATATTTTTTAAAATATTCGCAAAATGCTGCGAGCATCCTTTTTCATTTTTTTTTTTTTTTAATAATAAAATTCATCCCGTGATAAAGCCAAATTTCATAAGCAGCCTCTATACTAAAATTGAATAAAAAAAAAAACAATTGAAAAATCAAAATATGCCAAAGAAATTATTTAATTACTAATTACTAAGTATAAAAAAATTATTTAACTAATTTGCTACCAAATTTTTGTTCATAAAAATGCAATCAATTGGATGAAATTATTTTAAATTATTTAAAATTTTGAATAATTAAATAATGAAGTAATTAAATTTCAAATTATCTAATTAATTAATTTTGATTTTGCTTAATTAAATAATTTGAAAATAATTTCTTTTTCTACTGAATAAAAAAATTACTCAAAATTTTCTAGTAATTAAGTTTTTTGTTTTCTAATAGAATAAAAAAGTAAAATTTTTTAGAAAATCAATTTTTTTCTTTTTAATTCTAAATAATAAAAAAGCAAAAAATATTTTTCTACTTTATAATTAATAATTGAGTAAAACATATTTTTCTAATTATAATTGATTAAAAAATAGTTTTCTGTTAATTAATAATCGAGCTAAAACTTTTCTATTAATTAATAATTGAGCAGAAAATATTTTTCTATTAATAATTGAGTAAGAAATATTTTTCTATTAATAATTGAGTAAAACATATTTTTCTAATTATAATTGATTAAAAAATAATTTTCTATTAATTAATAATCGAGCTAAAAATTTTCTATTAATTAATAATTGAGTAAAAAACATTTTTCTATTAATAATTGAGTGAAATATATTTTTCTATGAATAATCGAGTAAAAACTATTTTTCTACTAATAATTAATTAAAAAATATTTTTTTATAAATAATAATAGTGTTGTAAATATGTTTCTGTCAATTAATAATTGTTTAATTATAAATTAATAATTAAGTAGAAAAAAATCCTTCTATAATAATAGAAAAGTAAAAATCGATTATTTTTCCAAAAAAGAAAAGTTCAACAATCGAGTAATAAATAATTTAATAAAAAATATTTGAAAAGAAAAAATTGTTAGTAAAGCTCATTCTTCATGCTCGATGCACAGAAAAAAAGCATTTTAATTAAGGAAAAAGAGAGAAATACGCCAAGATATTAATTAAAAATTAGGAATGTATTAATATTTTTCTTAAATTTGCAAAATTGATTCGTAATATCGAGAAAAAATTCAATTTAAAAGAGAAAAAAAAATTTGAAAATATTAATAAGATTAAAAATAATTGTACAAAAATTAGAGAAGAAAAAAAAATTACAAAATAGATGTTTTGGAATAAAAAAAAAATTTGAAATACAATTACAATATCTTTTTAATTGTTTTCAGCTCCATTCTTTTTTTGTTTTTTTTTTGGCAAAAATCTTGGCTGCTTTCTCTTCAGAGGAAGCAAAAGTGTAACCATCGATCTACCTTGCGGGATGCGCAGGGACTTTGGGGAAGACTTCTAGATGCCAAACCAGTACCAGCGCTCGGTGGGGCCAAACAACTAGTACTCCCGGCCTTCTTTAAGCCCAACAGTGTGTTTGCTATGCTGGCCTTCATAGCCATCATAGGCGCCTAATCAAGTCACCAACGTAATCAATTTTTCTTTTCCACTCTTTCATTCTCTTTGTTTTTTAATATTAATAATAATAATAATTAATCCCTTAAATACAAATATACTTTCAATTATTTCATTTCAAGAGGATTGAACGAAAGCCGAAACAAGACGAGAAAAAAAAACCAATAACCCTCCCAAGAATGAAAAAAGAAATTTTTTTAGAAAGGAAAATTTTTTTGTTAAAAAATATCAAAATTCAATAGGAAATTATTATTATCATCTGTACTAATTATAACACCAAAGATTAAAAAGAAATTAAAGTTTTGAATAATAAAATTCGAATTTTTTTCTATTCTTCTTTTATTTTTTTATAAATTAATTTTCATTGATTATGAATATTCTAAAAAACGGAGCAATTTGTATTTGAAATAAAAAAAAATTTCGATTTCCATTCCTGGAAGAAAACGAATTTCATTCGTATAGAAAATACTAAAAAGTCAAAATTAAAAATACATTTTACTTTTTTGTGTACTTTAAAGAAATTCGATCCTCTTGGTCATTAGTTAAAAAAGAAAAAAATGAAAAAAAAACAGTAATATAAAAATAAAAAAGAAATAATATTGATAATAATACAATAATAGTAAAACAAAAATAATAATGTAATAAGAGAGAAAAGTAAAAAATAATAAAAAAATAGAAAAAATAATTAATTATTCTATGAATTATTTATTTTTGTATTTAAACAATTGAATTCCGATAAGAATTGATTTAAAAAAGAATTTTAGTTAAAACTTTAGAAGATAATTAGAATTTATTTAGAATTTGTTTAGAAATAATTAGGATTCTTTAGAAATAATTAAGTTTCAAAAAGTTTTTAAATTTCAATCTTTGAAATTCTAAATGCTGTAAAAGTATCATTTAATATTTAAATATAAAAAAATTATTAATTTGTTAGCTTCCTTAAAAATTCAAAGTTTTGAATAATATTATTCAAAGTTTCTAGAAAAATAATTGAATTTTGGAAGAATTGCAGTACAAATTTTTATAAAAAAATTTTCCCATGATTTTACATTGAAAGTATTTCGTAATTTTAAGCCAATAAAAAACAATATGTATTTAAATATTTATTTATTTAAATTTAAAAGATTTAATTTGGAAATTCTGAAAAAAATTAGCTTTTTAAAAAAAGTAATTAAAATTTTTTGAAGATATACTTGAATTCCCAAAAATAATTTAGAAAAATTAAAACAATTGGAAATTTTGTTATATTTTGTATTTTAAAGAATTTTTTTTTCATCTTCAAAATTATCTATTAATACAATTGTTCTTTTTGAAAAAACATTTTTTTTTTTTGAATTTACAAAAAATATTCTATTTAAATAATTCAATTCTCGTCGTTGAATTTTGATATAGGAATTGATTTTAAAAAATTACAGTTTTAATTTTAGAAAATAATTGAATATTTAAAATGTTATAAGAAACTTTAGGAATTAATTAGACTTTAAAAAGTTTTAAAATTAAATTCCTTGAAAATTTAAGGAAAGCAAAAGTATAAAAATATTTAAATTTTTATTTTAAAAAATTATTAATTGCATGTATTATTTTTCTTTAAAAATTCTTAAAGTTTTTCAATAATTTTTTTCAAAAATTCTAAAAAAAAATAATTGAATTTTGAAAGAATTATAGTTGTAATTTTTAGAAATAATTAAATTTCATGAGGTTTTCTTATTGAAATTTTAATTTCTGTGGAAAAATAAATAAGAACAAGTTTGTAATTTTTTGTTTAACAAAAAGTTTTGAATAACGTAATTTAGAAATTCCGCAAAAAAATAAATTTTATTTGTTTACTTTTAAAAACTATTTTGAAATATTAATCGTATTTTTTAAGAATTCTAATTAAAAATTAGGAAAATAATTGAATTTTAAAAGAATTTAGAAGAAACTTATTATTTAATCAAAAATATTCAAGTTGTTGTTAGAAATATCTTGAATAATTAAATTTAATAAAAAACTGTTAGAAAAGTTATATTTTTTAAAAAATGAAGAATTTTTATTAAATTTTAAAAATCAAAATTTCACGCGCGCGTTTAGTTTTGCTAGTAAAAAATAATAAAAGAAAAATAAAATAAAAAAAATAAATAAATAAATAAAAAGAATATAAAAATAGTAGAATAAAAATAATAAAATAAGAATAGTAAAATAAAAACAATAACGAAAAATAATTTAAATGGAAAAATTACACAATATTAATATTAATTTGCTAATGCTAATAATAATATAATACTAATTATAATATTGACGTAACTAAAATAGATTAGGATAAAGGTGCAAGCCTGAAAAGAAACCTTCACCTTCACGAGTGCAAGTGATGATATTTTATTGTCAACAGTATAGTAAATCATGCTTAACAATTTGTATAGATTCACGTGACACCGAGTGTAAAAATCGAGAACCCGTGTAAGAAAAGTGCAAAGATTGTTATTTATTTATTTTTTTATTTCACACACGAGCCTCGTACTTTCACTTTTTTAATTAATAGTATTCAAATTCATTAAAACTGATTTTTTTCCATAATAAATACGGTTATGAAAACATTTTATATCCACTCTTTAGTAATTCCATATATTTTTTACTCGAGTTTTAAAGCTTTTAAAAAATTGCTTTACTTTTATAACATTCAACATCATAAAAAGACTTTTTTTTCTTCATAGAATAGAATTTATTTATTTAATTTATATTAAAATATAAATTTTTCTTTCATACTTTTAATTTATTTTTCAATTATTTTGAAGTTGTCTTATATTTTATTAATAAATATATTAATTTTATAAATTATTTATTTTATAGATTGAATTATATAATAAATTAACTACAATATTCTATATTATAAATTATAATATTCTATTATAAATTTAACTGTAATATTTTATTACTTATTACAAATTAACTATAATATTATATTATAAATATTTAATTTCCTAGAAAGTTGATTAATGTAAATAATTATAAATTACAAAATATAATTCACGTGTGTAAATTTTTTTCTGTAATATATAAAAAGAACATTTTTGAAAATATATTTCTTTGGAAAATATCAATAAATAAACGTGGATATGAAATTTGATAGTAATAGGAAGTTATCATCTTTCAGCCTCTTAAAATGTAAAATTTAAAAATATTGACTAGAATTCTTCTTTTGGTTTCTTTTCCCTTACTTTTGTACAAAATTTACAATTTATTACTATTTTTTTTCTTCCTTCTTCTTCTTTTTTTTCTTTGCGATTTGTAAATGTGTATCAATTCGCGACATTTTTGATTATAAATTAAAAAAAAAAAGAAAAGAAAATATTTTTGCTTTTCCTCAAATCGAGAAACTAGAATATCAAATTATATGGTACTATAGCAATTATTATTATTAATTGTAATAATAATAATAATAATAAAAATACGGCGATTGTAGTTTACTAATAGTATTGTAAAATACTTTGCTACGTGCCGAATACCTGAACATTTTCTTCGCAACCTGTAAGAGATATTTCTGGTCCCGTCTCTCCGCTAATGATGTTCGTTTCACTTTCGTCAGCTTCAAATGCCGCGAGACTTTCAGCACCGCATGGTCCTGCCGCAAGACAACGGGACTCACACTTTTTGTGACACACTAAACCGCAATCGCGGCATTGAACCGCGTCCTTTAACCAAATCTGAAATTTTTCCAAAAGTAAGAAAATTTTGGACTTTTTTGAGAAAATTGAACAAAAAAGTTGTAACTTTTTTTGTAATAATGAATAAATTATTGACTAATAATAATAATCAATGATTGTTAACTATAATTATAAGTATTCATTATATTAATGATAATTACTATTAATTATTCTTTTCAATTATGATTCTTATCACTAAAAAGAAAATAATTCGATTTCCCTTTTGGTGATAATAATCAAAAGGATTTTTTCTTAGAATATTACTGATTTACAGGAAAAAAAAAAATAAAATTAATGAGTAATTGTAATTATAGTATTACCTTTTTTGTACAAAAATCACAATGAGTGGCGCGATGAAAATGTGTTCGGATAAAATCATGCTTCTTAATTACATGCTCTTCATTGGCAACTGCTTGCGATTTGGCCATCTCCCCGGATCCTTTCTTTATACTATCGTCAGTGGATTGTTTCTGTGAATTTGTCGACATCCAACCATATGACAATAAAATATCTCCATAACACAGCGTTGGATCAAATCCCGAATATCCTTGAAGCTTCGAGTACACCGTATTTGTAGCAGTTGCTAAAAATAAATAAATTAAATTTATTTATTTATTTATTTAAGTTTGGACTGACAAACTTAAAACAATTCATTGTTGTCAATTAGAAAATAATTTTTCCAAATTTTAATAAAATTCTTCGAAAAAATTGAATTATTTTTTAATATTTTTATTAAAATCTTTATAAATAAGAATTCAATTACTTTTAATACAATTTTAATAAAATTATTCGAAAAAATTGAATTCCCTATTTTCTAAAATTATTTTTAAATTCTTCTCAGTAATTTCATAATTTTCATACAATAAACTATTTTTATAAAATTTTTTATAAGAATTGAATTATCTATTTTTAAAAAATTGTAATAAAATTCAATTATTTTTAAAAATGTTAACAAATTAACAAATTCTTCGAAAAAATTCAATTAATTTCGAATATTTTGTTAAAATTCTTTGTAAGAATTTAATTATTTTCCCTACAATTTCAACAAAAAAAAATTTAATTATTTCAGTTTCAAAATTTACGAGTTTTAATTGTAAACAATTTTGTTGAATTAATTTTTCTTATAATTTTTTATTAAATTTAATCAAAAAATTCGAAAATAATTTAATTCCTTTGAAAAATTTTTGAAAATCCTAATTAAATTATTTTTGAATAATTTCTTTGAATTTTTTTAAAATAATAGAATTTTTTTAATAATTTTAATTGAAAATTCGTAAGTAATTGAATTCTATGAAGAATTTATTTCAAGTTTTTCAAATAATCATGTTTGTTAACAATTAAAATTAAATTCTTCTCCGAATTTCATTGTAATTTATAAAATATGTGATTGGATTCGTTCAAAGAATTTTATTAAAATGTATTGAAAATAATTGAATTCTTCCGAAGAATAGACACAATTAAAAATTTGACAATAATTGAATTCCTTCAAAAAATTTCTCTAATTTTTCGAATAGATGATCGATTTTGTTGATAATTATAATAAAAAAATCGAATTGCTTTGAATTTTCTTAAAATTGTATTGAAAATAATTAAATTCCTGATAAGAATTTTAATAATTTATAAAAAATAATTTAATTCTTGTGGAGAATATTACTATTTATAGAAATAATTGAATAGTTTCGAAGAATTTATTTAAAAATTATAGAAAATAATTGAAATTCTGCGAGGAGTTTTATTATTTATAAAAATAATTGAATTATTGCAAAGAATTTTATAAAAAAATTTTAAATAATTTGTTTGCAAAAAATGTATGTCAATTCTTTTTTTAATTGAATGTTGGAGTAGAATTTTATTAAAATTTTTGAAAATAATTTTGAATTTTAGCGAAGAATATTATTATTTTTCAAAATATTTGAATTCTTGTGATGAATATTGTTATATATGAAATTAATTAAATTTTGCAATAGTTTTATTTAAATTCCTGAATACAATCGAAATTTTGAGAATTTGAAAAAAAAATTATGAAAATAATTGAATTTCGACGAAGAATATTATTATTTTTGAAAATATTTGAATTCTTGTGATGAATATTGTTATTTATGAAAATAATTAAATTTTGTAATAATTTTATTAAAATTCCTGAATATAATTGAAATTTTGAGAATTTGAAAAAATTTTGAAAATAATTGAATTTCGGCAAAGAATTTTATTATTTTTGAATTTTCATGATGAATATTGTTATTTATGAAATTATTGAATTTTGTAATAATTTTATTAAAATTCCTGAATATAATTGAAATTTTGAGAATTTGAAAATAAATTTTGAAAATAATTGAATTTCGGCGAAGAATTTTATTATTTTTAAATTTTTGTGATGAATATTGTTATTTCTGAAATTATTGAATTTTGTAATAATTTTATTAAAATTCCTAAATATAATTGAAATTTTGAGAATTTAAAAAAATTTCTGGAAATAATTGAATTATTGCGAAGAATTTTATTATTTTTTAAAATATTTGAATTTTTGTGATGAATATTGTTATATATGAAATTATTGAATTTTGCAATAGTTTTATTACAATTCCTGAATATAATTGAAATTTTGAGAATTTGAAAACAAAATTTTGAAAATAATTGAATTTCGGCGAAGAATTTTATAATTTTTGAAAATATTTGAATTCTTGTGAGATGAATACTGTTATTTATAAAAATAATTGAATTTTGCACTAATTTTATTAAAATTGCTATAAATAAATCCGTTGGAAAAATTTTATTAACTTTTTTAAAATAAAATGAATCTTTTCGTGAAATTTTATTGAAAATACTTTGAATTCCTGCAGAGAATTTTACTGTATTTATAAAAATAATTGAATTTTTCTTCTTTCGAAATTTTCGATTTCTTTCGATTCTTCGAAATTAAAAAAATTCACTCATTAAATAAATAATTAATTAATTACTATTGTTTAATATTACACTTAATTTTCATAAATAATAAGTGCATTTTTTTTTAATTTCGAAGAATCTGAAACTATTCAAAACTGTGAACTGATTTCCGGAATACAACGATTATTGATTATATAATTATATAATCAATAATCGTTGTATTCTGGAAATAACAAAAAATAAAATAAAAACAATAAACAAAAAAATATATCAAGACTCACCGGAATCTGGCGGTAAAAGTGCGTGCCACTTGATATAATGTCCAGTTGACGACGTGGAACATTGCGCCAAAATTAATTTAATCGGCGCATTAATATATCCCAATAATTTTGCCGATGAATCGCCAACTTTTGATCGCGACCACACGCCAATATTTAAATACAATTGCTCGGAATCAATCTGAAAACTTCTTGTCTCCTCAAATGTAATCACAGACGCAAATTCCTTCTCCTTTGTCGTATGATAGAAATCCGCCAAATTTGGAATACACTCATCGACAAACGATTGTATTGTACTTGAACCAGTCGATAAATTTGACACAGTGGAAATTCTTCTCGATGGTGTTTCAGGCGCTTGAAAAATATCCTCAATCATTGAATTATGCGCACTACTCTTCCTTCTCTTAAACAATTTACTCATCAATTCATTCTTATCCAATGTCTCTTGATCAGGTTCCTTAAGTTCGGAGAATTTAATTTGATTTTCAATTTTCAATTTTCCACTATCATCATAATTAATAAATTCACCGCGACTAATGCCCGAATCACTTTTCGACGATTTACGATCAAGTGAAATACGTTCGTAATCAGATTTTATTGAATTTAAATATCTCCTCTCAACACGTATTATAAAACGTCTTTGCGTTGCACTTTTCACTAATTTTGCCACTTGATTCATATTTGAAACACGTTTACCATTCACGGCAACGAGAATATCGCCCCTCTTCATCTCGCCAATAAATGCCGGACTACCGGCAACAATTGTCTCGACGAGAACGCAATTTTGCCCAATTTCAGGGACATTCTCCTGCTTGAAGACAACGCCAAGTTGCTGGGAACTCATTTTACTGATAATTAAATCGAGAACCATGTAGGGAACACCGCTGTATTGCGTTAAACAAACCCAGGGCGTTGAATCAATGCTCATTGTACAATGAATTTCATTTTCCGATGGAATTGCTCCTGGTTCCAAATTCAAACGGCTCACTTCCAGGAGAATCACTTCCAAATATCCGGGTGTTAATTGAGTGCTCGCCACCTGTAAACGATAAACATTATTTAGATTCATTTGTTTGTCAGTGGAATGTAAAAAGAAAATTTTATTTATCAGGCGATAAAAATTGAAAAAGAAAAAAGAAAAAAAACTGAAAATAAAAAAGTAATGTGGAAAAAAGTTGAAAAAGTAGAAATTGGTTAATAATGAAAAAAGTACGGGAAATAAATTCGCCTGAATGTAAATTTAAGTCTTAAAATTAATTCAAGAGTTCACAATTTAATTTAATTTAATAAAATAATTATCAGTTAAATTTTAATTTTCAATTTAACCAATTTTTTTCGACTGAATTACAATTTAATTTGTGTAAAATGTAAATTAAATCCAAATTCGATTTATTTTTTACAAATTAAATCGCAATTCGGTCGAAAAGAATTTAAAAAATGCTAATCTAAGCATTCTTTTCGACTGAATTTTGATTTAATTTGTAAAAAATCAATTAAATCAAAGTTCGCTAGAAAAATATTTAAAAAATGCTAATCTAACTAATTTTTTTAACTGAATTTCGATTTAATTTGTAAAAAATAAATTAAATCGAAATTCGATCAAAAAATATTTAAAAAATGCTAAATCTAACCAATTTTTTTTGACTCAATTTCTATTTAATTTGTAAAAAAATAAATTACATTGACATTCGATTTTTAAATTGTAAAAAATAAATTAAATCAAAATTCGATTCGAATTGTATAAAATAAATTAATTAATATTCGATTTAATTTGTAAAAAATAAATTAAATTAAATCGAAATTTGGTAGAAAAATATTTAAAAAATGCTAATCTAACCAATTTTTTCGACAGAATTTCAATTTAATTTGAGTAAAATAAATTAAATCAGAATTCGATTTAATTTGAAAAAATAAATTAAATAAAAATTCAATTTACATTGCAAAAATTAAATTTAATCAAAATTCGATTTAATTTGTAAAAAATAGATTAATTGAAAATTCAATTTATTTTTTGGAATTTAAATCGAGATTCGGTCGAAAAATATTTAAAAAATGCTAATCTAAACAATTTTTTCGACTGAATTTCAATTTAATTTGTAAAAAAAAATTGTATAACAATTCGATTTTTAAACTGTAAAAAATTAATTGATTAAAATTCGATTTCATTTGTAAAAAATAAATTAAATCCAAATTCGGTAGAAAAATTTTTAAAAAATGCTAATCTAACCAATTTTTTCGACTAAATTTCGATTTAATCGAAATACGGTCTAAATTTTTTTTTAAAATTGCTAATCTAACAAATTCTTTTGACTGCATTTTGATTTAATTTGTAAAAAATAAATTAAAACAAAATTCGATTTGAATTGTAAAAAATAAATTAATTAAAATTCGATTTAATTTGTATAAGAAATTAATTAAATTAAATCGAAATTTGGGAGAAAAATAATTAAAAAATGCCAATCTAACCAATTTTTTCGACTGAATTTCGATTTAATTTGTAAAAAAATAAATTACATCAAAATTCGATTTTTAAACTGGTAAAAATTAATTAATTAAAATTCAATTTAATTTGTAAAAAAATAAATTAAAATTTAATTCGATTTTATTTGTAAAAAATAATTTAAATCGAAATTCAGTTGAAAAATAATTAAAAAAATGCTAATCTAAATAATTTTATCAACTGAATTTCGATTTAATTTATAAAAAATATATTAAATCAAAATTCGATTTAATTTGCAAAAAAATAAATTAAATTAAAATTAAATTTATTTTTTACAAATTAAAATTAAATTAAATCGAAATTTGGTCGAAAAATAATTAAAAAATGCTAATCTAATTAATTTTTTTAACTGAATTTCGATTTAATTTGTAAAAAAATAAATTAAATCAGAATTCGATTTAATTTGTAAAAAAAAGATTAAATGAAAATTTAATTTATTTTTTACCATTCAAATCGAAATTTGGTCGCAAAATAATTAAAAAAATGCTAATCTAATTAATTGTTTTAACTGAATTTCGATTTAATTTGTAAAAAATAAATTATATCAAAATTCGATTTATATTTTACACATTAAATCAAAATTTGGTCGAAAAATATTTAAACAACGCCATTAAAAAGCTTATATTTCGAAACAATAACACAAAAAATGAATTATTAAGGTCGTGAAGAAAGAATCCAAAGATAGAAAGCAATTAAAATATATTTCTTAACCCTTTCATGCTGAATTACATAAAAAACTGGACAAATCCACATTTTTTTCTTTTCTTTTTATATTTTCAAAAACGAAGAAAAAGCTCCATTACCATAAAAAAACACAAAAAAAATTTTTTTTTTTTTTGCTTCTTCATGTTACAATATTGTTAGCCAACAAACATAATTATATGGCTTAATTTGTAATACAATTTTAATGATCTTAATAAATACACACCACATACAATATAGAATAAGATTTTCTTTGGAACACGAAGGAAAGCGTTAGAATAACCAGAAAACTTAATACTTCGAAAATTTGCATTTTTTTCCAAAAACAAAAACTTTTTATCCCGAGACAAAAAAAAATTTCATCATTTGAAAGAAAATGCAACTTTCTTTATCATTCAAACTTGGAGTGAAAAAGTTTTGATAGAAAAAGAAATAGAAAATTCGACAAAAAAGGGTTAATAAAAACTGCTTTGAATTATTATCATCAGTATGAAAGTTCAGAATGTGTATTTTATTCACAATAATTTAAATAGTGTAATATTATCAAGTGTCTTTTCTAATAAGTTAATGTTTCCGTAACATTCTATATATATAATTATTATATGCAACATTCACGTAATAATAATTTCTACCAACAGTAATTTAATAATAAAAATAAGAAAACAAAAAAAAAATGATAATAATAGGTAATAATAAAAGAAAAGAAAAAAAAAATAATTATGGTAATAATAATAAAACAAAAAAGAAAAATAATAATGATAGTAATAATAAAAACAAAAATAATAATAATAATGTAAATAATAATAGTAATAATAATAATAATAATAATAATAATTAATAATATCAATAATTAATAATAATAATAAAAATAATAATAAATTAACACTTCCTTTGTTAATATTCAAACACATTTTTCTTGTTCGATAATATTTAAATATTAAGAAAGCACATTTATCTTTCTCCTAAATTCTACAGTTAAAAAATCATTTTTTCGCGATAAAAATAAACTAAACATCAAAAAATTCTGACCGCCAAGTCTTATCAAAAAATCACAGAATATTTCTTAAAAAAATAAGATATTAAATATATTTTATGTATTTTATGTATTTTTTTTTTTTTTTTTTTGGTAACTTTTCTTAAATTAAATTAAAATATAATCAAGACGGACAGAATTTTCAATGATATAGTCACGATTTAGAAATGTAAGTCTTATTAGAATGCTTTCAGAAAAAAAAATCAAAAGAATTCACTTTCAATTCTAATTTTATTAATTATTTATTAGATTTGTTCAATTTCACACCAAGTTTTTTTATTATTATACTTTTAGTTATGTTTTAACACTTTCAAAAGTTATTCTATTAATCACCTATATAATAGATTTTTGCATTAATTAAATTAATTAAATATAAACACTGAAAAAAAAATAAGAATCTTTAAATTCTCATTTATTTTTTCTTCTGTTTAATACACAACAAACTTATCGAGATTTTCGAAAATCTCATTATTTCTCTATTTTGAATTTATTGAATAAATTTTAATAAAACTTTATTAAAACAGAAATAAATATTTATCAATAGAATTTTATCAATAAAACTGATTTTATTAAATGTAGTTAATAAAATAGTTTCACTAAATTTTTTCTATTTCGAATTTAATAAAAATTTAATAAATAATATTTAAATTTAATAAAAATATTTATTTCCATTTCAAAATTTTAATAAAGTTTCGTTAAATTTATTTCGATTTCAAAATTTAAAAAAAAATTTCCCCATTTATTAAATAAATGTAAAAATATTTTTTTTTATCGACTAAATAAAATTTTGAAACACTAGGTACACTTGAAAATTATTCGTGCAAAAAGTTAATTTTCGCATTGTATGAATTTTTGCTAAATTCTTTTTTTCTTTCCATTTCGAGGAGAATTTCACACGAAATATTTAGTTTTCTATAATGTAGAATAAAATGGTTCCATTTACGTAGATTTTTAATGGTAATTTTTCCAAAACCGTGAAGTGTAAAAAACTCGTAAATTTATATTTTCTCTGATTTAAAATGATTTTGAGTTTCATTGTCAAAAATTCAATTTTACTACTAAATTTTTTGGCAATAAAAATTTCTTTTTTTGACTTTCATGTGAATGAAATTTTTTTTGACAATGATATTCGAGTTTCATTGTCAAAAATTCCATTTTACTACTAAATCTTTTGACAAAAATTTTTTTTCCAAAAGATTTAGAAGTAAAATTGTATTTTTGACATTTAAAGTCTGATTCTTGATCTTTTTTCTTGAAATTCAATTTTATTACTAAATCTTTTGGCAAAAATTTTTTTTTGCCAAAATATTTAGTAGTAAAATTGAATTTTTGACAATTAAAGTCTGATTCTTGAAATTTTACAAAATTGTCAATTTTTAGATGGAATTTTCGAAAAAGATTCAAAAAATTCAATTTAACTACTAAATCTTTTGGCAAAAAATTTTTTTTGCCAAAAGATTCAAAAATAAAATTGAATTTTTGACATTTAAAGTCAGATTCTTTATATTTTTTTCCAGAAATTGAATTTTATTACTAAATCTTTTGGCAAACAATTTTTTTTTTGACTTTCATGTCAATGAAATTTATTTTGACAATGAAATTCGACTTTTATTGTCAAAAATTCAATTTTACTACTAAATCTTTTAAGAAAAATTTTTTTGCCAAAAGATTTAGTAGTAAAATTCAATTTTTGACAATTAAAGTCTGATTCTTGATCTTTTTTCTTAAAATTTTACGAAATTGTCAATTTTTAGATGGAATTTTCGAAAAAGATTTAAATAATTTAATTTTACTACTAAATCTTTTGGCAAAAATTTTTTTTGCCTAAATTTTAATCAATTTTACAATTTAAAGTCTGATTCTTGATATTTTTTCTTGAAATTCAATTTTATTACTAAATCTTTTGGCAAAAAAAAATTTTTTGCTAAAAGATTTAGAAGTAAAATTAAATTTTTGACAATTTAAGTCTAATTCTTGAAATTTTACAAAATTGTCAATTTTTAGATGGAATTTTCAAAAAAGATTTTAAAAAAATTAAATTTCACTACTGAAACTTTTGGCAAAAAACTTTTTTTTCAAAAGATTTAGAAGTAAAATTGAATTTTTGACAATTAAAGTCTGATTCTTGATATTTTTTTTTGAAATTCAATTTTATTACTAAATCTTTTTGCAAAAAATTTTTTTTGACAAAATATTTAGTAGTAAAATTTAATTTTTGACAATTAAAGTCTGATTCTTGAAATTTTACAAAATTGTCAATTTTTAGATGGAATTTTCGAAAAAGATTCAAAAAATTCAATTTTACTACTAAATCTTTTGGCAAAAAATTTTTTTTGCCAAAAGATTCAGAAATAAAATTGCATTTTTGACATATATAGTCTGATTCTTTATCTTTTTTTCTAGAAATTCAATTTTATTACTAAATCTTTTGGCAAACAATTTTTTTTTTGACTTTCATGTCAATGAAATTTATTTTGACAATGAAATTCGACTTTTATTGTCAAAAATTCAATTTTACTACTAAATCTTTTAAGAAAAATTTTTTTGCCAAAAGATTTAGTAGTAAAATTCAATTTTTGACAATTAAAGTCTGATTTTTGATCTTTTTTCTTAAAATTTTACAAAATTGTCAATTTTTAGATGGAATTTTCGAAAAAGATTTAAATAATTTAATTTCACTACTTAATCTTTTGGAAAAAATTTTTTTTTGCTTAAATTTTAATCAATTTTACAATTTAAAGTCTGATTTTTGATCTTTTTTCTTGAAATTCAATTTTATTACAAAAACTTTTCGCAAAAAATTTTTTTTGACAAAAGATTTAGTAGTAAAATTGAATTTTTGACAATTAAAGTATGATTCTTTTTTGTTCTTGAAATTTTACAAAATTGTCAATTTTTAGATGGAATTTTCGAAAAAGATTCTCATCGATCAAAATATTCCTCCCGAATTTTCATCGTGATAAATATTCCTCTCGATTTTCATCGATAAAAATATTTCTCCGAATTTTCGTCAGGAAAAAATATTCCATTTCTCCCGAATTTTCACGCGAGAAAAATTACATTCCTCCCGGTTTTGGAAGATTAGTATCGTATGCTCGAATGACATCTGTCTGCGTGACAGTTCCCCCTTCCTCTTGCGAGAAAGCAAATCCATGTGACAATTCCACCTCAATATTAGAAGTAGAAGCAGCATTAGGCTTTCGTGTAAAAACATTTTTAACATTTTTCAACAACCTCGCAGTCTCGGTCAATGAACTTCGATAGTCTTGATTTTGAAAGACATCCCTCAAATCAGATTTATTAATTTCTTGTTCCCTCGCCGCCTCCGTCAACGATTTCCAAACAGTATTCTTCACTGCCTTTACAATCACATCCAACATTAAAACAGCCGACGGTATCAATATCAATCCCAACCAAAAGACAGGCGACGTAAATATCATTCTATCATTTCCCAACATCACCGCTCCAACATTAATAAACGGCCAAAAATTACTGTAAATCAATACAAACAAAAACCACAAAATAATTGAACCCCACGTCGCCAAATGCGTCACCCAAGTCCATGAATTCGTTATCAATCCAGCTTTTACACAAACAGCCACCACCACATAAGTGTAGACAATATTTCCCAAAACTAAATAACCCCCATCACGTCCATTCTTCCAAATGACGTCCTGCTGCAATGCGAACAACGGCAGCCAATAAAGTAACGACGAATGTATCAAGGCATTAAAAATCCAAATCCAGAAAACCTTGATATTAAAAGCGTATTCACTGTCATTTTTCGTCGCGTACAATCGCGGATGTGCCAAATGCGTTTCCGCCGAGCAGACCTTATCAAAAAGTCCCATTGCCAATGGCGGTGCCGCAGTGAACACCACATTATACAATCCAATCGACCATCTTTCAAATAAAATTTGTCCGGACCAGCCGGAATAGATCGCAAACCACAATTCAATCACATAAAGACAAATATTCTTGTAGAATGAATACAATATTAATTTACACATTCGACTATAGTTCCAAGAGCCATGAACAAATAGCAATCTCTTCAAAAAACGAAATTGCGCTATTGAATAATCACTCGCGCACGCTGCCTGCAATCCTTCAACGCCCGATATTCCAACTCCAATATGAGCCTTTTGTATCATTGCCACATCGTTGGCACCGTCGCCAATTGCCAATGTCACACTGTGCGTACTCGTCGTGACAAGATCGACGACCTCTGCCTTTTGCATTGGCGACACACGACAGCAAATCACCACCTTACACGATATACACAAATCGAGAAAATCACGTCTTAAATCACACGAGAGGGCATGCTGAAGACTGTGTCCGTCAATCACGAGACCAACGTCATTTTGGCACTTTAAATCCTGTCCGAGATCGTGACAATGCTGAACAATCGCTTCGCGTGTTTTATCGAGTGACGATTCATTCACTATTATCAATGGCATTGTGTGTGATATTAATTTACATGAGTAGCCAATATTTATTGCCGTCTCCTGTTTATCGCCAGTTAATACCCAGACTTTAATGTCGGCCTGTATTAGAGATTGAATTGTTTCCGGTACTTGATCCTGTAGTTGATCTTCAATTGCCGTTGCACCGAGGAGTGTTAATTTGTTTTCTATCAAATTTGCCGCGTCCTCGACTTTTGTATCACGATCGTTTATACTTGTGAGTGCTTTGTGATAGAGCTCCTTCCACCATTGATATCTGAAAGAGATGAAATATTTTTAGTATATTCATTCCTTGTTTTTTTTATAGGAATAAAATTATTATTCTTTTATGATTTAAATCAAAATTTACTATATTAATCTATATTAATTAATTAATTAATTAATTAATTAATTAATTAATTAATTAATAATCGTTGTATTAATAATCTGTTCGCAGTTTGAAGTCAATTGATGTTTGCTTTTTTGTTTTCTAACTTCTTTAATAATTTTTCTTTTTAAATATTTTCAATTTTAAAATATGTATTAAAAATTATTGAATTTTTGCAAAAAATTTGAAAATAATTGAATTCTTTCAAAGATTTTTTATTATTTATGAAAATAATTGAATTTATTCTCGCGAAGAATTTCTTTGAGTTTTTTTTTAAATAAAAAGCGTTCGAATCCTGCAGGGTTTGTTCTTCTCAAATTCCCTGATTTTTCCAGGTTTTCCAGGATAAAAAACAGAATTTTTCCAGGTTTTTAAAACGAGAATTATTCGAAAACAAAAAACTTCATTTTTAAATAAATATTTAATTATTATTTTTCAACAGGAATTAAGATTTTCAAAAATTTCAAATTCAATAACATATAATAATTAAAACTTGCTACTTTGTTACTGTAACTTCTTCAAAAACTATTTTCATCATTACAATTATTCATTACAATTACATTACTATTATTACAATTATTCTAAAATTTTCAACTAAAATTCTTCAATTTTTTAAAAATAATTTTTAAAAAAGTTCTTTGAGAATTTTCAAATTCTTTTGTTTACAATTTAATTTTACGAAATTTCGATTATTCTGACATTCTTCAATTAAATATATTAGAAATTAAAAACTTCAAATTTAATTAAAAAAATTCCATTAAACTTATTGAGAAAAATTAATTCTATCAAATTCTTAATTAAAAGTATAAAAAGTTCGAATTTTCAAGGATTTTAATTTGAAATTCATTTTTAAATCAATATTTATTAGAAAATTCAACGAGAATTCAATTATTTAACTATAAAAATAAATATTTCATTAAACAATTGAATGTTTCTCAAAATTGACAAATTTTAATGAAATTTTTAAGAATAATTACATTTTTCGAGAAATTTGATGAAAATTGTATTAAAAATAATTGAATTTCTGGCAAAAATTTTATTAAAAGTTTTGAAAATAATTTAATTGAGGAGAAAAATTTTATTATTTATAAAGATAATGGAAGAATTGAATTATTTTGAAAAATTTATAAAAATTCTTCGCAGGAATTCAATTATTTTTTTAAATAATTAAATTCTTCCCAAAAATTTAATTATTTTCATAAATAATAAAATTCATTCGCTGAAATTTAATTACTTTCATAAATTATAAAATTCTGCATTAAAATTTAATTATTTTCGTAAATAATACAATTCTTTTTAAGAAATTAATTATTTTTAAAAAATGTCAATAAACTTCTTTAAAACAATTTATTTATTTTCAATTTAAATTAAATTCAATGAAAATTAAATCATTTTGAAAAAATTACAAAAATTCTTTTGCAGAAATTCAATTATTTTCATAAATAATAAAACCCATCGCAGAATTTCAATTATTATTAAAAAATTTTGATAAAATTCTTATCTCAATTAAAAATATAAAAAGTTCAAATTTTCAAAGATCTTAATTTGAGATTCATTTTTAAATCAATATTTATTAGAAAATTCTACGAGAATTCAATTATTTAACTATAAAAATAAATATTTTATTAAACAATTGAATGTTTCTTAAAATTGAATTTTCATAAAGAATTTTATCAACAAATTTTTAAATAATTAAATTCTCTTGACAAATTTTAATAAAATTTTTAAGAGTAATTGAAATTCTGTCAAAAATTTTATTAAAAGTTTTGAAAATAATTGAATTTCGGAGAAAAATTTTATTATTTATAAAGATAATTGAAATTTTGACGAGAATTTTGGTAAATTTTAAAACATTATTGTATTTCTGCGAAGAATTTTATTAAAATTATTTTGGAAAAAAATGGAATTATTAAGCAAAGAATTTTTAAAAATAATTTTATTCTTTAAAGAAATTTAATTAAAAATTTATTGAAAATAATACTTAAATTCTAATAGATAAATTGTAGCAAAGGTTATTAAAAATTTTTTAAAACCTTTTAAATTATTATTTTACTTTTTAAATTAATTTTAAATTTAAAAACTTTTGAAATTCAATTATTTCTTAAAATATAAAATTGCAACGATTTTTAGCTCAAAATTTTTGAAATACAATTATTTCTGAGAATTACAATTGTTTGTAACTAAAATTTTCTTTAAGTCAAATATAATTAATAAACTTCAATAAAGATTTTCCAGAATTTAATTTTTTTAAAAACTTATAAATTAAAATGATTTTTAAAACAATATATCTGAATTTTTTTCTTATTTCTACAAATAATTGAATTTGTTTTAAATAATTAAGTTCTAGAAATATTTTCTTAGTGTTTATTAATTATAATTAACTTGAATAAATTTTTAGTTAAAAACAATTGCAATTTTCAGAAATAATTGAATTTTTTTTAAATAATTAAAATTTAGAAAAATTTCCTTAAAATTCTGTTTATTAATAATTTATAGTCAACTTGAAAAAACTGTCACAAATAATTGAATAAATTTTTTAAAAAACTTTTGAAATTCCATTATTACTCAAAATTGCAACTGTTTTTTACTGAAATTTTTTTTTACGTTAATTATAATTAATAAATTTTAAGAAAACTTGTAGACTTTATTTTTAGAATTTGATTATTTAAAACAAATTCAATTATTTATAGAAATAAGGAAAGAAAATTTAGATATTGCATTTAAATTCATTATTCAATTCAAAAGTTTTCATGGTGAAAAAAAATTCAAGCAGAATTTAAGATTTTTAAGTTCAGCAAAAATATTTTGGTCGAACACCAAAAATTGGTAATAATTCCAGAAAATTTGTATTTTTCCAGTACTTTTAATAAAATTCTCTGACATTTCTCTGATCTTCCTGAACTGAATCCTGAAGCAAAACATTAATATTTAAGTATTTTCTAAAGAAAACGATCGAAAAGGGTAAAATAAAAGAAAAAGTGACAATTACTATACAAAATGTAGAAAAAAAGTAAAAATAAATAAAACCGAATAAAATTAGAAAGAAGAATTAAAAAAATTACCTGTTCTCAGGAACATCAGCAACGGCAAAACAAAGTGTCCTCAAACCCTCAGTAGCGAATGCTTCCAAATGCTCAAGAGTAACATCTCGAAAATCATCAAAACCTTCCGGTTCAATATCACTCTCACCAGTTGGTGTCGTTGCCAATCTTTCATAAATCACCGAATCCGCTCCCTTGCAATAAATCTTAATTTTCCCCTCCGGTGTTCGTAGAATAATTGACATTCTCTTTCTCGACGACGTGAATTCAATAACATTCAACACTTCATATCTCAATCGTTCGCCAAGTGCAATAATTTCCACATAAGTCGGTGTTCTGGTTTCGAAAATATATCCAAACTTTCTCGCTCCATCGACAAGTGCCCTCTCATCAGGCGACGCCGCATGATAAACAATCGTATTATCAACTTTCTCCGGTATCACCGTATGACAAGCCGACAGCATTATCATAAATTCATGCAAAATAGCCGCATGTTTCGTACGATTACGATCCGTACTCTTTCTCCCCTGAACAATATCCTTCACCAATTGACAATCAAATTCACTGCACGATGACGATGACGACGACGAAGCCGATGTCGATGTCGAATTAACCGTCGTCTCCATATTTCTCGACGAACCACTTCCCGGTCTACTTGTAATTCCATTCGTTTCACTGACGTCACTCGGTTTCTCCACAATCGGCAAATCGTAAACTTTTCCCGAGACGGTGCACCTCTTGAATTCCATCACATTTTTCGTCAGAGTTCCCGTTTTATCAGTGAAAATATAACCAACCATTCCCAATTCCTCATTTAAATTACTCGTTCTCGCCATTGCCGGTGTATCAGTATCGGGATGATACATTTCAATGTCCATGTTGATGAAAGTCGCCTGTATAAAGCGGACAACTTCCAATGTGACTTGCAACGAGATTGGTATCAAATTATTAAAGAGAATGATAAATGTCAAGAGATTTATGGCAAAGTTCCTCGAGATATCGTTCTTTGATCCAAGATACCAGAGACCATTTTCGTTCGCATTCATCCAGAGGTAATTAAATACGGCCGAAAGCAAGCAGAGGAAGAGTAGTATAAAGAAGAGCATTAATATTTGCGTGTTTGTCATTCGATCAAGTGTGGAACGTTTCAAAGGCGCTGTTGTCGTATTATTTTGCATTAGTTTTGTATCATGCCCCGTGTAGATAACAACACCGAATGCCCATTTCGTATTCCTGAGCATTGCACCCCTTAGGAGTAATTGATCCGGACCTAGGGGAATACTCTGTTTGTTTGTCTCGCGCAGCACTCCGTTGAATTCATACAAATGACGATTAGGCGCTTCGCATTGAATGTTGGCGCGAAAATTCATCAGCTCCACCGTATCGAGAAGAGTGCTGGTGTCGGTGTGCGCTTGTCGGATTTTTAGATTCGTCTCACCGTCTAAATTCGCCGTCTCTATGAAACTTATCCCCTGGGGTTCGGAACTCGACAGGAGAATCAAATCGGCCGGGAAGAATGTGTTATTGTGGACTTTTACCACATCGCCAACGGACACGTTTCTCCACTGTACCAATTGCCATTTACCGTCCCTCAGCACCTCGACCTCGCGCATATTCGTCTCATCGTCCGCCCGATGCCTTTTTATGTCCTCAACAATTTCCTTAATTGCCGACACACTCAAAATAAAGATCAACGGCACTAGTGTCGTATACCTTCCAGTTGGCGAGACATCCGGAATTTGCTGCATCAAAGCAATGAAGAGAAAAAAACAATTACTATACCTTCGAAATTGTTCGAAGAGAAAAGATGGAACAAAGGACAAAATTGAATATTTCGCCGTTGTCACATGATTGTTCCGATACTTTGCCGGCTGATGGAGAACATTAACAAACACGACTCTCTCCTCCTGGATTTCGGATTCCTGCTGCGAGAGTTGTTGCCTAGGCATGTCCGTTTCGCTTCTCTCCTCAAGAGGTCTTGTGCTTAATTCAACAATTTCGCCACTCTCCTGATTTTCTAAATTATTCCGTGGATCGAGACGTATTTGTACATTGTCGACATTATCAATTTCACTGAGATCAATCGGCGAGCCAATGATATAGGGTCCGGTTGTTTTATTATTTAAATTGTTACGAGGACTCGCCGATGGTGAACCATCCATGTGGGGTATTGCTGCTAAATCCGGTGGTGTATAAGGCGATATTGGTTCTTGATGTGGAACACGGTGGTTCCCTTTGGGTGTGGATTGCATCTGATGAGCCGGGATCGTTTATTACTTGAAAGGAAATTAAATTTGGTGTTGTGCTCCAAACATATTGCCAAATAATCAGCATCTCACAGATAGTTCTTTTGAATCACTCACGATGGCAGACAATCCAATGCAGGATCCGTTCAAACTGGAAAAAAGAAATGAAAAGATCAATTTAATTCTTTTAAAAAAATTATAAAAGATCAATTTAGTAAATTTAGGATTTATTTAAGCATTAAAGGATCTTTGTCCGAATTTCTTCGTTTTTATTTACCTTAATATTAAAACTGCTCTTAATTAATAAAAAAAAAATTTAATAATTTTTAAACATTAAAAAATTAATATAATAATTTTTAAACATTAAAAAAATTAATTTAATAATTTTTAAACAAAAAGAAGATGAATTTAATAAATTTTAGACAATAACAGACTTTGCACTCGATAATTAATTTTTAAAAAGTAGCAAAAAATTAGCTAAAAAAAGTAGCTATCGAAAAATTAAACTTGACGACAAAAAAAAACTCGTTTTAAAAACTTCAACAAAACTGACAAAAATTCCATCCTATATTTTATATTCCTGACTTTTTCCTAATTTTTATCGAAAATATTGACTTCTTTCTTATCCCGCTAATAAATTGAATTCCTGCAACGAATTTTATTATTCTTGAAAGAATTTAAATATTTATAAAAATAATTTAATTCTTGCGAAGAATTTTATAAAATTTTTTTAATAATTGTTTTCTTTCGACTAATTTTATGCAAATTCTAATTTAAATAATAAATTGAATTGCTGAGAAATTTTTATTATTCATGAAAAGAATTGAATTTTTACAAAGATTTTTTCAAAAAATTTTTTAAATAATAATAGGATTGAATTCTGTTTGGAAATTTTATGAAAATAGTAAATATTGAAATTCATTGAAATGCAAAAAGTTTTTTAAAAATCCTAATTAAATTTTACAAAAATTTCTATTAAAACTTTTTAAAATAATTGAATGTCTGTGTGGAATTTTATTAAATATTTTTGAAAATAATTGAATTCCTAAAAAGCATTTTAATATTTACAAAAATAATTGAATTCTTGCGAAAACGATTTTATTAGAATTTTATAAAATAATTGAATTTACAAAAAAAATTTTTTTACTTTTATAAATAATTGACTTCTTGTGATGAATATTGTTATTTATAAAAATAATTGCATTTTCAAAAATAGTTTTTGTTAGTATTTATCGAAGTAATTGAATTCTTTCAAAGAATTTTTTATGTAAATAATTGAATTCTTGGGAAGAATTTTATTAAAATCTATAAAAATAATTAAATTATTTTAAAAAAATTCTAATTAAAAAAGTAATTTAAAATAATTGATTTCTTTCGAACAATTTTTTAAAAATATTTGAAAATAATTGAATTCCTGTGAAAAATACTAATATTTTTGTAAATAAATCAATTCAAAAAAACATTCTTTAAATAATTGCATTTCTCGAGGAATTAAAATTAAATTTTTGAGAATAATTAAATTTTTTGAGCAATACCTATAAAATTGGATTAAAAGTAATTGAAATCCTACGATGAATTTTATTATTTATGAAAATAACTGAATTCTGGCGAACGATTTTATTAGAATTTTTAAAAATAATTGAATTCCTGAGAATAATTTTATGATTTATGAAAATAATTGAATAGTTACGAAAAATTTTATTAAAATGTTTAACAAGAATTGGATTTCTGTGAAAAATTGTGTTTTTTTTAATATAATTAAATTCTTGAGAACGATTTTATTAGAATTTTTTAAAAAAATAATTCATTTCTTTCGACTAATTTTATGCAAATTCTAATTTAAATAATTGAATTGCTGAGAAATTTTTATTATTCATGAAAAGAATTGAATTTTTACAAAGATTTTTTCAAAAAATTTTTTAAATAATAATAGGATTGAATTCTGTTTGGAAATTTTATGAAAATAGTAAATATTGAAATTCATTGAAATGCAAAAAGTTTTTTAAAAATCCTAATTAAATTTTACAAAAATTTCTATTAAAACTTTTTAAAATAATTGAATGTCTGTGTGGCATTTTATTAAAATTTTTTGAAAATAATTGAATTCCTAAAAAGCATTTTAATATTTACAAAAATAATTGAATTCTTGCGAAAACGATTTTATTAGAATTTTCTAAAATAATTGAATTTACAAAAAAAATTTTTTTACTTTTATAAATAATTGAATTCTTGTGATGAATATTGTTATTTATAAAAATAATTGAATTTTCGAAAATAATTTTCTAATTTATGAAAATAATTGAATTTTCAAAAATAGTTTTTGTTATTTATCGAAGTAATTCCTGTGAAAAATATTAAAATTTTTGTAAATAATTGTATTCAAAAAAACATTTTTTTAAATAATTGCTTTTTTCGAGAAAATTAAATTAAAATTTTAAGAATAATTACATTTTTTGAGCAATTCCTGTAAAATTGTATTTAAAAATAATTGAAATCCTGCAATGAATTTTATTATTTATGAAAATAATTGAATATTTACTAAGAATTTAATTAAAATTTTCAAAAATAATTGAAATCCTGCGATGAATTTTATTATTTATGAAAATAATTGAATTGTGGCGAACAATTTTATTAGAAGTTTTAAAAATAATTGAATTCCTGAGAAGAATTTTATGATTTATGAAAATAATTGAATAGTTGCGAAAAATTTTATTAAAATGTTTAACAAGAATTTAACCTTGCTAAAAAGAAATACTTTTTCCGAACAAAAGTCAAAGTGTTTCCAAATTGTTAAAGGAAACCATAAATTGAAATATAACCTATGACCAGATGTCTAAAGAACGACCTTTTTAAGGGTACGGTCGAGAGTGTATACATATACACATTCTAAAATGAGTCTAAACACTAGCAACGTTAATTTTCATTTGCAAATGAATAAATAAAACAATAAATAAAAATTATTAACAATTATAAATAATTAATATTTTAATATTATTAATAATGTGTATAAATAAATATTTATTGTTTATAAAATAATTAATAACAAATAAATACCCACAAAGTATAAATAAAAGCAATAAACCAATAATAATTCACAAATTATTAATAACAATTTATAAAAAAAAAATAAATAATCATAAAATAGAAATAAATAATTAAATAATGCGACAATTACGTTAAAAATTACGATAAAATTAAAATTCAAAAACCTACATAAATTTAAAAATTATAAACAATTAAACTACGCTATAAAAATTGTTGTAAAATTATTATTAACTAGATTTATAACAATATTTTGTAAAATCTCAAGAAACGTGAAATAATATCCCTACTATTTTAGAAAGAGACACTGACCTAGGATACAACCCTCAAGGACTCAGCCTCTTTATGAGGGTTGGTTCAAGAAGAGCCAATACCGAAACGACAGAATCAAATCTTTTAACTTTTTACCAATCTGATAATTAGTCAGCCTCTTTTTTCCATTTCCCTAAAAATATTTTCCAAAAATCTGGAAACTCCCAAAAATCTTAGTGGGCACTTAAAAAACAGTGTCCTCACCAAGACAAGTCAGTTAAAATCAGTCACTTCTTCTCAGTGCCAAGTTCGAAAAGTGTCTAAAGCATACATCCAATTCTAGAAAAAGTTCTTAATTTCCATTTGAAAAGTAGTGCGTGTTTATTCCTATTAAAATCAAAAATCCTGATGAAAGAAAATTATAACACTATTCAAACTCGATCGAAGTGTCCCGAACTATCAGGCGAGAGTCTAGACATAATTTTATTTATTAAATATTAATTTATTTAATAAATAGAATTTAAAATAATTATGTTTAGTCCATAGGACGTAACAAATTATTTTTAAAAAAAATTAAAATTTTATTTAAAATAATTAAATTATTTCGAACAATTTTATTAAAATATTTGAAAAGAATAAATTGAATTTCTGTGAAAAATTTTTTTGTTTTTGAAAATATAATTGAATTCTTCATAAGAATTTTTCATAAACATTTGTTGTACTTATTTTAAAAATAATTGAAATTCTTCGATGAGTTTTATTAATTATGAAAATAATTGAATTTTTGCTTAGAATTTTATCAAAAATTTATTTAAAAAATGGAATTTCCATATTTTTTTGAAATTTTTCTGAAAATGCTATTCTAAATTAATTGAATTCCTGTAAAAATTTATAATTTATAAAAATAATTGAATTTTATAAATTTAAAAAAAAAATTTTCGAAATTTTATGAAAATACTAGATATTGAATTCTGAATATTTTTTGAAAATAATTGAATCGTTTTAAAGAATTTGTTTATAATTTTTGAGAATAGTTTTTTAAATTCTAGTATTAGTAGTGGAAATTCTTTTTAAAAAAACAGAAATAGTAGCTTTTAGTGGCTGAAATCTAAAAAAAAGTACACAAATAGTATCATAACGTAAAAAAAAGTAGTAAATATTAGGTTTCAGTAGATGAGTGCGAAGGCTGCAATAATCTAAAAAAGCAAATAATTTTTAAACAAAAATCAAATAATTTGTTTTTCATTTTCGAAAAAGTGCGAAAAAAGGTCAAAATTTTCAATTATTGGAAAATTAAAATTTGCTTACCTTAAAGGTGAAAGGGATTTTTGGTAATTATCAGCTGTCCTACACCATCCTGAGAATTTTTGAAGATCAACCCTAGGAAACGATCCGTATGTCAACATTTTGGAGCAATTAAATTCCAGTTTCTGATTAAATACCGTCACACAACTTTTATTTCCAAAATATTCTTTACTTTAAATATTGAAATAAAAAGGTCTGAAAAAACAATTTATTTTTAATAAATATTATCTCACAAAATGTGTAAAAATAAAAAAAAAAAAACTCTAAAGTTTCTAAGCTTATAATAATAATTTCTTTTATTCTATTTAAAAAAATAGATAATAATAAAAATAATAATTATAAAATAACAATCAGTTTATAGAAAAAATATAAATAAATAAAAGATAGTTTTTATTTTGTAAAACAAAATATAATAAAAATACGTTCACAGGAAAAAATTCGAAAATTAAAAAATTCACTTTTTATTTTAGTAAAAAATATAAAATATAATAATAATAATAATATTAATAATAATAATAATAATATTTATAATAAAAATATTAATAATAGTAAAGAAATAAAAATATGTTTACAGAAAAAATTTGCAAATGAAAAAGTGCATTTTTTTTATTTTTGAGTGAAAAAAAATGTAAAATTGTGAAACGTGTCAAAAGTGAAGTAGAGAAAATGATGACTGATGAAATTTATAATGATTATAATCTTATCATATTGTAAAGTCTAATAGAATGATATCATATTTCCAGAGTATTATAACATTTTCTATGCTCTTTTAACAGTTATTATTTGAGTAATCATCTCTCCTATCAGTAACAACTTTTAACTCATTGCGTCATTCAAGAGAATCAACCGTGTTAAAAACTTTACAAGGCCATTTTTTTTACAAAAGCTTTCAAAATAAAAATTCTATAATGAAAAATTTTTATTTTTAAATAATTTTCAAAATAAAAAAAAAATTTCTTTCTAAAAATTAAAAAAAACAAGTTATTAAAAATTGTTCTATTTATTCTATTCTTCGCAAATAAATTATTTCAAAATAAATTCTAATGCAAAATTCCAATTTTTAAATAAATTTTAAATCAAAGAATAGCAAATTGGGGAAAAACATTACAAATTTGGAAAGAAAATAATAATAATAATAATAAATTTGGAAAAAATAAAGAAAAAAAAGTCCTAACAAATTAGATTCTATATAAAATAATTTCTTCACAAATAAATTGTTACAAAAAGTTGTTTCAAAATAAATTCTAATTCAAAATTCGAATTATTAAATAAAAAATGCAAATAATTTCTTGACAAACTAATACAAAAAGTTATTTCAAAATAAATTTCTAGTGCAAAATAAAAAAATCAAATTTTCAATAATTGTTTTTTTTAACAAATGGAAAAAAAATTTATTACGTAAAACAGGAAAAACAAAAAAAAACACTGATAAGAACTATGATAATTTTTAAATGACCAAGAAAAAGATAAAGTTTAATTGAATAATACCTGACACGTTTCATTTTATGCGGATTGATGAATTAAAAAAAAGTTATTTCAATTTTAATTATTTCTCAATAAAAAAAATTTTTTTTTGTGAAACAACAAACTTATTCTCGTAAAAATTTTTTAATAATGAGCCGGAACTCTCAGAGATTTTCATTATTCACTAAAGAAATGTCAAATCAATTTGAAATCACGTGACTATTTTAGAATTATGATCGCGTGCGAGGTGTGTCGAAGGTGTGGTTCTTCACCTTCTTTTTCTTTTCAAACTATCTTCCTGTCGTCGAAAAAATTCTTTCAAACTAATAAATGCCTTTTTTTTAACAAAATCTAAATTAAATTAATATTTTTTTTCTCCCAGTTAATTATTTTTAATAGAAAAAGAAAAATGTTTTTTTTTGTCTAAAAAAATGGAACTTTCTTTACTGCTTAATTAATTTTTTTTCTCATTAATCTAATTAGAAAATTAAAAATTAGAAAAATTAAAAAAAACTTGATAATTTATTATTTTTAAAATTTATTTCTTTATTATTATTATATAAAAAAATATAATTATATTTATTTTTTTATTCATTTATTTATTTATCCAGTAAAAAGAAACAAAGTATTGACGTTTTATTGAAAAAAAAATAATTTTTTATTTCATTTCGTGTTAAAATTAAATTTTTATCGTTTAATTATAATCGAAACTGAACGTAAACAATGGAAGAATGAAGAACTCGTGGTGAGGGGGAGGGGGGCAGGGGGGAATCTATAAAAAGAAACAATTTTATATTCTTTTTATATAAAGGTGTTTAAATGGGAGTGTGTAAAGATTTTCCCCCCCATTTTCTAAAAGAGGATTGCTTCTAAAAGATTAAGACAGGTTCTCATTTTATTTTAAAAAAAGACGTAAAGAAAGTCTATAGACCTTCTTTTTTTCTTGTTAAAATGTCACCAGTTGCTTTGTGTCCTCGATTAAAGGGTATGACATCTACGCCCCAGTATAATAGTTGGAACACATATCGACATTACTATCGTCTCTCTTTTCCCTCTAACACAAACAATAATAATTTGTGCAGAATGTCATGGATGATACTTTAATATCCTGATGACTAATCTCACAATCACAAAAATCAATAAAAAAAGAGAGAGAAGAAAAATGAAACACAAAACCTAATGAGTATTCATTAGAAATTGATCAATGACGTACAATAATTAAAAATTCATATTCCACGATAAACACAACTCAATGAACATAAAGTATAATTTAAAATTCATTTACAAACACTCCTGTGCTCTAATTTCATAACAATAAACTAGAAATAATAGAAAAAAATAAATTAACCAGAATCAACAGAATTATGATTATTGAAAAAAAATTCAAATCATAAAAATAAAAAATTTTACCGTAACAACAGGAAATAATGCCGCAGTCAAAAATTTATTACCTATTACCTAATTCTTTTTTTTTCGCATGAAAAAATAGTGAAAAAAAACACTTGTGCCACGAGTGCAAAATGATAAAAAAAAATGCTATTTGAGTAAAAAATAAAGATATAAATTAAAAACAACTAAGTATTGAACATATAAACATATTTCAAAATTTTCACCAACAAACCTCGATATTATTTGAAGGATAATAAAAGAAAATCCATTCGGAGATGTCACAAGAAAATGGTATAAATTTTCTTGTCAAAATGTACAAATTGCTTGAATGAAGAATAAATTGTTTTTCCACACATAATCAATTTGATTGAGAGATAAATTGCTAATAACGGTATTTTAATGTACCAACAAATTTGTTCATCAGTTTAATCGTATAAAAATAAACTTTTCTTATATTTACTTCCTTCTAGCGCACTGACAAACAGAAAGAAAGGTTATGTCAGTATTCAAAAAAAGGATGATAAATGCTCCAAATGGTAATTAGATTAAAACCATTTTTACACACAAAACATTAGAATTACTTTACTTAATTGTTGACAATTGATAAAAAAACAATAAATTAAATGGTAATTATACTTTTTTTTTAAAGGCGACAACTTTAACAAATATTAGTCTTGAAACGTCACATAAGGAACTAAGAATATTGAAAATTAGAAAACTAGGGAATTTCGCGCAAACGTACTAGATTTTCCTTCTATTGGCTGGTTTAACGGAACGAAGATTCAAAATAATGTTGTTTGGGTAAATATAATTATTTCTTTTTTTTTAATTATTGAACTCTTCCTAGAGAAAAGTAATTGTTTCTTATTTTTTCTCTAGCCTCAGGGAGCGAAAATTCTATAAAGTTATTATTAATATTTTCATTGTGGAAAAAGCCGCTTATATTATTTTTCAATAAAAATATTAATTAATATTCAATTTATTTTATTATTATTTTTATTATTATTATTATTATATTATTATTAATAATATTACTATTATTATCATTACCTTTGCCATCAGTAATATATTTCTTTATTATTATTATTATTTTAATTTTAATTTTTATTAATTTGCAAAGTTATTAAAAATATAAAAATACACTTACCTTTTTTAACAAATAGTTTTTAAATCACACACTTTTATAACTAATAATTATTTCAAGAATACACTGTAATTAATTAACACTTTCACAAAACTTATTTTCTTAAAACGATTGTAATTAATGTAATTATTATAATTGTGATTATTCCAATAAATATTGTAATAATAATTACAAATAATTAATTAACTATTAACTATTTATAATAATTATAAAGTAAATTAGAATATTTTGTTAATTAACTGCTTTTCTTGGAAAAGAATTTAAAAATTATAAATTTTACAGTTCGAAAGAATTATAATGGATATTATCATAAATTATTGAATTTAAATGAATAAATTGCGAAACTTTGTAAGCGATTATACAATAATTAAAATTACAATTAGAAAATAATTAAAATTACTATTATTATAATTACAATTTGTGTCGGATGAATAATAATTTTTTTTTTCTTTTCGAATCGCGATTATTGCAAATTTACCAAAAATATAAAAATAAAAAATATTCGATTGAAATTTAATTATTCATTAAAAATTAATTATTTCTAATAATTATTCAGAAATTTTTATTTTTATCTCTCTTCTGGTTTTTCTTCTCTCTAAATTGTCATATTTAATAATTTGATAATTTTTTCGAAAGGAAAAAATAAAAATAAAAGCACTTATAAAAATTACTAGAAAAATTAATTAAATAGAATTAGAATTAGAATTAATTAAAAATAATTACTTTTATAATTAGAAAATTAATTACGATTTACTCTAATATCAAAAAATTTTATTCATCACTTCTTTTGCTCGATTTACTTTCTTGGCGGATAAATAATAATTTTCTTTCTTTCCTAATCGCGGGTTTTGTAAATAAATAAATAAATAAATAATCGCAATTATTGCAAGTTTACCAAAAAATTAAAGATAATATCCGATTGAAATTAAATTAATCATTAAAAATAAACGACTTCTGATAATTTATAATTTTTTTTAAATTATAAAAATTATAACGTCGACGCTAAGCGTTGAAAACTATTTTTTTTTTTTATTTTTTAGAGATGAAAATATCTCAAATTTTATTTCTTTCATTCATTTTGGTAGCGAAAAATAAATTTAAAGCACTTTATGAACCTGAAACCTTAAAAAAAATTGTTTTCTTTTTCATTTATGCAACAAAAAGATTTTTCGACGCTGAGAATCGACGCTAACTTCAGGGATCTAAATTATAAATTTCTAAATTATAATTTTAAAATTTTCTAAATTTTTCAAAATAAATATTTTGAATTGAATTTTAAGTTAGATTGAAATTAACTTAAATTTAAATTTAAGGAGAGACTTCGACTATAATTTTAACTGTGTCAAGAAAATGATTTAAATCTTCCATAAAATTATTTTCATAGTAATTTTTGAGAGAAAATCAATAGTCAGAAAATAAAATCGGTCTAAAAATATATTCTGACCCTTTTCGGATTTCTATTATCTTTCAAAATTAATAGATTTTAAAATTCATCCGTAATTTTGTAAAAAATATGTTTTGGTATTCACAAAAAATTGCCGAATGAAAAAAATTATTTTTATTATTTGTGAAACATTTTTTTAAATAAAAAAAAATTTTTTAGGTTGATAACGCTAAAAGAATCTATTGTTATTCAATTTTTTTTTATATGGAAATCCACTTGTTTATTTTTTTCTAACTAATTTCAAATCATAATTTTTTTGTATTTTATACTTTTTATTTGACGAAATTATGATTTGAAATTAATTGAAAAAATAAGCAAATGAATTTCCATATAAAAAAAAATTGAATAACAATTGATTTTTTAGCATTTTCAACCTAAAGACAATGTTTTTTTTCAAAAAAATAATAAAAATAATTTTTTTCATTCAGCAATTTTTTTGTGAATAAAAAAACATATTTTCTACAAAGTTACGGATGGATTTTAAAATCTATCATTTTTAATGGGGGTCGGAATATAATTTCAGACCGATTTTATTTTCTGACGATTGATTTTCTCTCAAAAAATTAGAATAAAAATTATTTCATGGAAGATTTAAATCATTTTCTTGATAAATAGTAAAAAATATGGTCGAAGTCTTTCCTTAGTTCAATTAATTTTGATAATTTGGTAAAATTTCTTTTGATAATTTGGTAAAATTTCTTTCGATAATTTTGGTAAAATTTCTTTTGATAATTTGGTAAAATTTCTTACGATAATTTGGTAAAGTTTGGAGAAGAAAAAAGAAATGAAATGAAATAAATACCTCTGATAAGTCGATACTTTCGTCGTTGAGTCTACGGAAAAATGGTTTATATCGCATCTTGTAACGAGGTAGAGTGTGTTTTCGACGGACTGCCCGTCTAATTTGTCCAGTAATCAACGAAATTATTTGCGGCTGCAATTGTCGTCCCTGAAATTGTGATTGAACATCCAATTCCAAAATTGGATCCGTATAGAAACTCAATGACCAATGTGTATATGGAACACGAGTAAACTGGAGTCTTGCCTTTCCGGTCACGCGTTTCACTAAAAGAAGAACAAAAAAATAGTCAATATCTATAAATAACTATCGAGACGAAAAGACATTATATAAGAGAAATGCAAATCATTTCCGTGACTTTCAATTTTCAACTAATTATTTTACTAATTTTTCTCCGAGAACCATTTTTCCTTCTTTTACAAAATTTCTTCACTCTCATTTAGCCTAAAAACTCTCACATGGCTTTGCACTCGATAAATAATTTTAAACAGACTTGGCTCTCGATAAATAATTTTAAAAAAGTAACAAAAAGTAGCTTTAGGACGAAAAAAAATTGGTAATAAAAAATTATTTATAGAAAAATCAAATTTTGACGACTAAAAAACTAGTTTTTTGACTCAGAAAAATCACAAAAATTTTATTCTGCATTTTATTTCCCTGATTATTTTCCAATTTTAATCAAAAGTATAATTACGTTTTTTCTTATGCTGATAAAAACTTTTGATAGTTCAAACATTCGGTAAACCAAACCCTAGATAATTTGAATTTTTTTTTCTGTCCCTTGAGATTATTGGAGAGTCGAGTGTATTTTAAATATTAGAAAATTTTTTTTTTCGTTAATAATTCTTTAACACAAAAAGATTAAACAAATTTGAAAATAAATTACCTTGAAGTGCCATGTAGGCAGTTTTTCCTAACAGCATTTTAACATCTATGGATAATTGAAAATTTCCTGAGTAATGTAAATCCAGAGAGAGATCGAGAGTCTCCAAAAGTCCAGTGTCCGGGCAAATTTTCGCATCCGCAACTTCCAGGCCCTTTATCATCGGAAACTTATTTCCCAAGTGTAAATCTCGCAACTGTAAATAAAAAAAAACAAACATCAATAAAAATGAAATGAGAAATGAAAAAAAAGGAAAATATTATCAGGGTTTCTACAAATTTCTCCTTATAAAATTCCATGATTATTCCATGATTTCCAGTTGATAAATAAAAAAATTTCCATGACACATTAAAACAAAATTTTTGTCAGTTAAGTCAGGTAAATGTCATGGAAAAAAATTTTTATCAAATTTAATTAAAAATAATAATTTTTTTTTTCAAGTATTTTATTAAAATTTTCAAAGATCAACTTTTGAAGAATTTTAATTGCAAATTTTGAAAATAATTGAATTATCAAAAATTTCAATGAAAAATCTTTAAAGATAAATTTAAAAATGAAAATAAATGTCTAATTTGTTAAAATTCAATATTTTTAATATTTTCAATTAGGTACATATTTCCAAAAATAATAACATTTTGCAAAAAACAATAATATTCAAAATTTTTAATTAAAATTCATCAAAAAATTCATTAGTTTTTTTAAATTAAACAAAAATTCTTAATTAAAAAATTCAATTATTTTCAAAAAAATACATTAATAAAATTTTTTTAAAAAACTAATTATTAGAATTGTTTTGTTATAATTTTTTAAGATTCAAAATTTACTTTTTGGACTTATTAAAATTTTTGAGAAATCATGGTCCTGTTTATAATTAAAATTCTTCAAAAATTTGATCATTTTTATTTATACTTTTGAAAAATTCAATTATTTTTAAAAGATTTTATTAAATTTTAATTGTTTGGAAATTTTTCAAATTTATCAAAAAAATATAATTATTTTAATAACCTTTGCTACAATTTATTTATTAGAATTTAAGTATTATTTTCAATACATTTGTAATTAAATTTCTTTAAAGAATAAAATTATTTTCAAAAATTTTAATGAAATTCTTTGCGTAACAGTTCAATTTTTTTCAAAATAATTTTAATAAAATTCTTCGCAGAAATCTAACTATGTTTAAACATTTACAAAAATTCTCGGCAAAATTTCAATTATCTTTATATATAATAAAATTTTTCTCCGAAATTCAATTATTTTCAAAACTTTTAATAAAATTCTTAGCAGAATTTCAATTATTTTTAATATAATTTTTATTAAATTTCTCGAAAAATGCAATTATTATTAAAAATTATATTAAAATTTGTCAAAAGAATTCAATTATTAAAAAATTTGTTGATAAAATTCTTTATGAAAATTCAATTTTAAAAACATTCAATCGTTTAATAAAATATTTATTTTTATAGTTAAATAATTGAATTTTCGTAGAATTTTCTAATAAATATTGATTTAAAAATGAATTTCAAATTTTTGAATATCTTAATTTCTATAAAAAAAAAAATGACGAAAAATACCTGAACACTGTCGAATAATCGACCAGTTGTTGTCTGATTCAATAATTCTTTAAATTCATTATTAAGTTTTCGATAAAGCCAAAGACGAACGCGTTCAGCATTTCTCAATTCATTGAATAAAAATTGTAATGTCAAATTAATAGCCAAATTTTCATTGCCCTGATTAAAATTCTGTCTCATTGGACTGCCAGTTTTTTCCTCCTTCATTTTCGCCAATAATTCCTCAGGTAATGCCGCTTTTCCATGTGGCACTGGCTTTTTTGGTGGACTCGCCACTGGAGCCGATTCCAAATATCTTTTGAATATATAAAATTCGAACAAAAGAGTACATCCTATTCCGCAAAGGAATGTAACACACGATATAAAAATAGTTGTAAAAATGTCCATATTAGGACAGCATCAAAAATTGAATAAGTCAATTTAAGAAAAAAAAAGAGAAATTTCGAAAAAACTCTTTTTTTTCTCTCCTTTATCGTCTAATATTAGAATTTTTATTTTCCTTCCAAAATTTTCGATCGATTAACATAATTATTGAATTTGTCAATAAATCTCCATTGGTGTCATTGTTAATAAAATTTTTTCTTTAAAATGTAAAATAATTTCTTGATAACACAAACATTGTGGAAATGGTGAAAATAAAAACTTTTCTTGATTGTTTGTCTTTTTTTTCCCCTTCTAAAAAAAAGGTTAGATTTTTACGTCAACTATAGGTTAAAATTCCATTTCGATTTCACTCGCGTTAACTTTTAAAAAATTCGATTAACACTCTAAAACTATATTGATAGGGGACAGAAAATATTTTTCTAAAGTCTTGTCAATATTGGAAATATTAAAAATACGTTTTTGTCAACTCTCGAGGTTAAAACTTGCACGAGTTGACAGTTCTCTATTGATTTCGTCGGCCATGTTTGATTACAACAACGTGATTTGACAGATGCGGATATATTGGGCAATGTGGGTTAAAAATGACGCATTTTGCATTTTCTATTATATTAATACTTTACTTTTTAGTTATTAAATTTCTATTTTATTTTAAATATGAAAGTTAAATTATCAACGTCTAATGATTCTTTTACCGTATTTGTGTAAAAAGAAGCAACTGAAAGAAAAAATATATTTCAAAATAGTAAAAAAAGAAAATCAGAAACTAAATCCAAAGAAGATGTTAGCATTCAACAAAATTTTAAAAAAGCGCATAAAGGATAAAAAGAGAAAAATCTGAGAGAAATATAATAAAGTGGAAGTTCAAACGAATGGCGGGTAAAAGAGAGACTCTTTCCAATTGGACGAACAAAAAAAGTGAGGTTATGTTTTGATCTCGCGCATTTCCGCACAAACGCAGAAGATTTTTAACGCTCAGAGGGGGCGGTGACATTTCGATCAATCGCATGTTGAACATTGTTAAGACTGTGTTCGTAATGTCAGGGTGATATTGTCAATTTTTTGGAATAAAAAAATACAATTCATCAAAAAAAGGAGTTTAGTACTTTTAAAAAAAACTCCATACATATCGAGACACTTGTTTCTTGCTCTTTTCACTATACTGGAAAAACACAATCATACAGAACATTTTTCGTGAAGGGAAATTAATGTAATTTATTCTCCGGAAAGATTAACAAACAATCAAGATGACAGTTATTACGAAGGCAATCAGCGAAAAGAAGCCTGCGGATAATTTGGAGCAGCCATTAGTTGTCGTCGAAGTTCCAACGGTGAGTAATAAAAAATATATATTTACTCGAACTAAAATAGTGTGCATAATTTATAACTTTATAATTATCATCAGAGACAATGGAAATTCCCAAATCATTTATACATTCAACAATTCACTTGTGTTTGCTTGTGTTCGTCATCAACTTACAAACAAGTGTCAACGTCAATATTTTGAATGTCTGCTCCAAAATTATTTTTACTTCTAAAAATATTTTTTTCACCCTTATTAAATGCGCTGGAAATTTTTTTTTACCACATTGTTCTGATTTTAAAGACAATTTCGAGAATTTTAAAAAAGGAAAAGAATTTGCATGTATACACGAAATGATAAATAAGGAATTGTGTCTTATTGTTTGGGGAAAAAATAATTGCAGAAATTGCAAAAATATTCGTTTAGTCACGAAGAGTTTTTATAAACATTTCTTGTTTATGTTTGTTAATTATACATTGGAAGGAGAGTACGTGTCTTCAGGGTGGCCACATGTCAGTAAAGTCAGGGAAATGACAATAAAACAGAATTTTTTGTCAGGGGATTTAAGAAAATAAGAGATTTTTTCCACTTATTTACAAAAAATTTTCTTCCAAGTACTGCAATAAAATACCATATTTTTTGTATAAACTGCAACTTATTTCGATTTTTATAATGCGAAAAATAATTATAAACAAATAATAATTTCAAAAATTATTTTTGAATCATTTTTCTATTTAAATTTTCGAAATATACAATTAAAAAGATTTTGAATAATTGAAATTTTTAAAAAATTTAATTGAAAATAATTTTTTTTTCAATGTATTTTTATTGAAATTTTCAAAAATCAACTTTTGAAGAATTTTGAATTTTGAATTTCCCAGAAGAAATTTATTACTTTTAAAGATAATTGAATTCTTGTGATGAATATTTTTATTTATGAAATGCCTCAAAATAATTAAATTCCTGTGAAGAATTTTATTATTAATGAAAATAATTGAATAATTGAGAAAAATTTTATTAAAATCTTTAAAAGGAATTCAATATTGATTTCTTAATTCTCTATAAAATTATTCAAATAAATTTAATTATTTTTATATAAATAGTAAAATTCTTTGCAAAAATTCAATTATTTTCTTAAATAATAAAATTCATCGCAGGATTTCAATTATTTTTAATACAATTTTAGAGGAATTGCTCGAAAAATGTAATTATTCTTAAAAATTTAATTTCAATTCCTCCAAAAAATCAATTACTTAAAAAATGTTTTTTTAAATTGTTTGGAAGTATTCAATTATTTACAAAAATATTAGTATTTTTCACAGGAATTCAAATATTTTAATAAAATTGTTCTAATGAAATCAATTATTTTAAATACAATTTTAATTAAATTTTTTGAAATAATTCAATTATCTTTTTAGATTTTAATAAAATTCTTCACAAGAATTCAATTACTTACATAAATAATTCTTCTAAAGAATTTAATTATGTATGTCGATAAATAATAAAATTATTTTCCAAAATTCAATTATTTTTAGCATTTTAATAAAATTCTTTGCAAAATTCAATTATTTTCATAAATAACAATATTTATCACAAGAATTCAATTATTTTTAAAGGTAATAAATTTGATTAAATTTTAAAAAATAATTGAATTCCTGAAAAGAATTTTATTATTTATGAAAATATTTGAATAATTCCGAAAAATTTTATAAAAATATTTAAAAATAATTGAATTTTTGTGAAAAATTTTGTTATTTTTTAAAATAGTTGAATTCTTTATAAGAATACTATAAACATTGTTTTAAATAAATAATTTGTTCGAAATATAATAAATATTCTGAAAATATTATTTTAAATAATTGAATTCTTGTGAAAAACTTTATTTGTGAAAATAATAATTGATTTCTTCGATTGATTCATTTAAAATAGTATTAAAAATAATTGAAATTCTTCGATGAATTTTATTATTTATGAAAATAATTGAATTCTTGCTTAGAATTTTAGCAAAACTTTTTTTTAAAAATTTAATTTCCATGAAAAATATTATTAGTGAAAGTAATTGAATTATTGTGAAGAATTGTATAAAAATTTTGTTAAATAATTGATTTTTTCGAAACTTTTATGTAAATGTTTTTCGAAATTAATTGAATTCCTGTGGAAATTTTATTATTTTATGAAAATAATTGAATTTTGGATGAATTTTATTAATTTTTTTCTTAATAATTGAATTCTTTTGCGAAATTTTATGAAAATACTAGATATTAAAAATAATTGAATATTTTTTGAAAATAATTGAATCGTTTTAAAGAAATTGATTATAATTTTTTATAATAATTTTTTTACCAATTACAAAATTATTATAAAAAATTGAATCTTTGTATTTAAATAATTGAATTCTCGAAGAACTTTCGAAAAATTATTTTAAATAATTATTAATTTGGAAATAAAGTTTAGTTGAAAATTGTCGAAAATAATTGAATTCAGGAAGGATTATAATTGTAATTTTTAGAAATTATTAAATTTCATAAATTAACTCATTTTCCGTAAACTTTCATATTTTCCTGTCAAAAAGAAATTTTTATCAGGGAAAATAATTTTAATGTCAGTAAATTGTCAGGGAAATGTCGGGGAAATTGATAAACTGAAATTTGTGCCCACCCTGGTATACGAAATAATAAATAAGGAATCATGTCTTATTGTTTGGCGAAAAAATAATTGCAGAAATATTCGTTCAGTCACGAAGAGTTTTTATAAACAATTCTTGTTTATGTAAAATTCTTTGAACAATTCTTGTTTATGTCTGATAATTATATATTGGAAGGAGATCACACGTTCGAAAATATTCTTTTCGTTTGTCAAAATAAGGAAATTTGTCATTTCTTATTTCTTTTCTTTTTTTTTTTTTTGGTATTGGAAAATTGTTACAAAAATTATTGAAACTTATTTCTTTTTCAGCAAGCAACTCCTAAAAATGATCCGGAATCACAACGTCCAAAGAAAGATATGGCTGGTCATTATTTAATTTTGCAACAAAATGCCCTCCGTCCCAGTGCAATGACGACATTATGTCTTTTCATCACGGCAATTCTTGTGATGAGCATTGGAATAATTGGCGGCGTTTATATTTATAGACAATATGGAAGAGCTCAAATGCATAGGCTTCGCACCGGTTGGTACAGTATACCATACGATGGATCAAATAAAATTCAATACGCCCGCGATCAAATTCATCAGGGATTATTGGCCGATTCTGATTTATTCAAGTCATTGTCGAGAGCAACCGAACAGGAGACGATGGATCTTGAAAAATCATTGCACAACATCAAGAGTTTCTTTAAGGAACGATTTGAAATGGATATTGAAAATGAAAACTACGAGATTGATGTTCCCGATTTTAGTGAGGGACGACAGGGAAGATTTATTCACGATTTCAACATTGTACGATATTTTTTTTGTCTCATACTTCTTTTTTCCAAACTTTACAAATATTTAGAATTTTCAAATTTAAAAATTGCGCAGTTTGATGTAATAATAATAATAATAAATTTTTTTTCCGTTACAGAACAAAACAGGAATAATCGATATTGATGGAAGTCGTTGCTTTGTCATGCCTTTGAATCGTCAACTGGTTTTGCCACCACGCAATATGTACGATCTTCTCAGCAAAATGTACAACGGTAATTGTATTTTATTTTCCAGAAGAAAAATTCTTTTTAATTCAAATAAGTTTTTCTTCTAGTCAAATAAATATTTTCTAAACATTAATTAATTTTTTCATGTATTAAATATTAATTAATATTTGTACGAATTTTACGAAAATTTATATTAATAAATATTTAATTGAAATTTCATGAAAATTTATATTAATAAATATTCAATTAAATATTTAATTAATACAGAGGAGATAAAATTTGAAGTTAATATAAATGGATTCGAATTAAAATTATCGTCCATTTAGAAATGTAAATAATTTATTTCACTAATAGTGAATTTTCAAATATCGCATTAAACAATTTAATTCGTACAGGATATTACGAGGTTGACACGCAAATTGTTCGTGAGACAATGAGGGTCCAAACTCCTCCAATCACGGATCTTTCAACAATTGGCACGTACATTGCTCGTGAATGCCAAAATTTGCCAACGTTTATGCTCGAGAAAGTCGATTCTAATGGTAATTTTTAAATTATTATTATTATTATTATTATTATTATTATTATTATTTTTATTATTCTAAACCAGCATATAATGCGCGCAACGTAATTGAAATTTTAACGCCCATTGTTAGTTACAAAAAACTTTCTTTTTAAAATTTAATGAAAATTTAATATTTTTCAAAAAATATAATTTTCCGAAATATAATTCTTCAACAATAGGAATATATTTTAAAACAATTTTTAACACTAATACAATTGAATTCTTTCAAATATAAAATTTATTTCAATGAAACTTGAGAAAACTTTTAATTGCTTCTATTTTTAGAATTATTTTCCGGAATTCAATAATCTTCAAAAAAAATTTTAATTACAATTTTTCAAAAACTTAATTTTTTTTGAATTTCTGCATTAAATTATTAAAAAATTCGAAATAATTTTTGTTAAACTTTCTTTCAAATAAAATTTTGAAAAATAATTGAATATTAATTATTTTTAAAAATTTTAACTGAAATTCAATTTTGAAATCAATTCTTACTAGAATTCAATGATAATTGAATTATTTAAATACAAAATTTTTTAAAATTTTAACTGAAATTCAATTTCGAAATCAATTTCTTATTAGAATTCAACGATAATTGAATTATTTAAATACAAAAATTAGTATTTTTTCCAAATTTTTAGTTACAATTCTTCAAAAAAAAGCAATAATTCTATTTGAAAATAATTTTTTAATTAAGAAAATAAAATTCTTTCAAATATTAAGTTTTAATGAAATTTGAAAAAATTTCCTTTTTTTCAATTTTTAAAAATTATTCTCGAGAATTCAATTATTTATTTATTTAAATATTATTGGAACCTTATCTTCAAAAAAAAATCTTAATTTTAATTTTTCAAAAACATAATTTTTTTTCTAATTTCTACATTAAATTATTCAATAATTTTTGTTAAACAAATAACGCTTATAATATTCAATTATTTTTCAAAATTTCAACTGAAATTCAATTTTGAAATCAATTCCTATTAGAATTCAATGATAACTTAATTACATATTTAAATACAAAAAATTGTATTATTTTCAAAATTTTCCGTTACAATTCTTCAAAAAATGCAATAATTCTATTGGAAAATAATTTTTTAAAGTGGGAAAATAAAATTCTTTGAAATATAAAATTTATTTTAATGAAATTTGAGAAAATATCCTATTTTCTTCACTTTTTTATAATTATTTTCTGAAATTCAATTATTTCAAAAAAATTTTAATTTTAGTTTTTCAAAAACATAATTTTTTTGGAATTTCTACATTAAATTAGTCAGAAATCTAATCATTTTTGTTCAACAAATATCCCTTATAAAATTCAATTATTTTTAAAAATTTTAACTGAAATTCTATTTTGAAATCAATTCCTATTAGAATTCAACGATAATTGAATTATTTAAATACGAAAATTTGTATTATTTTCCAAATTTTTCGTTACAATTCTTCAAAAAATGCAATAATTCTATTTGAAAATAATTTTTTAAAGTAATAAAATAAAATTCTATGAAAATGTATTCTTTCAAATATTAAATTTTAATAAAATTTAAAAAAATTTCCCATTTCATTAATTTTTAAAAATTATATTCGGGAATTCAATTATCGTAAAAAAATGTTAATTACAGTTTTTCAAAAACATATTTTTTTTGGAATTTCTACATTAAATTATTCAACAATTCAATAATTTATGTTAAACAAATAACGCTTATCAAATTCAATTATTTTTAAAAATTGTAACTGAAATTCAATTTTAAAATCAATTCTTATTGTAATTGAACAATAATTGAATTATTTAACTACGAAAATTTGTATTATTTTCCAATTTTTTAGTTACAATTCTTCAAAAAATATAATAATCCTTTGAAATATATAAAATTTATTTTAATAAAATTTTAAAAAATGTCCTATTTTTAAAATTTTTAAAAATTATTTTCAGGAATTCGATTATTTTCAAAAAATTTAAATTACAATTTTTTAAAAACCGTATTTTTTTAGAATTTATAAATAAAAATTTTTCAAAATTCATTAATTTTAGTTTATTTTGTTTCAATAATTGAATACTTTTTGTTATTTATTTTGTCCAGCAGGAATTAAAATTTCTAAATACTTTCAGTGTAAAACCTTTTGGAATTTAATTATTTCAAAAATTAAAACTACAATTCTTTGAAGTTTTGAAATGTTTTCTAAAATTTTAACTGAAATTCTTTTTCAAATTTTTCAAAGAAAATTCATTTAGACTATTTAAGATTTTGAATAATTTGATATTTTTTGAATACTTTGGATTAAATTTCCTTATTATATAATTAATGTTGTTACCATTATTATTATTATTACAACATTTTTTTTACCAATTATCATTATTATTGCCATAAAATAAAGAAATAAACAAAAACTAACTCAAACTTTGTTATTTTTCAGGAATTTCGAAGCGCAGCATATCAGAGGGACAATTGTTCCGTCAATTCGCAGGAAAGAACATTGTGGAACTTAGTATCGTAAACTAAAGAAAAAAAAGAAGAGAAGTCGCGAAAGTAAAATCAATTCTTTAAATATTATATAGTAGATTAGCAAAAGAAAAAAAAAAGAAAATATATATAGGATTTTGCTGTTCCACGATGTTCCAAAATTGCATCACAATTGTGTGATATTTGTGGGTATTACATTTATAGATTTAAACTTAATCTCTTCTTACAATAATAAATTTTACATTTTTGATCTTTAAGGAAAAAGCAGAGATATAGATGATAATTTTTTTTATAACTTTCTCTATCTCGAACTCTTGTTTTCCTATATTTATACCTACAATTAGTGCGAATTTTATTTACAATAAACTTTTTTTTTTAAATTTCTTAATGGAGGAGGAAATGTTCTAAATTAAGTAATATTTTTTAGTAAAATCTCTTTTTAATATTAAAATACGTATCTAATTGAAAATATAAATAATTTAGTGATACGCAAATAAGTTTCAATATATTATATACAAATATAAAAAGAAAATGTTTTACATCTAGTATTTAGATGTGAATGTTAAAAAAAAAATGAAATTCGAGGAGAAGAATTTGCATTTTATGGGAATTAGAAATTAAGTTTGAATTTTTCATAGAGATTATCTGAACAAATTGATATATATATTAAACACTTTTTCAGAATAAAAAAAGCAGTTTCGTAATATACTGAATAAAATGAGATTAATTGCAAATTCTTTTAAAAATAAATTGTGAAGAAAAGAAAAATTGTAAATTCTTATTGAGAAATAAAAGGAAATAAATTAAATTAATTTTTTTTCGTTACATTTTCATTAAATGCTGGGAATGTATTTGAATAAATAAATAAATATAAATTAAGGAACTTTTTGTTTTATTATATACTTTCAACTTGAGCCTTTTGTCTTATCAGATACAATTTTTTCACCCATTTGTCGAATTTTGCTTCTTGATCTCCAATAATCTGAAATTTAAAATTATTTTCTATTGAATTTAATAAAACATTAAAATCAATGAACAATCATATTAAAAAATAAAAAATAAAATTAGTAATTAGAGTTTTTAATATTAAAAAAGTAAATTTAATACCGATTGATGAAAAATACTGTCGGATGGAATAATCGGTTGCACTGGAGGTATGACAATTGTATCAGAGGTAATATCAATAACGATATTTTTCGATTTTGTCTCTTTATTCTGTGCCGATGAATTAAATTGTTTTGGAGCAAATCCTTCGCTATTGATTTCTTCCAGAATCGATTCCTTAATGGTTGGAATAATTGAAAAATCGTCTGAAATATTTATTAAAATTAGCGACAATGGCAACTGCAGACTTCGCACTTGATAATTAATTTCAAAATAGAAGCTTTCAGACTAAAAAAAAGTAGCTATTGAAAAATTAAACTTGACGACAAAAAATACTCGTTTTAGACACTTCACAAAATTGACAAAAATTTCATTCTATATTTTATTTTCCTGACTTTTTCCTAATTTTCATCAACAATATTTATTTCTTTCTTATCCTGCTAATAAATTGAATTCCTGCAACGAATTTTATTACTCGTGCAAGAATTTAAATATTTATAAAAATAATTTAATTCTTGCGAAGAATTTTATAAAAATGTTTAAATAATCGATTTCTTTCGACTAATTTTATGAAAATTCGAAATTAAATAATTGAATTCCTGAGAAATTTTTATTATTCATGAAACGAATTGAATTCTTACGAAGATTTTTAAATAATTGAATTCTGATTGGAAATTTTATGAAAATAGTAGATATTGAAAATCATTGAATTGCGAAAAGTTTTTAAAAATAATTAAATTTTATAAAGAATTTTATTAAAATTTTTATAATTGAATTCTTGTGAACGATTTTCTTAGAATTTTTTAAAATAATTGAATTTCCAAGAAGAAAATTATTACTTTTAAAAATAATTGAAATCCTGAGAGGAATTTTATTATTTATGGAAATAATTGAATTTTGCAAAGAATTTTAAAATGCTCCAAAATAATTGAATTTTTGGGAACAATTTTATTAAAATCTAAAAAAATAATTGAATTATTTAAAAAAAATGTAATTAAAAATGTATTTAAAATATTTGATTTCTATCGAACAATTCTATTAAAATATTTTAAAATAATTGAATTCTTGTGAAAAATTCTAATATTTTTTGTAAATAATTGAATTCTCACAAAGAATTAAAAAAAAAAATTTCTAAATAATTCCTTTTTCGAGAAATTGAAATTAAATTTTTAAGAATAATTCAATAATTACACTTTTTGAGCAATTTCTGTAAAATTGTATTAAAAATAATTAAAATCCTGCTGCTATGAATTTTATTACTTATGAAAATAATTGAATGGTTGCTAAGAATTCTATTCAAATTTCCAAAAATAATTGTATTCTTGAGAAGAATTTTATTATTTATGAAAATAATTGAATAATTGCGAAAAATTTTATTAAAATCTTTAAAAAAAATTGAATTTCTGTGAAAAATTTTGTTATTTTTTTAAAATAATTGAATTCTTCATAAGAATGTTATAAACATTGATTTAAATAATTAATTTTCTCGAAATATAATAAATATATTATAAAAATTTTATTTTAAATAATTGAAATATTGTGGAAAACTTTTTTTGTAAAATTAATTGAATTTTTCGATTAATTAATTGAAAATAGTATTAAAAATAATTGAAATTCTTCGATGAGTTTTATTATTTATGAAAATAATTGAATTCTTGCTTAGAATTTTATCAAAAATTTTTTTTTAAAAATTGAATTTCCATGAAAAATGTTATTATTAGTGAAAGGAATTGAATTATTGTGAAGAATTGTGCGATATTTTGCGAAATTTTGTGAAAATACTAGATATTGAAAATAAATGAATTTCGATTATTTTTTGAAAATAATATTGAATCGTTTTAAAGAATTTCATTATAATTTTTGAGAATAGATTTTTTTATTTCTAGTATTAGTGAATTTAAAGTAGTGGAAATTTAAAAAAAACAGAAATAATAGTTTTTAGTGGCTAAAATCTAAAAAAAGTACCCAAATAGTAGCATAACGTAAAAAAGGTATTAAATAGTAGGTTTTAGCAGATAAGTGCGAAGCTGCAACTGAAATATTTATTCTTTTCTTTCTAATTCAAAAATTATTTTTCCTTTTTTCAGTGTCGAGAATTTTGTCTTCTTTTTTCCCTGTTGAAAATTAAATAATATTGTACCTTTTATATTTTGCACTTTATCAGAAGTCGGCTTCACAATTGACTGTGAACTACTTGATCTACTTGTAGACTTTTCTCTTGAAACAGATCTTTTCTGTTTTCTTTGACTCGAAGACGATGGCGATTTGGATCTTCGAGATTTTTGTCTACGTCTCTCTCGATCCCTAGAACTGTCTCGTGAATATTTATAACTTTTAGATGATCTATCTCGATCTCTACTTCTCGTTCTCGAGCGGTGTCTTCGTTTTGTTTTTGAATGTTTCGACGATTTTCTTTTATACGAAGAACTGTCACTTGAATCCGAACTACTCGATCTAAAAATTACAAAAATTAATTACTGTTAATTTTTAATAATAATAAATACGAATTTTATAAATTTACAATTTAAAATTAACAATTTAGTAAATAAATATTTGAATTTTGAGGTTAGGTTCGAAATATTTTTTTCTGGTTACTTCGGTTGCTTCTTATAAAATTTGTTTTTGTTATTGAGAATGTAACATTTAAACAAAAGGATAAGAATAGTAGATAATCAAAATAATTAATTACTATGTATATAATATAAAAGTTCTTGTTTGTAAATACCTCGATCTTCGGTGACTTTTTCGACGATGTCTACTACTTCGATCTGAATCCGAATCCGAAGAATAACGTGCCATTCTGTTTGTAATTTAAGTTCCTAAAAACTAAATACAAAGAAAATATGAGTAAAATTTAAATAATTACAATTTTCGAATAATTTATTATAAACAAAAATAAAAAACATTTACAAAAGCTTTTTTGACAGCTCGCCAGCAGGTGACTGCAGGTGACTGCGAAAACTCTCACCAGATGTCATTACGAATTTAGCGGGTTTTTTCAAAATTAAAATAAAAACAGTAAAAAATGTAGGTAAATAAATATATTATTATTAATATACTCCAATACAAGAAATATTATCTTTTAAATAATTATTTAACTTACCTGCTTTTTTTTCTGAAAAAAAAATACTTTTTTGTATTCAAATATTACAATATTAAAAAATTATTAAAAAACTTGATTTTTTCATCTAAACAAAAAAAATTACTTACCGTATAAAAAATTTATTATCAGCAATTTTTACACAGAAATAACTTGAAGCTCACTAAACATTCTTTCACTGTGTGTTACGAAATCGAGTCAATTGAATGAAAAAAAATTATGTAAATAATACGCAAAAGAAACCAACTGCTCTTTTTTCATTTAAATTTTTTAATAGAAAAAAATTAAAATAACTTATGGCACACGATTATTGAATAACAAAAAATATTTTAATAACGCCTCTTTTTATCGCCGACGAATTTTTTAATTTTGAAACTAAATAATTAATTATTTAATAATTAATATTAAATAATTATTATTTAAGAATTTTAATTTTAATAACCTAATAATAATAATGGCAACAATAATAATAATTTTCTAATTTAAAAAATAACGCCTCTTTTTATCGCCGACGAATTTTTTAATCTTTAAATTAAATAATTAATATTCGATAATTATTATTTAATAATTTTAATTTTAATAACCTAATAATAACAATGGCAATGATAATAATAATTTTCTAATTTAAAAAATAACGTCTCTTTTTATCGCTGACAAATTTTTTAAACTAAATAATTAATTATTTAATAATTAATATTTGATAATAAAAATAATAAAAATCATAAAAAATAATAATAATAATAATTATAATAATAGTTTTCTAATTAAAAAAATTGTTTTAACTTGAAACAATTTGATAATTTACTTATCAATAATTTTTTTCTAATATAATCTACTATAAACAAAATGAGACAAAATTAATTTTTAAAAAATAATAATAAACTGAGAATTAAAATTGTAAAAAATTACAAAAATTTACTCGAATTTTACTCTTTGAAAAAAGTGTATAAAAAATAATCGCTACGAAATTTTTCGTTAAAATATTAAACAAAAAAAATTGTCCAAAGAAAAGGAATAGAAAAAAAAAAGAAAATATTTTCTATATTTTTATAATCATTATTATAAATAATATTGTAGAAGGGGAAAATCTAGGCAAACGGAAGTATCTAACAAATGTTATGAATGAGGGACCTCCTAGGGTTTCACACTCCTGTCATTCGTGGTTTGATAACACGTTCTCCACCACATATAGTGCAAATTAATTTCACAACTCAACTATATATTTTAAAAATTAAAATTAATCGTTATTAAAATTTTCTCTTTCGATTATTTCTTTTTTTCATATAAATATAACGATATAAAAATAAATTAGGTCATCAAGAGTGTCTTTCAGGGAAAATAAAATTCAATAAATTTAAAATAATTAAATTTTATTCTAATTAGTGTAAATTCGCGAATTTATTTTAATTTAATTTCACTGAATTTATTTTTTTTTTTGGCAAAAAATCTTTTTTTTTTGCATTTGTTTATAGTCGTTAAATTTTAGTTTTTAATGAATACTTTCGATTAATAGTGGAAATAGTTGAAAAATGAGGAAAAGAAACAAAAATCGTGTTTAATTGAAGTTTGTGTGAAAAAAATTTTTGAACAAAGTTATCTGAGTGACAAAAGTGAGTGAAAGTTTTCTTTTTGGAATTGCCTGATGGGAATTTTTAATATGGTAAATTAATAATTTTTTGTTACTTAATTTTTGATTCGTTTCTAAATTTAATAAACAAATATTTTTTATAGAATAATATAAAATAAAAAATAATATTGTTAATTATTATTATTTATTAAATAAAAAATAATAATTATAATAATTATTAAATAATATATAATAATAATAAAAATAATAATTATTATTATTTTTTAATAGAAAGTTTGTCTTTTTACGAAAAAAGTGAATTAACTTTTTGATGCTTATCACTTTTATCAACCGAGATAAAAATACATCTCGAGTGCTACTTCAAAACTTCTGTATTTAAACATTAATTATTATCGTCCCACTTATCATTTTTATAACAAGTGAATGGGAACTAAATATCTAAATTATTACAAATTTAGAAAAATGAAACAATTTAAAATTATTTAAACTTTAAAAAGATTGCTCCGAAAAATTTATAATCAACTTTCGTCCTTTTTCTAACTTTTGACAAAAATTAAAAATCTGCCGAAAAATAATATTATCCCCAATTCATTGATAATAATTACTAATAATAATTACCAATAATAATTACTAAGAATTATTTGTAATAATAATTACTAATAATAATTACTAATAATAATTACTAATAATAATAATCAGTAACTAATAGATAACAATTATTAATTACTAAGTAAAGACAATTAATTAATTAGCAAATATTCTGATAATTACTCAAAGCAAAATTCTAATTTTTTAAAAACAAAAAGAATAGAAATATTATTAAAGAAAAGAACTTTTTTAATTCCTTTTAAATATCACGAAAAAATTCCCAGACAAATGATATATGGAAAAAAAATTCAAAATTATCAAAAAAAAAAAAAAACTAAGTAAACAAATTCCTTGCGAACGAATTATCATTCAAATGAATATAATTATAAAATATAAATTATTGTAAGAAATCTATCTCTATTAAGATAAATGTGACAAATTATATTAAATTTAGAAAATCAAATTAAGACAAATTGCAAAGAAAAAAGATAAACTGTATAGTTTTTATCAAAATACAATTATTATCAGAAGCAGAAAAAACGTTTAAATTCAATTTAAAAAAAAAAAGAATAATATTCTATTTGCTTTCAGCCACGCGCAGGAAATCGTGAAATTATGCGTAAAATCCATATTGAAGCTGCGCAATGAACTTTAGCAAACTGGAAAAGCCGGTGGATGCCTCGTGGCGTCTAAGTAACATTATGCCGAATAAAATGAGACGCTTTATATACTCGTCATCAAATTGTTGTGCACTGACAATAAATGCAACTTAAAATTCAAAATAACAAAAAAACAATCCTCCTCTTCCATTTTTCGAATCATTGACAAAAATTAACTATAGAAAAAAAAAAAAAATATTGTAATCCTTTTTAAAAGAAAATTTCCAACCTAACTTTGCAAATTCCCTTCTCGAAAAATTTCGCCTCTATTTCATCATCCATTTCTCTTCTATTTCTCTTTCTCTCTTTACCATCCCTCTTTTTCAGTTTCTCTCTTCTCCCCCTTTTTTCTTTTCTCTATAAATTCCCCTACCCAAAAAATTTCTTCACTTCCATTATATACTCCACGTGTCTCCCAAGGAGCATTTCACATTCGTCTCACATACTCGAGACATTAAAAATGTTTCGTGCCTTATGAAGAGAAAAAAAAACGTGCGTCAATTCATTTGCGGAGCAATCATTTCTTTATCTATTTAATGAAAAGAAAAAAAGAAAATTTGTGTGATAAAAATTAATACGTGCCTGTGAAAAAATTGTGTCTGTGATTTTTTTCCTTTTTTTTTTTTTGTGAAAATGCCGAAAAAAGTTGCTCCAATAAAAGAGCCGGAACCACGAAGGGGTTCGGGACAATGCGATGAAGGTATTAAACTTCAAAAAGAAATTGGACTTTTGGACGGTGTGGCAATTATTGTTGGAATTATCGTTGGCTCCGGTATTTTTGTCTCTCCAAAAGGTGTACTCATTAATAGTGAGAGTGTCGGTTTGGCGCTCATTGTATGGATTTCTTCAGGTGTATTGTCCCTTGTTGGGGCCCTATGTTACGCCGAACTTGGTAAGCTGCAAAAAAAAAAAATAATACATTTTAATTTCTTTTTTCAAAACTCTAAAAAAAATTCCTCAATCATTATGTAATTATCCCCCCTCGAGAAAAGTTGTTTTTAACTTTTCAATTCGTAAAGTTTCGTATTTAAAAAAAAATTTCAAACAAAATTCTTCACTTAAAAAAATAATTTTTCCAATTATAGACATATTGTTGAAAAAATAAAAATTGTAGGTAATAAAATTTTGTTTTTCCTCCTCTTGGAAAATTTAAAAAGTTGTGACAATCGTTAAAGTTGTAACTTTGTGACAATCGTTTTTTTTCAACAATTTTTGAACAAAAAAAAAACCTGAGAAATGGGTTTGAAATTCAAGAAGACTATTTTAATTTAAATTGGTCTTGGCGTGAAAGATTGTGTGGGTTGTCCGGAAATAATTCGCGGAGTAATTTTCATTTTACTATTTAAGTGCATAGTGAATTTGCGGGAAATAAATGTAGTCTACCTTATCATTGAACGTTCCGCGAGTTCATTTTTTTTTTGTCAGTTAGAAACAGCGCGCAAAATGCGAAGCTACTTACATCACCTGAATTCAAACAGGTCAACGTTACGGATTTATTTTTAAAGACACTTTTTTTTCTTTTCTTTTTCTGCATTAAAGAGCCAATTTTCAAATGATGATAATAAATAGAAAATAAATTATTTCTCGAATTTTTCTATTTATAAATTCAGATATAAATAAATAAATAAAAAATAGAAATAAATAAAAAATAGAAATAAATAAAAAATAGAAACAAATAAAAAATAGGAACAAATAAAAAATAGAAATACATAAAAAATAGAAACAAATAAAAAATAGAAATACATAAAAAGAGTTTATAAATTTATAATAATTGTAAAACAGTGAAAATAAAATATTTACGAAAAAATTAATTAGAACAGAAGTATTAATTTAGAAATATAAATTTTAAACTTCAATTAATTCTGAAATAAAATAAAAGAAATTAGAAATAAAATAGAGGAATTTAGAAATAAAATAGAAGAAATTAGAAATAAAATGGAATAAATTCTATTGGAAGAAAATTATTTTCGGACGTCAATCTATTTTAATTACAATAACAATAGGTTTTTTGTTTCAAAGTGCAACAGGATTTTTGATTCAGTTTACTCTAAATCAACGACCTCTTATCGTTGAACTTTTTTCCATTTAAAGAATTTTCCTCTCTCTCTGCGATATCATAATATATATTGTACTCGAGAAGCAAATTAATTTATTAGCCGCACAAAAAAAAATAGGAGTCAAAACATGAGAAAAAGAAAAGAAAACATAATAAGATTCCAAAAATAAAGAATAATTCTAATGTAATCACGAATTTATATTTTGTCGTTCTCAAATGTAAACTGAATATTAATTACTATTTTTAGCTCATTATCGCTCACTATTTTGAAAATCTGAGTAAATTGTTTATTTAATTGTTGGCAAACTAAATAAATTTTTATTGATATCATTATTCATTTTTACGTGCTTGAATTTGAAAAAAAAAATAATAACAAAAAAAAAATGATAAAATTCTTCTATAAGAATAATAATATTGATGATAATAATAATAATAGTATAAAAATAAAAAAATTAAATTTTATTTAAAAAGATTCTTAATTTTTTACTGTTTAAAAAATTTTAATTCTTAAATTTAAATTATTTATTATTAATATTAATATTATTATTACAATAATAAATAAAGAGAATAAGAATAATATTATTGATGGTAATAATAATAATAAGAAGAAAAATAATAGCAATAATAAAAAATAATACGAATGCACGTCAATCGGTACTGATTTAAATAAAATATTTTCACATTCTTAAAATGTCTTGTAGATAAAAAAATTAAATTGCATACAATTTTTAGCGATATTATATAGTTATTTAAAATCCTTCCGGAAATTATGTAATAATTTCAACCAAGAACTAATTTTATTCATTTAAAAAAATTTCTTTATATATTATTTTTTAAAATATATTTTCAGTTATTAAAAAACATTTTTTCTAATATATTATTTTGTTATAATAATAAAATTATAAATATTGATAATGAATAAAAATTATTATTATTATTAATAATGAGTAAAAAATTATTATAATAATAATAATAAAGAGAAATTATTAATATTGATAATAGAAATTAATTTTAATTACAGGTACAATGATCCCAAAATCAGGTGGCGATTATGCATATATTAACGATGCATTTGGACCATTACCTGCATTTTTATATGTTTGGGTGGCTCTATTTATTTTGGTACCAACCGGAAATGCAATAACGGCCTTAACATTTGCTCAATACATTTTACAACCACTTTGGCCAGGATGTGATCCTCCACGAGATGCAATTAGACTATTGGCTGCCGTTGTCACATGTATGTTTTAAAATAATTATATTTTTCACACCAATTTTCATAGAAATTCATTTTTTTAGAAAAAAAAAATTTATTAACCAGCAACTTTTACACCGATGCTATTCAAATATCAATTTATAAATTTTAAAATCAGTTGAAAAAGTAAGTAATAAAATAATAAATAAATTCAAAAAGTAAATAATAAAATAATAAACAAATTAAAAAAATAAATGACAAATAAAAAAATAAATAATCAAATAATAAATAAATTAAAAAAATAAATATCAATTTCCTAAAGATTATTTAAAGAGAAATACAAAAAAATTTATTACAAATGAACATAAAAGTTTGTTCTTATAAAAAATTTTCAGTCAAGTATATTTATTTTTTTTTTAGAAAAAAAAATTGACAAGTTATTTTTAAATAAAAGCTACTTTTTAAAGAAACAAAAAATAATCCAAGGAAAAAAATTTGAATAGCGAATTATTTTTCAAAAATTAGAATACCTATTAGAGAATAGAAAATTTGAAAGAAATTATTGTAAATAATAACCTTGAAAAACGGTGGTATTACTTTTATCAAAAAAAAAAAAAAAGTTATCGATACTTTGTTGACTTAGCTGACTGTATATTATTTACTGTCTGTATTCCAAAGATACATTACAAACAAATAATTTCTCACTGTCAAATGGATATAATTTTTCAAAGAAAAATTTTCCAAAATTTACCAATTTAATCCTCCCATTATTATTTTTCGATTCAAAAATAATATTTCATTATAAATATTGTAAAAAAAAACAGAAAAATTGATTTTATTTCCAAATCGTTTCACCAGTAAAAAAAATACGTATATTGCTGGCAAATTACAATTTAATTCAAATTAAAAAACAAAAATAATCTTATTTTATTATTAAGGTAAATAATAATTTTATTGAAAACAAGATAAATTTTAATTTTTGAATGATTACAGATTTAAAAAATTCACTTAAGTACATAATATTAAATATTCTTGTTTATTATTCAAAAATTAAAAAAAATACCTGAAAGAATACCATTATTTTTTAAATTCAATTATTTTCAACAATTCTGACAAAAAATTCTTCGAAACAATTCAATTGTTCTCAAAAGTTTTTAATAAAATTCTTTGTAAAATTCAACTTTTTTCAAAATTTTCAAAATTTTCAATTACATCAAAAAATTTAATTATTTCTGCAAATAATTTAATACTGGAATAGAATTTTATTAAAACTTTTTTAAATAATAATAATAATAATTGAATTCTTACGAAGAATATAAAAATAATTGAATTTTCCCTGGAATTCAATTAAAATTGTATTTAAAATAATTGAATTCCAGCGAAAATTTCATTATTTTTAAAAATAAGTGCATTCTTCATTTGAATTTTATTGAAACTTTTTTAAATAATTGAACTCCTGTGAAAAATGGAATTATTTTTAAAAATAATTGAATTTTCTCGGAGAATTTTTACAAGATTTTTAAAAATAATTAAAATTTTCGAAGAAATCAATTAAAATTTTATTGAAAATAAGTTAATTTAATAAAATTTCTCTAACAGATTCAATTATTTTTAAAAATTGTAATAAAATTCTTTGTCAATTTCAATTATTGTCAAAATTTTTAATTTAAATTATTTAAAAAAATTACATTATTTTTACGAAATTTAATGAAATTCTTAAAAAAAATGTAATCATTTACAAAAACTCTAATAAAATTGTTTAAAAGAATTTAATTTTCTACGAATAATTTTAGTATAATTTAATAGGAACATTGTTAATTACAATTAATAATAAACACGATTATTTTGAAAACTTTAAAAAAATTCTTCATAAAATTCAATTATTTTCAAAATTCTCAGTAAAAATTATTTAACAAACTTCATTAATTTAAAGAATTTCAATAAAAATCATGACAAGAATTAAATTATTTTCAGTGCATCTAAAATTGAAATATTTCTGAAAATAATTGAATAGAATTTTATTAAAACTTTCTTAAATAATTGAATCCCTGCGAAAAAATTTATTATTTCTGCAAATAATTGAATTTTTGCAAAATTTGAAAAAATAAGTGAATTTTTTAAAAGAATTTTATGAAAATTGTATTTAAAATAATTAAATTCCAAGGAAAAATTTACTATTTATTAATATAATTGAATTCTTAAGAAGAATTTAAAAATAATTGAATTTTCCCTGGAATTCAATTAAAATTGTATTTAAAATAATTGAATTTCAGCAAAAATTTTATTATTTATGAAAATAATTCAATTCTTGAATTGAAATCTTGAATTTTATTAGAAGTTTTTTAAAAAATTGAACTCCTGTGAAAAATTTAATTATTTTTTAAAATAATTGCATTTTCTCCTAGAATTTTCACAAGATTTTTAAACATATTATTTGAAATTATATTTGTCCCCATTCGAAGAAATCAATTAAAATATTGTATTGAAAATAAGTGAAATCCTGATAAGAATTTTATTATTTACATAAAAATAATTGAATTTTTTTACGAAGATTTTTATTATTTATAAATTGACTGAAGAATTTTATTACAATTATTGAAAATAATTGAATTCTTTATAGAATTGAATTACTTTTAAAATTTTCAGTAAAAATTATTAAAAAAAACTTTACTTTTTTTAAGAATATTAAAGTGAATTCTTCAAAGCAATTCAATTATTTAAAAAAAAATTTAATAAAAATCTTGCCAAGATTTGATTTAATTTCAATACAATTTTAATTACATTTTCTCGAAAGAATTCAACTATTGAAAAAAATGTTGATAAAATTCTTGAAATGAATTTAATTATTTTCAAATTTTTTGGATAAATACTTTGCATTAATTCAATGATTTTCAGTACACAAATTTAAAAATTGAAAATATTTAAAAAGAAACATTATTAAAAAAGTTAAAAAAACAAAAAAGCAAACAACAACTAATTTCAAGCTGCAAACAGATTATCGAAATACAACGATTATTATTATAGATTATGTATTAATGAAATAAAATCGTATTTTGCATTATACTTTTCCGCTTGAAACGATTTGAAATGTGCCCCATATAGTGGAAAAAAGAAATGAATAAAACTTACGTATATTTGAATTTCAAATTTCCGTTTTGCTTTTTCCTTTCCAAGGTTTCTTGACAGCGGTGAATTGTTACAACGTAAAATGGGCAACACGAGTGCAAAGTATATTTACAGGAACAAAAATATTTGCCCTGATTATTATAATGGTCGCTGGATTTTGGTGGCTCTGCTTGGGGCACACAGAAAATTTTCGCAGTCCAATGTCAGATTCAAATACAAATCCAGCATCAATTGCTCTCGCTATGTACAGCGGTCTTTTTTCATATTCCGGTTGGAATTATCTTAATTACGTCACCGAAGAGCTAAAGGATCCATACAGGTATAAAGAATTTCCTTTCAATCTGCAAAGAGAGAAAAAAAATTGAAATATACTAGAATTAATTATAAATTCAATTTACATATCTAGATATATTCTTTACTCCTTTCTAAATCCATTGAAATATGTAGTTAAATATAGAAAAAATGAAGGGAAAAAAGAAAAATGAAGAAAAATTACTAAATGTCGAATGAAGAAAAATAAATGAACAGGAATAAATAAACACGAAGAGAACAAAAATAAGTAAAGACGAAATGAAAGCAAATAAATAATACGAAAAAAAATAAATTATTATCAGTTACAGAAAGAGAATTTTTGTTTATAGACAAATTTTGAAAATACAGGTTTTTCAATTTTTGGAAAAAAATTTAATTTCAGAATAGAGAGAGAATATGAGACTTGAATAACAAAAAGGGGGAAACTTTTTCATTATTGAAGTTCTCTTTTGTTCGCATTGTAAAATCGAACTCCTTTGTGAAAATTAAACAATACACGTTCATATTCTTGTTCCCATTGTTTGGTTTTTTTAATTACTCCTTTAGTTTTTTCATATTGTAAATAAGAAAACGCTCTATAAATACCGAACAATATTTATAAAAATAAAATTCGAAAACAAAAAATTCTATTTTTAATTCCAACTTTTAATAATTATTAATTTTGAAAGAGACAAACCCTGAATATAATTATTTTAAATCTTAATTAAAACGATTAAAACTAAGATTTTATTTTTAAATTAAACAAATCTTAAATTTATATATTTTTCATCGGATAAAGTTTAATTTTATCTATTTTGGAAAAAATGTAAATTTTATTTAGTTAATATCATAAATTTTATTTTAAAATAAGGAATTATTTATTTCTGTTAGTTAACGTTTTTTGGTCCAATAAGTCCTGAGTGTTAATAATATTAATTTATTAATTAACAATAAAATAATAATAAAAAAAACAATAATAAAATAATTTTTCAGGAATTTACCGAGGGCAATTTGCATATCATTGCCATTAGTGACAGTAATTTACGTTTTCGCGAATGTAGCGTATTTTGTTGTTTTAACACAGGAGGAAATCCTCTCATCGAATGCTGTTGGTGTTGTAAGTAAATTGAAAATTAAAATTTATTTCTTACTCAATTTTTTAATTTAATAATTAAATTCAATTATTTGAAAAAATTACTTATAAAATAGATTTTCAAAGATTAAATATTTAAAATTAATTTTATAAACTATTTGAAAATTTATTGAGAGTTACTTTTTGAAAATTTATTGAAAACATTGAAAATAAAATATTATTTGAAAATTTATTGAAAATTATTTTTAAAAAAAATTTATTTAAAATTTACTTTATAAAGAATTTTATTTTTTAATTTTAGACATTTGGTGATAAACTTCTGGGACCAATGGCATGGCTAATGCCATTTTTTGTAGCTTGCTCAACTTTTGGAGCTTTGAACGGTGCAATTTTTGCATCATCGCGGCTTTTTTTCGTTGGTGCTCGCAATGGACATTTACCAACTGCCATTTCGCTCATCAATGTCAAAAATTTGACACCAATGCCTTCTCTTATTTTCATTGTGAGTATTTTTAATGCTTTTCTTTTCTACTTTGAATAATTAATTATTAATATCAAATTAATCTTTATTTATTGTTTATTTTTGTAATTATTATTATTTTATTATTCAATTTTTACTGTTTTAATTTTTCTATTTTTATTATATTTTGATTATTTCAATATTTCTATTTTTCTTATCATAATTTTTCTGTCGTTATTATATTTTTATTTTTTTGTCATTGCATTGAGAAATTCGCGTAAAATTAATAAAAAAATATATTCCTTAAACGATTCATGTACATTGGTCTCCCATTGCAATTTATTTATTGCCAATGACCCAAAAAAAAAAAATAGAATTTATAATAAATTCAGAAGCACTTTGAGAAAAGAAAAACTCTGCCCCAGTGATTCACTGACATTTCAATGTCGATTATAATCTTGACGCTTTGTGTCAGAGGCATTTGCAAGTCAATTGAATTATAGAATTAGGTTTAAATTTAATACGAGATATATACGCACACGAATCGATCAATGAATATTTATAAACTTTCTTCGAATTCTCAATAAGAAAATAGCAAATTTTACAAAAAATGAATCATTAATAATGCTAAAATAATAGATTAATAATAGTTATTTTAATTTATACCTATATTAAATGAAAATTACAATTAAAATTAAAAAATTTGTCTTTGATCATACGCGGCGGAAACATTAATAATATATATCTTAACTACATCACTAAAACCGACAATAAAATTTTAATGATATTTAAGAAATTCAATTGATTTAATTTTTTTCTAACGAGATCAATTTACGAATTTATTTATCGGCAAATTAAATTAGAAACTTAAATGAAATTTTATTAAATTAAATAATTTTAATTTTCTTTGAAAGTTTTATTATTTTAATTCGTTTTTAAAAAATCGCTTTTTATTTCAATTTTTATAGATATTTATACTGCTCTCTAAATTTGAATTAGTTAAAAATAATTAATTTGATAGTAAAAAATCAGTCACTGATTCAAAAATAGTATGTAAATAAATTTTAAAAAATTATCGAATTAATAGAAATTTTGTGAAATTCAACTGAAAATAATTAAATTTTTTAAAGAATTTCATTAAAATCTTTTTAACAAATCGAATTTTCAAAGCATTTTAATTTAATAATTGATAAATAATTAATAAATTAGTTAATTTCAAAAAAGATACACACTTAAAATTTTTTTAATAAAATTGAATTTTTGCAAAGTTTTTATGAAAATTCTGAAAAATAAGATTTTTGAAATTTTTAAATTCTATTTTTTTAAGATAATTGAATTTTTATGAACAGATAATTGAAAATTTTTGAAATAATTGACATTTCTATACATTCTATTAAAAATAATTAAATTCTTTTAAAGAATTTTATTTAAATTTTTCGAAAATAATCAAAGAAAATCAGTCACCGTAATTAAAATTTTATTTTAAAAAATTTCTTCGCAATATATTCAATTATTTCTAAAAACTGCAAAAAAAAATTCTTCTCAAGAATTCAATTATTTCCATAAATAGCCAAATTCTTTAAATTTACTAAATTTTTTTGAATATTATTTTAAAAAAAAATTCTTTACAAGAATTCAATTATTTTCATAAATTTCAAAAACATTTTAAAAAAACAATTCAATTATTTTTAAAAGTATAATAAAATTATTCGCAGAAATTCAATTACGTTAAAAATCTTTTTAAAATTCTCCTTAAAATTTCAATTATCTTTATAAATAATTAAATTGTTCTCCACAATTCAATTATTTTCAAAAATTTTTAATTTTAATAAAATTCTACGCAAACATTTAATTGTTTTCATAAATTATTATTTTATTATTTTAAAAAATTGAAAAAATTCTTTGTTTAATTCAATTATTTTCCAAATTTTTAATTAAAATTATTAAAAAAACATTATTTTCATAAAGTTTGTAGATTTATTTATATTCGAAATCAAATAAATTTAAATTTGATGAGAAAAAAAACCGGGAAAAATTAGGACAAAGCCGGGAATTTTTTTTGAACGAAAATACATAGTAGAAAAAGGAACAATTTAATATTTTTATTACATGAACTCTAATATTTTTTATGTTATTAATTTAATATTAATTAAAATTTTATTTATCAGTTATTAATAATATTGGTTTTAATAATAATATTAATAATTATAAATAATTATTAATATTAATTAAATATTAGTTTAATAGATAAATATTTTTAATATAAAAAATAATTACTGTGATTCTGTTCTAATTACCTTTTTTTATTATTTGCATCCATCTTATCCATTTTTTTTCTCCTTTATTATGGTTTCAGTGCATCATAACATTGGCCCTTTTATTAATAAATGACGTTTATGCATTAATCAATTACGTGAGTTTCGTTGAATCATTATTCATTGCGATGTCAGTAAGCGGCCTTTTGTGGTTGAGGTATAAAAAGCCGGATCTCCATCGACCTATTAAAGTAAGTAACAAATAATAAAAATGTCATCTTTCATTTAAAAGACAAAAATAGGTACTAAACTTACAAATTTTTTCAAAATCAATTCTTAAAATAAATTCAATATTTTTTTTCGCAAAAAATAAATAATTTTTTAAAAATTAATTCATAATTTATATTAGGTATAAAAAATAATATTCTTTTTTTAATTTTCAGGTTTCCATTATTTTGCCAATATTATTTTTCGTTATTTGCGTATTTTTAGTAATACTTCCATGTTTCACTAGACCATGGGAAGTTAGTTGTGGATTAATATTTATTACCTTAGGAATTCCTATTTACATTATTTTTATTTATTGGGAGAAGAAGCCAAAATGGATAAAAAATGCATCGCGTAAGTAAATAATTATATATAATATTTTATTAATAATTTAATTGTACGACTAATTTTCAAATATTTTTTTTCCTTACAGATAATTTTAATTTATTCTGCGCAAAATTATTCATGTGTGTTCAAGAAGGAAAAATAGACTGAGGTTTGAAGTATAAGTTAAAAGAAAAAAAAAATAGCTCAGTCAATATCAGACATTTTTTCAGTTTTAGCGATTGTAAATACTTTCTTCCAATCCGATTTCTTTTTTTTTTTTTAGTTATTCACAATTTTACATAGGTAAATGTTTACAATTAATTTATTTAATTTAAAAATACGAAACGGCAATAGGAGATTTATTTTAATTACTAAGTTTATTATTGAACGCGAAAGAATAATTTATTCAATTTATTCAATTCAATCAATGTGCCAATTAAGTCAAATTTGTACAGAAATTTTAGAATTTAAGTCTTCAATTATTTTTTAGTGAGGCTAATATTATAGTCAATCTATAGAAATTTTTTATAAACAAGGTCCTATACACCACTAAAAAAATTTTTCGGCCATATTTGAAAATTCAAATTGTCAATTGAATAACCAAGAAAGATTGTAAGTTTTTAGCTCGAGACTTTTTTTGTAAATAGTAGACGATTATTAATCAAGAGTACTTTTATAAAAATATTTTCAGAGATTTGACAATATTTACAAAAGTGCTCGATTTAAAAAAAATCCTATATTTAACATAATGAATTATTTCTGAAAAAAAACATTATATTGCATTTATTAAGAAATTTGAATTTTCAGAAATAATTCATCGAGAATCATGTGTGCCAGATAGTGTATAAGATTAAAATCTTTGCATAATAAAAACGAATTCGTAAATAAAAATTATAGAAGAGTGAAAAAATTGTTAAATCAGTATTTTTAGTATAATAATATAACTTAAAGGGGACAATAAATCAAAACCTTTTCGTTCAACATTTTCATGTGTATATGAATGGTGCGAATATTTTGTAAAATAGACATTTATATAATGTAAATATTTTTCAAACAAAATCACCAAAAATGCATTCCAATTGTTAGGTACGACGACAAAAATTTAAAAACGCACAAATATAATCTATGGCTATAAAAAAGACTTTTTGCTTTCATTTTAACATTTTACTCTAAATCAAGAATATTTAGAATATTAACTTTTTAATTATTATAAAAATTGTTTTGCTTATAAATAAAAGCATACTTACAAAAAAAAACCGGTGTCACATTTTCTAACCTCAAAATGCATAAACTCCTCTTTGTACATATAATGAAACTTATTTCGTGCATTAAAACTTTCACATCTTGCAAGAAAATTAAAAATTATTTTCACTATCTGAAATATCTATTCTAAAATTCTTGACATTTGGACTGTTTTAATCGTTTTGAAGAATAAAAATATCTATAAAATAAAAACTATAAACACTTGTAAACATTTTAGAACTTTCCGGAATTTTCAACTGATGTGACACTCCACTGTTGCCAATTGTTTATGACTGAATTTTTCTTCAAGGCGAGCAGAGAGAAAATTAAACTAATATTTAAAATTATACTATTTTATTATTACTTATTGCTTCAAAAACATTTGAAAATATTGTTATAAGTGAATAATATTTATTATCATAATGTAAATATTATTATTAAATAATTTAAATATTTCAAAATTCAAAAGAAGATTAGGTTGGCAACAAGGATAAATTTATCTTAAAATCTGATTGGTCAAAGTTTCCCGCCGTCATATTTAAAATTATTTATTTTTCTCGCCTATGAACTATTTTTATACAATTGTATAAATGGTATAAATAAATAATTAAATCGTTTTTCTCACAAAGCCTTCGCTTAACTATAGTTTGAAAAGCAAATATTATTGACAGACATAGAGTTTTTAATAAATTAACGATAATTGACAAATCATACTGCGCAAAATCTTCAAGTCTTTGCGATAATAATAAAAATCTCTTTCCAAGCGACTGCTGTCAAGAAGCTTTTATAGAAAATTATTGTTTTTATTATGAAATAAACAAGTGATATAGAGAAAGAAACTTTTTTTAACATTGTGCTTTTATTATTTTATTATCCTTAAATAATATTTATACCCGTGTACTCAATTTTTCTACAAAATATCCTGAAATTTAATCACACCTAACCTAAAAATGACGGAGAATTTTGCGGATATTATCAATGAGGAACAATTAATACAAAAACATAAAAAAGAACGAAAGGATTTACAAGGTAATTTGATAAAAAGTTTGTTAATTGAACTTAATTCTTTGGAGAAATGTTGAAATTTAGAAACCTAACCTCAAAAAGTATAAACAAAAATAAACTTTTTTTTATTCGGATAATATTTACATTGTTTACATTAATAATGAAAGAGTTTTTTTTTTAATTTTCTTATTTTTATTCTAGCGCAAATTCAATCATTAAAGAAATCAATAGGCAAGGGAAATAAAAAGCAGAAAAAAGATGTGACGGAGGAAATTGCACGCCTCGAATTAGATTTAGATAAAAGGCAAAATGACGAATTAGTGAATTTTAAATTATCTGAAGTGAAATTAGAACAAATAGATATAAAAGAAAATGCAAATGAAGAAAACCTTGATCAAAGTGAAAATGTAGACGAGAAGGAAGAACAACAAGTGATACCGCAAAAAATATCAAAAGCCCAGAGGCGACGCGAAAAGAAAGCAAACGAGGAAAAGGAACGAAATCAACGAATAATTGATGAAGAAGCTGGAAATATTTATAGTAAACGAAATATGGAAATGATAGCAATTAGAAATATTCTCGTGAAACGTGAATTTAAATTACACGAAATTGCCAGCGATGGCAACTGGTAATTATTTTTATTTTTTGAAAAATTTAACAGGGCTCGAACCAGTGAAAGTATTAAAAAATTACGGACTTTACGGACCAAAAATGAAAAATTACGGACCAATTTCTGACAAAAATTTAACCAGTCCGAGTTAAATAAGAAAACATTCTATTTAAAACTATAAATTGAATTTTATAACTATAAAACATGAAGATATCAATAACTCCGAGTCTTCGACTCGGAGTAATCGATTTCTTCATGTTTTATAATAATTAAAGATGTCAATTTGATGAAATTATTATTTTATATTATAAGAATATTGTACTTCTTTAAAATTATTTTCATCATTTCAATTCAATTATTATGTTTAAGAATGTCTAACTACAATTCTTAATTAATTTTCGAAAAAGTTCTTTGACAATTTTCAAATCCATTTGTTTACAATATTCAATTTTACGAATTTCAATTATTCGTAAATTCTTCAATTAAATATATATTGGAAATTAAAACCTTCAAATAATATAAAACAAAATTTAATTAAACTTTTTCACAAAAATTAATTTTAAAATTCAATTATTTCTAAAAATTTACGCGCTATATTGCTTTTAATATTCAATTATTATCTAAAATTTTAACTGAAATTCATTTTTAAATCAATTTTTATTAGAAAATTCTACTGGAATTCAATTATTTAAATACAAAAACGATTTATTGAATAATTGAATGTTTTTAAAATTCAATTCCCATAAAGAATTTTATCAACAAATTTTTAAATAATTGAATTCCTTATAGACGAATTTCAATATAATTTTTAAGAATAATTAGAATTTTCGAGAAATTCGATTAAAATTGTATTAAAAATAATTGAAATTCTGCGACGAGTTTTATTATTTATGAAAATAATTGAATTTCTAAAAAAAATCTTATTATTTTTTAAAATAATTAAATTATTGTGAAAAAATTTATAAAAAAAATTGGTAAATAATTGAATTCCTGTGAAATTTTTATTATTTATGAAAATAATGAAATGTTTGGGTAGAATTTTATTGAAATTTTTTGTAGTTCATTAAATTCTTTTGAAAAACTTTATTAAAATAGCAGATATTGAAAATCATTGAATTCATGAAAATTTTGGAAAATAATTGAAATTTTGCCAAGAATTTTATTAAAATGTTTAAAAATAATTGAATTTCTCAGTAAAATTTTATTAGTTTTCAAAATAATTGAATTTTTTAGCAGAAATGTATTAAAATTTTTCAAAATAAATGAATTTATACGAAGAATTTCATTATTTACAAAGATAATTAAATTTTTGTGAAGAAATTTAATTAAATTTAATTTAATTAATAAAATTAAATAAAATTTAATAATAAAATAATAATAAAATAAAAAAATAATAATAAAATAATAAATAATAAAAAAATTAATAATTAATTAATAATAATAATAATTAATAAATTAATAAATTAATAATAAAATTTTTCTCCGAAATTCAATTATTTTTAAAAATTTTAAGAAAAATATTCCTAAAAATTCAATTATCTTCTTAAATATTAAAATTCTTTCATTTAATTAAATTAAATTAATTAAATTTAATTTAATTTCTTCTTTTTGATATTTTTTAAAATATTTTAATTCTTCCAAAAACATTTTTTTAAATATAATTGATTTTTTCGAGGAATTGAAATTAAATTTTTCGAGCAATTTTTGTAAAATTGTATTAAAAATAATTGAAATCCTGCGATGAATATTATTATTTATGAAAATAATTGAATAGTTGCTAAGAATTTAATTAAAATTTTAAAAAATAATTGAATTCCTGAAAAGAATTTTTTGATTTATGAAAATAATTGAATTATTGCGAAGAAATTTATAAAAACATTTGTAAATAATTGAATTCCTTGTCAAATTATGCCAATTTTTAAAATCAAACCTTTTCTAAATTCAATTATTTCTAAAAATTTATCCTAAAATGCACTTAATATTCAATTATGTCAAATTTTAACTAAAATTCATTTTTAAATCAATTTTTATTAGAAAATTCTACTAGAATTCCATTATTTAAATATAAAAATAAATAATTTATTAATTGAATGCTCGTAAAGAATTTTATCAAATAAATTTTTAAATAAGTGAATTCTCTCTACGAATTGTAACAAAATTTTAAATAATAATTACATTTTTCAAGAAATTTGTTTAAAATTGTATTAAAAATAATTGAAATTCTGCGAAAAGTTTTATTATTTGTGAAAATAATTGAATATCTAAGAAGAATTTTATTATTTTTGAACATAATTAAATTTCTGCAATAATTTTTAATGCAACAAAATAATTTATTGAATAATTGAATGTTTCTTAAAATTCAAATCTCATAAATAATTTCATCAACAAATTTTTAAATAATTGAATTCTTTGGAAGAATTTTAATAAAATTTTTAAGAATAATTACATTTTTCGAGGAATTTGATTAAAATAGTATATTAAAAATAATTCAAATTCTGCAATGAGTTTTATTATTTATCAAAGTAATTGAATTCCTAAAAATCATTTTACTATTTACGAAAATAATTGAATCCCTGTAAAAATTTTATAATTTACGAAAATAATTGAATTATTGACAAGAAATTTATAGAAAATTTATAAATAATTGAATTCCTGTGAAATTTTTATTATTTTATAAAAATAATTAAATGTTTGCTAAGAATTTTATTAAAATTTTTGAAAATAATTGAATTTCGGAGAATTTTATTATTTCCAAAAATAATTGAAATTTTGACGAGAATTTTAAAAGTTTTTGAACATAATTGAATTTTTGCGAAGAATTTTATTGTTTTTGAAAATAATTGAATTTCTGCAATCATTTGTAATTTCTCTTAAATTCTCCAAATTATATCGTACAATTTACGAACTTTTCGTCCATTTCTCAATCAAAATATCAAATCAAAGACTTTACGGATCTTTTTTTCAAAAAAACGGACTTTTACGGGCTTGAAACAAATTTACGGACCTTTATGGGATTTACGGACCTAGTTCGAGCCCTGATTTAAATATTTTATTCAATGTTTCCGAAAAAAAATTGAAAAAGTAATTTACTCATTTACTTTTCAGTTTATATAATGCAGTCGCGCATCAAATGAAAGTCAAGGGTCTAACGCCTCTTGGCTTTAGTGATCTTCGAACAAAAACCGCAACTTACTTACGCGAAAATATGAATGATTTTCTTCCATTTCTAGCCAATTCAGAATCAGAGGATTTATTAACTCCCGAGGAGTATGAAAAATATTGCGACAACGTTGCTAAAACATCAGCATGGGGTGGAGCTGTCGAGGTATGTAAAATATTTTCCAAATGCGAATTTGAAAAAAAACCTCCGAAAACTTTCGGAAATATAGAAATGAGTAATAATAAATTTCTTACTTCGAAAGCCTAATTCTATAATTTAAAAAATAAAATTCTCTTACCTTTCTAGCTTCAAGTTCTATCGAAAATTCTCGAATGTCCCATTGAAGTTATTCAAGCTCAGGGTGCACCATACGTTGTTGGGGACGAATTTGACGCGATGAAAAAATTGACAGTGACATATCATCGACACATGTACGAATTAGGCGCCCATTATAATTCTGTTACAAAACACAATCCTGGCGAACAACCAGATGAATTTTAACAATTTTCCTCTATTGTATGTATATAATTTTTAATAACGATTTTTATTCATCATCAATTTTATTTAATATAATATATAGTAAATAAATTTGGAGAAAAAAAACGATCAACGGACTTACTTTTTTTGTGAATTTATTAGCAAAATTCGTTTTTCTTTATTATAAATATCAACTGTTGTCTTTCCAGTTATTTTTCTGGTGCATTGCTCACTTCATTCTCCTCTGAGTCTTTATGTTTATTTGGGTCGTCGGGTTTCATTGCAGGGAAGAATAATACTTCCTGAAAAATTTAAAAAATTAGTTTTAAATTAGAAGTTTATTAACTCCAGACTTCGCACTCGATAATTAATTTTAAAAAAGTAGCTTTCAAACTAAAAAAAGTAGTAAAAACGTAGCTATCGAAAAATTAAACTTGACGATAAATTGAATTCCTAAAAAGAACTTTATTATTTGTGAAAATAATTGAATTCTTGCGAGCGATTTTATTAGAATTTTTTAAAATAATTGAATTTTCATGAAAATATTTATTACTTTTAAAAATAATTGAGTTTTGCAAAGAATTTTATTACAATTTTCAAAAATAATTGAATTCTTGAGAAGAATTTTATTATTTTTAAAAATAATTGAATTTTGCAAAGAATTTTATTAAAATGTATCAAAATAATTGAATTTTCGGGAATAATTTTGTTATTTATCAACGTAATTGAATTCTTTCGAAATATTATTTATATAAATAATTAAACTCTTGGTATGAATTTCATTAAAATTTAAAAAAATAATTGAATTTTTTCAAACAAAATTTAATTAAAATTGTATTTAAAATAATTGATTTCTTTCGAACAATTTTATTAAACCAGTTGAAAATAATTCAATTCCTGAGAAAAATTTTAATATTTTTTTAAATAATTGGATTTCCAAGAAGAGATTTATTACTTTTAAAAATAATTAAATTCTTGTGATGAATATTGTTATTTATGAAAACAATTGAATTTTGCAAAGAATTTTATTAAAATGCCTCAAAATAATTGAATTTTCAAAAATAATTTTGTTATTTATCGACATAATTGAATTCTTGGGAAGAATTTTATTAAAATCTAAAGAATAATTGAATTATTTCAAAAAAATTTAATGAAAATTGTATTTAAAAAAATTGATTTCTGTCGAACAATATTATTGAAATATTTGAAAATAATTTAATTCCTGTGAAAAATTCTAATATGTTTGTAAATAATTGAATTCTTACAAAAAGTTTTAAAAAAACATTTTTTTAAATAATTTATTTTTTTGAGGAATTGAAATTAAATTTTTAAGAATAATTACATTTTTCGAGCAATTCCTGTAAAATTTTATTAAAAAAATTGAAATCCTGGTATGAATTTTATTATTTATGAAAGTAATAGAATATATTGCCAAGAATTTTATTAAAATTTTCAAAAATAATTGAATTCCTGAGAAGAATTTTATGATTTATGAAAATAATTAAATTAAGTTGCGAAAATTTTTATTAAAATGTGAAAAATTTTGTTATATTTGAAAATAATTGAATTCTTCACAAGAATTTTATAAACATTGTTTTAAATAATTTATTTTTTTAAAAATATTATAAATATTATGAAAATTTTATTTTAAATAATTGAATTCTTGTGAAAAGCTTTATTTGTGAAAATAATTGAATTCTTGCTTAGAATTTTATGAACAATTTTTGTTAAATAATTGAATTTCCATGAAAAATATTATTAGTGAAAGTAATTGAATTGCTGTGAAGAATTGTATAAAAATTTTGTTAAATAATTGATTTTTTCTGAATTTTTTTTGAAAATTATATTCTTAATTAATTGAATTCCTTTGGAAATTTTATTATTTATGAAAATAATTGAATTTTGGATGAATTTTATCAATTGTTTTTTAAATAATTGAATTCTTGTGCGATATTTCATGAAAATACTAGATATTGGAAATAATTGAATTTTGAATATTTTTTGAAAATAATTGAATCGTTTTAAAGAATTTGATTATAATTTTTGAGAATAGTTTTTTATTTCTAGTATTAGCGAATTTAAAGTACTTTTAAATTCTCAAAAAAAAACAGAAATAGTAGCTTTTAGTGGCTGAAATCTAAAAAAAATTACCCAAATAGTAGCTTAACGTAAAAAAAAGTAGTAAATAGTAGGTTTTAGTAGATGAGTGCGAAGCCTGTAACTCTAATTGATAAAATTAGTTTTCGGTAAAATTCTCTGATTTCGAGAAAGTAGGAGAAATTTACCTTTATGTTGTTTGAATCGGTAAGAAACATGGTGAGACGATCGATTCCGAGTCCCCATCCTCCGGTCGGTGGTAATCCGTATTCTAAAGCTGTGCAGAAAGTCTCATCGACTAATTGCGCTTCATCGTCTCCTGCTGCTTTGTCTTTCGCCTGTTGCTCGAATCTGAAATTTTATTCATTCAACAGTTAAGAGAAGTTATCGTAGTCGTATTTTATTTATTTTCTCTAAATTGTTATAATTATAAAGATAAATTCATTGATTTTCGAAATTCGAATTTAGAAATAATTTAATTCATTATAAATTGAAGCAGAATATTAATTTATCTCACCTTTCACGCTGAACTACCGGATCGTTTAATTCCGTGTACGCGTTGCAAATCTCCTTTTTCATGACAAACAATTCAAATCTCTCCGTTAAACCTTCCTCGGAGCGATGCCATTTTGCCAATGGCGACATTACTTGCGGATGATCCATGATGAACGTTGGATTTATGCATTTTTCCTCAATGAACTCGCCGACAAGCTGCAAAAAGTAAAAAACAATATTAAATTTCAGACAATTCATATCTCAATAAATTTAACAATAGACAAAAAAATAAAAACTAATTTTAACCTTTAATATTTCGAATTTAAAAAATAAGAACAAAGAAAGAAATAAAAAAAAAAGATAATAACACTGCCAAAAATTAATTTTGATAGAAGTTAATTATAAGAATTCGGTAATTTTTCAATTATTAGGAACAATAATCGATCGTATTTGATAAATTCGAAATTACCTTATCGAGTAATCTAGCTGTCGTTCTTGGCGCCGGACATTCAACTTCATGCTTTATGCAAAGATCGCTCAGCATTTTATTAGCCTCTGGAGTTCCATAGTCCTGGGGTTTCGGCAGAGTAACTTTAAGTAATTCCTCCAAAGTTTTAATCATCGATACTCGCTTAAATGGCGGTGTGAAGTCAATCAAAAATTTCTCGCCATCGACACCATTCGGATGAAACTCCACCTTATAACTCCCATGAATACTCATTACCATACCGGAAAGTAATTGCTCAGTAAGAACCATCACGTCATTATAATCGGCATAGGCCATGTAAAATTCACAAGTTGTAAATTCAGGATTGTGCGTCATATCGATACCCTCATTTCTAAATTGTCTACCAATTTCGTAGACGCGATCGATTCCTCCCACGACAAGCATCTAAAATACATAAATTATTCAATTTAAATTAATAAATTATTACTAATTCAATTAATTAATAAAAATTAGCATATACCTACCAAAATTAAAATTTTCTTTAAAAAGTATATTTAAAAAAATAAAATTTATCAATTTTCGTTTTACCTTGTGATAAAGTTCGGGGGCGATTCTCATAAAGAGATCGATATTGAGATCGTTGTGATGCGTCACAAATGGTTTGGCTGTCGCTCCACCGGCGATCATGTTCATCATCGGAGTTTCCACCTCCAAAAATCCAAGTTCGTCGAAAAATTTGCGAATGTAAGCTATTATTTTCGCACGAATATAAAAGGTCTGCCTTGTCTTGTCATTGAGAATCAAATCCAAATATCTCTGTCGAAACCGGGTTTCCTGCAAGTTTTTTTTAGAATAAAATTATACAAATTTAAATATTCTTAGTAATTCACAAAAATTTAATTTTGTTTTTCCCTGACTTTTCTCGGATTTCCAGACAAAATTTTGATTTTTTTCCTGACCCGAAAGAATATTCTGATTCAATCAAACCTTTTTGAAATCTTCATGTTTTATAATAATTACAAATAATGACCGAGAGATAAAATCATTATTTTAAATTATAAGAATATTGTTACTTTAACTTCTTCAAAAATATTTTCAACGTTTTAATTCAATTATTTTTTTCTAGTATTTTTAACTAAAATTAAGTTATTTCCAAAAATTCATTCTAAAATGATTTTTATTTTAAATTATTACCTCTATAAAATTTTCCAAGAAAAATGTTATAAAAATTGTAATTAATTGAATTCTTACAAAGAATTTTATTAATATTTTGAAAAAAAATTGAATTATTTAGTGAAATTCATTTAAAATGGTTTTAAAAATAATTGAATTTTAGCTTAGAATTTAATTATTTTTGAAAATATCTAAATTTCTGCAATAATTTGTAACTTCTCTGAAGATCAATTTTTATTAGTGTTTTTAACTAAAATTCTTCTATAAATCCATTATTTTTAATAATTAATTAAATATGTATTAAAAAAATTAACTAATTTCAAAAGAATTTGAGTTATTAAAATTTTTCAAAAATCTAAGTTCTAATTCTAAAGTTCTGCAAAAAGTTTTATTATTTATAAAACTAATTGAATTTTTGGGAAGAATTTTACTGAAATTTTTGAAAATAATGAAATTTCTGTAAAGAATTTTAATATTTAAGAAGATAATTGGATTTTTGGGAATATGTTTCTTAAGATTTTTAAAAATAATTGAATTTCGGAGAAAAATTTTATTTCTTTTGAAAATAATTCAATTTTCTCGCAGAATTTTATTGAAATTTTGAAAAATAATAAAAGGTTTTGCGAAGAATTTTATTATTTATGTAAATAATTGTGACGCGATCTGAAGAAAGGGACCTTAGAAGCAAATCATTTTAAGGTTGGGTTAGAGTTACTTTTTTCTTGTTTGAAAGTTTCTTTTTACTTATTTCGAATTAAAATCAGTGTTTATTAAATATTTTAGTTTTAATGAAGACTTAAACTTCAATGATTTATATTGACAGTTGATCCTTTTTTTGTATTTTCAATTAAAAAATTGCAAACTTAACCTATAATTTCTTGCTTCTAAGGTCCCTTTCTTCAGATCGCGTCACAATTGAATCCCTGTAAAATTTTTTTTTAAAATAGTTGATATAGAAAATCATTGAATTGAAGAAAATTTTTACAAATAATCGAATTTTTGCGATGAATTTTCTTAAAACTTGAAAATAATTGAATTTCCAAGGAAAATTGTATAAAAAATGTAAATAATTGAATTCTTACAGAGAATTTTATTAATATTTTGGAAAAAATTTAATTATTTAGTGAAATTCATTTAAAATAGAATTAAAAATAATTTAAATTCTGCGATGAGTTTTATTATTTATAAAAATAATTAAATTTTTAAGAAGAATTTAATTATGTATATGAAAATAATTGAATGTTTCCGATGAATTTTATCAAAATTTTGATTAAATAATTGAATTCTTTCAAAAAATTGTATTATTTATGAAAACAATTGAATGTTTCCGATGAATGTTATCAAAATTTTATGATAAAAAATTAAATAATTGAATTCTTTTGGGAAATTTTATTAAAATAGTAGATTTTGAAAATCATTGAATTGAGGAAAATTTTGGAAAATAATTGAATTTCGGAGAAGAATTTTATTATTTATCAAAATAATGGAAATTTTGATTAGAATTTTAAAAAAATTTCGAACGTAACTGAATTTTATTATTATTGAAAATAACTGAATTTCTGCAATAATTTCTAACTTCTCCAAAATTCAATTTTTTTTTAGTATTTTTAACTAAAATTCTTCTATAAATCCATTATTTTAAATAAAACTAGTTAAATATATATTAAAAAATTTAACTAATTTCAGAAAAATTTGAATTATTAAAATTTTTCAAAAATCTAAGTTCTTTAAAATTTGTAATGAAATTCATACAAAATTGAAATTTTATAAAATTTAAAATTAATAGGTACTTTTTGAAGTTCATGTCTATTTATGAGAATTGTAAACGCAACTCTTTTAAAATTGAATTAATTTTGAAATATTCAAGTAAAATTATTCATTAAATAATTTTCTAATTGTTCTTCAGATCCTATTTAAAAAGAAATTATTGTCAGAAACAGAAAACATTGAAGGTTTTATATCAGAATTCGTGATAATTTCAAAGTTTATGAGGCAAACGAAAAAAAAGACAAAAATTCAGAATTTTCTTCTGAATTCTAAACTTTTAATTTTTTCCAGTACTGTTAATAAAAATTCGTGACTTTTCCCTGACTAATTCTACTTTCCTTACACCTTTAATTAAAGAATTCTACTTTCCCTAACTTTTTCCCTGACCTGTGTCAATCCTGTAAATATTCATTGAAACAATTAAATATTCAATGAAACAATTAGACAAATATTCAATGTAACAATCAGACAAATAGACAATGAAACGTATAATCACCTTGTCCTTCAATCCAAAATGCAAATGAGGAAGCATATGAAGACATGGACTCAGTAAAGTGATGCTCTTGGGTAAAATGGAAAATTCACCTTTCTTCGATTTACCCGGATATCCAACGACACCAATAATATCGCCGCGACGAATTTTTTGCGTTTGCTTGAAAAATTCTTCTTCATTGGGAAATCGGCGAGCATTCGCCAATACTTGAATTTTCGTCCCCTCACCGCGAAGATCGTAGAATATTAATTTAGCACCAGCTCCACGAATCGCATGTACACGTCCAGCAATACTGCATTCTTCATTTTCAAGTACATCGCCATCCTTCAATTTCTCCGAATATGTTTCTATAAATTTTTCTAACGATATTGAAACATGAAATTTATGCGGATACGGATGTTCATCGTTTGCTTTCAATTGCGCAACAGCCAATGAACGAAGTTTAAAATATTCCTGTAAATAATTATTAAAATAAAATTAAAAATAAATTTAATTAAAATAATTAATTATAAAATAAATAATTAAATTCAATTAAAAATAAGAAAATATTACATTTGGACTAATTTCCTCCTCGTTTAAAGCCGAATTTTTCTCAGCTGTCTCACTTTTTGCCGCCTCTGACGATTTCACTTCTTTCTCTGCTTTTTCCTTCAATTTCTGTTCGGCCTTCAATCGCCTCTTAAGTTCACTGAAAAATAAAAATATTTTATTGGAAATTACCAAATTTATTAACCCTTGTATAAAATTAGAATTATTTCAGAGTCTTTTAGTTACAAGAACTGTCTTTTAAAATAAACCAAAGTTTTATTTACTCCAAGTTCCAAAAGCTTTCTATTTGGTTACTAGAAAATAATTTGATTTAAAAATTACGCACTTTTTTGAAGGCTGAATCGACAGATGACGAATATTCGATAAATCATTGGCTGTAAATGATTTTATAATTGCCGGTTCAATGAGAGTGAAATGTTTGGTTAGAATACGCAGCATGATGGATTTTTTTCTATTATTCCATCAAATGATGCATCACGTGACAAATTTAAACGCCAATATCGAGAAGAGTTTATTTAACTAACTAATCTCTTTTATTACATCAGAAAATTGACAATATAAACCTCATAATGAATAAGAACGTGGTTATACTTGGCGCACGTTACCGATATCATTATTTCTAACCTCAATTACTTTCACAATTTACAAACAAGGAAATTTTCATAATAAGAATGAAACGAATGTTTAATACACTAGTCAATAAATACTGGGGGGAGTTTTAATTAATTTATTATCCTTCGTTTTACTCACTTTTTAGATAATTTTTCACCAGCTGGCTCGGCCATGTTGACAACCTCTTGTGGAAGACGTTGAGAAACACTGTGTTTGTGCTTTTTTGAGAACCCTCCGAACGTCTGTAGCCACAGGACCCCCAGGAAAATATATCTGTTTGTATTTTAAAGATTTCCAAGGTAATTATTACATTATTTATTAGAGGAAGATAAAGAAACTGAATAATAGTAAATTTCTGCAGTTAACAGTAAAGTAATAGCGTTTTTTTTTCTTCCTGTAAGTTGTAAATACGTAAATATTAGGTTATGTTGGTACAATTGTTGTCTACGTACGATCTGAAGTTAGTGTCAAACTCAAAGTTACCCTATTGGTCGAAATTGGCGCCTTGATTTAAAACGTCCAAAGGGAAACTTTCCGAAACTCGCGCACCATTAATTTGACCAATCAGGCTCTTTGTTGCTAACTTCACCTCTCCGTTTATATCAATGAAAATGAAGTGCGCGAAATTTGAAAGTTCTGAATCTATTTATAAACAATGTATAAAATAATAATAAATAAATAATCAATAAATAATAATATATTTTTTCCTCAGGTAAAAGAGAATAAATTTCATGGAAAATATTTTTCATCTCAAAGAAACAATAACAAGTGCTTTGTATACTTGTGAAAATTACGAAGAATGGGCTGGAAAATTTTTCTCTCTGATAGAAAATTTACAACCGAGTCACGAATTATGTCAGATAATTATCAATGGATTCATTGAAAGCCACTTGAATAGAGATTATTACTATTGTTTCGCTACGGTTAGTATAATTAATACGATTAATAGAATTATTGCAATTAGTTAAAAATTAATAATAAAAATAATAAATTAATAATTAATATAATAAATTAAAGGTAAAGGAGAATGCCGGAAGTTCGTTCAAAGCCGAAAGGCAGGAACTATGTATAATATAATAAATTAGAAATTAATTACAAATTAATAATTAAAATAATAAATTAATAATTAATATAATAAATAAAAATTAATATAATAAATTAATAACTAAATTAATAATTAATACAAATTAAAAATTAATTAAAAATATTAATAACTAAATTAATAATTAATATAAATTAATGTAATAAATTAATAAATTATATAATAAATTAGAAATTAGTATAATAAATTAATAATTAATAAAATAAATTAGAAATTAATGTAATATATTAATAATTTTAGTGGCTAGGATCGACAAATGTGGTTTTTCGTTCAATTTTCGAAAAAATATTTGAAAATCTTTTCGAGTCGGAATTACCAGGCGAACCAGATCTTCACCGTATTTATGAAGAGACAAAATTTTTCGCTCGTCTCATTTATGAAAATTCGATATCATGGGATGTTCTCTCGTGCATACAATTAAAAGCGAATTCGTCAGCAGTACAAGAATATTTCGTGACACTATTATTTTTAGAATTGTCGGCGAATTTTGGAAAAAGAACTTTATGCGAACGACTTGAAGAATCGTAAGTAATTTTATTTTAATAATTTACTGTTAATTATATAAAAAAAAATATAATTGACACCAAATTTTATTAAAAAACAAAAATTAATAATAATTGTAGTAAAAAATAAAATTACTGCTAATTTTATTTAAAAAAATGAAATTATTGCCAATTTTATTAGAAAAAATAAAATTACTACTAATTTTATTTAAAAAAAATAAAATTAACTAAAATTTTTGCATAATAATTTTCCAGAAAATCGAGAAACGATTTTAAAGGTCTTTTTCCAAAGGATAATTTGGATAACACGCGATTCGCCATAAAAATATTCGAATTAGTCGATTTACACGATTTGACGTAAGTTTCCAAGTTTTAATCAAATATTTTCCTGTCGTTTAATAAATTTTCATTCCAATTATTATTTTTACAGTCACGATTTGCACGCACATATCAACGAATACGAACTTAATTGCAGAATACAAAAATTATCCTTATAAATAAAATGACAAAAACGAAAATTAATAGACTCGTATTAGTATTATGATAATTAGTATATACAAACATTTGTAAATATTATATACATTTCTTTTTATATTTATAAAATACAAAAAAAAAATTATCATTTCTAAAGGGTGCAAACAATAAGAAAATCCCCATTAATACATTAAGTCGTTTATATTTTTCGGCATTAAAGAATTAGTATAAACTTTCAGCAAACTGACAATGTGAAACGCCCTCATAGCCTTTGAATCATTCTCACTTAAATTTATCAAATAATTTTTTTTTATTTATATACTTTTTTTTAATTTTCCTTTTCTTGCTCATTTTTTTTTTTTTTTTAAAGTTATACAATATTTTCAATTATTTCGCGACAAAACAATTGGCGAATTATTTCTTTTTTCGTCCACTGACTCAATTAGTGTTTTAAAAACACATTTTACTTTTTTATTTAATTATTTATTTATTTATACACATTATAAAGAATAAAACGAAAATTCAAAAAAAAAAAAAAAAATTAACTCGCTCATCTAAATTGATTTAGTTTTACGCGAATACTCCGCGCGTGTAAAACAATTAATAATAAAACATTTAAAAAATAGTCAATGTCATTTAACATTCTTTTTTTTTCACTTTCCTGTTAAGATATGACAAATGTGCACTAACGACCGTGCATTATTTTTTTTATTACATTTTTTCTTTTTTTTTTTTTCAAATCTACAATATATCGACAATTGTGTTTCGCTTTTTTTTCATTAAAAATAAGAGTGAAAAATCTCTAACAATCGATAAAGATCTGTCTTTTTTTTTTGTTTTCCATTTTTTTATTATTAGTTTTACAGTTAAAAAAAATCAAAAAAAAAGAATTCTTTACATGAAAAACTTAAAAAACAAAAACTAACAGAAATATAGAGCTGCGCGAATAAAATATATTTTTTTATATATATAATCTTTTCTTTATAAATCATATTTAAAGCGTAAGAAACATTGAGTCAAGCAAACGGCGTGTGTTTCACATCGAATTTCGTCTGTACAAATCGAATTACTACTTAAAAAAAATAATTTTTTTTAAGAAAGGCATTCGCACAGTCCTACTGGAAAAAAAATTAAAAAAAAAATAATTATAATAAAATTTATCCAACGGATACGAGGATGCAAGGTTTTTTTTTTATAGAATTTTTTTTTCTTTTCTCTTTTTTTAAAGCAAAAAATATCATCGATCCGTAGGAAACTATACAAGATAAACAATCTACAGTAGACTTATTTGATAACGCACTTGTAAACGCCTTAAGTAGGTGTTTTTTTTTTCTTTTCTTTTTTTTCTATCTAATTTACATTACAGCTATAATAATAATATAATATAATAATATTATCAATAATAATAATATAATAATCGTCTATACATCGTTTATCTGTACAAGTATTTATCAGTCGTAAATCTGGCAACTGTCTTTTATTATTTTTCAAGGAGTGGCCGAAAAAATCGATTCTTTCCACTATTTTATTAAAAAAATCAGCACTGCTTTTTTTTCCTATTCTCTCAAATTAGAGAAATAGAGATATAGAGAGAAGGAGAGACAGTTGCTAGATTAATGAACTTTTTTTTTGTTTTTTCTTTCTTTACGTATTTAGAATAAGAATTCGGATGAGTCGAGATTTATGGATTTTGTACAATGCGATCCATCTTTTTTGCGTTAAAAACCCGAAAACACAGTTTTTTTTTCGAAAAAGTGTTCAATGTTTCTGGTTTTTTTTAATATTCTAGTTGTTTCATGGTGAACATCAAGTTGTTATTTTAGTTAATTAATTTTTTTTTTTTTTGACGATTGAGCTCACACTTGACTAGATTCGTCATTGGTGCACCTCCTTCGTTGCTATGTATTTTCATCAAGCAATTCCTGGGCCTGCTTTGGCATTTGCCAGCAGTGTAGACTCCTATCTTTACTGCCTGCGATTATCTACAGAAAGAAGAAAAAATTACTATTTTTTTCTTTTTGATTTTTTAATAACTATTCTTTTGTCTTTTTGTATTTTTAATTAAGTATTTTTTAGCCTCTTTGGTTTTTTTAATAACTATTTTTTTGTCTTTCATTTTTAAATAAACTCTTTTTTTTATTTTTTATTTTTTTAACAACTATTCTTTTGTCTTTTTGTATTTTTAAATAATTTTTTAATCTTTTTGTATTTCTTTAAAATAACTATTTTTTTTGCCTTTTTTGTAAATTTTCTAAATATTTTTATTTTATTTTATTTTTATTTTTTATTATTTTTATTCTAATCCTGCTGCTGAAAACATTAATTCTAAACTTTTGAAAAATTCAATTATTTTCTAAATTTTTATCCTAAAAAATACAATAGTATTTAAAAGTAAGTTTTAAAAGTAAACAAATAAAATTATTTAATAAAATTTCATTTAAATTGTTCACAGGAATTATGAAAATAAATTAATAATTTTTCAAAGTAAAAATTTTAATGTTATTACAGTTTTACAATTAAAATTTTCAACCATTTCAATTTAATAATCTTCTAAAATTTAGTTACTTCTAAAATTTCAACTGAAATTCATTATTAAATCAATTCTTATTAGAAAGTTCAACTGAAATTTAACTATTATTTAAATACAATAAATAATATTTTGAATAATTGGATTTAATCGATTTAATTCTCATAAAGAATTTATCAGTTTTTTAAAAAATAATTTAATTCTCGTGAAAAATTTTATTTGGGAAAATAATTGAAGAATTATGAAGAATTAAAAATAAAGAATTTAAGAATGTATCAAAATTTTAAAAAATAATTGAATTTCTGAGAAGAATTTTATTATTTATAAAAATAATTGAATTCTTGCGAAGAATTTTATTTAATTCTTTTTAAATAATTAAATTCTCCTGAAAATTTTTATAATTGAGAAAATAATTGAATTCTTGTAAAAAATTTTATTAAAACTTTTAAAAATGAGTTAATTTAATTTTATAATTATTTTATAGTTCTTTTAAAATGATTAATTATTAATACAAAATTAAAATAGAATTTCTTTCATAAAAATCAAAATAATTACTTTCAGTAGAACATAAAAGAAAAAATGTTATTTTGAAATTTATGATAAAAAAATCGTTTGAATCAACAAAGACTGAAATATTTTCGAATTTAAAACTATGTGATTTTTTTTGAATTCCAGATTTTTTCATTTTCCAATAGCAGATCTATTATTAAAATGATTTTATTTTTATTGGTTTTTCTTGTTGTTATTATTATTATTACAAATGAGTCACTTACCCTTTTATTTACAATGGCCATACTCAAGAGCATTTTTCCTGGGCCAGGAATACTGCAAACTAATTTTTCCTCCTGAAATAATAAAATTTTCTGTTTATTTATTCCTATAAAATTTTTAAATATTTAATACATATTTTCAAAATTATTATCAAAATTATTATTAAACTTTTATTTAATGATCAATTTTATATTTTTTTTTACTATTTTAAAAATAAATAAAATAAAATAATAAAAAATGTTCAAAAATATTAAAATTACAAAAAGAAATAAAATAAAAACTGTAAAAGAACTTTTATTGATTTTAATTATTTTCCATTTTAGTTTCTCCCAAAGAAGAGAAAAAAATCGAAAGTTAATTAGAAATTTGTATTTCTCTAGGTGTTGATAAAAATATGAAAATTATACCTTAACATCGAAAATGTAGATATTTCCGTCATAACAACCAGCGAATAATAGTCTGTCATACAAATACATACACACGACACCAACACCGGCATTGTATTGTACTTTCTGTTCACTGGTCTGTAAAAAAAATATAAATATAAGAATTATATAAATAGTATCTTATTTTATAAATATTTGTTTTTTCGAATAATTAAAGATTAATGCACTCTCATCCTTCAAGAATATATTCTATTAATATTAATAATTTACCATTAATCTAAACTTAAATTAATTCATTCATTCCAAACTTAAATAAATGAATAAATTAATTAATTAATATTAGCATTAATATTTATTAATTAAGCAATATTCGTTAATTATTAATTTTCATTGACTAATTATTATTTTCATTAACTATTAATTAATATTTATTAACTATTAATTAAAAGTTTTCATTTTTATAATTAATATTAACAATAATCATTGTTTACTTAATATTAATAATGAATAATGAATAATGAATATTCAGGGTTCGAACCAGTAAAAGTATTTAAAAATACGGAATTTACGGACCAATTACTGACAAAATTCAATTCTATACGAAATTTCAATTATTAGTAAATTCTTCAATTCCTTTATTCTTCAAATAAAAACTTCAAATTATATAAAAAAATTCAATTAAACTTTTTCAAAAAAATTAATTTCAAAATTCAATTATTTCTAAAAATCCACGCTACACTGCTTTTAATATTCAATTAAATTATCTAAAATTTTAACTGAAATTCATTTTTAAATTAATTTTTATTAGAAAATTCTACTATAGAATACAATTATTTAAATACAAAAATAAATAAGAATAAATATTATTATATTTGAACAATATTTAATTTTTGGGAAGAACATTATTACTTTTGAAAATAATTAAATTTCTGTAATAATTTGTAATTTTTCAAAAATAAATTTTTTTTATGTGTTTTTAACAAAAATTCTTCTATAAATGCTCTAATGCTTTTAATATTCAATTATAATCTAAAATTTTAACTGAAATCCATTTTTAAATCAATTTTTCTTAAAAAATTCTACTAGAATATTCAATTATTTAAATAAAAAAAACAATTTATTGAATTTATTGATTTATTTTCTTAAAATTGAATTCTCATAAAGAATTTTATTAATAAATTTTTAAAAAATGGAATACTTTTGACGAATTTTAATAAAATTTTTAAGAATTTTTTCGAGGAATTCGACTAAAATTGTATTTAAAATAATTGAAATTCTGCAATGAGTTTTATTATTTATGAAAGAAACTGAATTCCTAAAAAGAATTTTATTATTTGCGAAAATAATTGAATCTCCGTAAAAATTTTATTATTAATAATAGTAATTGAATTATTGCGAAGAAATTTATAAAAAATTTGTAAATAATTGAATTTCTGTGAAATTTTAATTGTTTTATGAAAATAATTAAAGGTTTGTGTATAATTTTATTAAACATTTTTTTTTTTAAATAATTGAATTCTTTGGGAAAATTTTACTAAAATAGATATTAAAAATCATTGAACTGAAGAAATTTTTTGAAAATAATTGAAATTTTGCCAAGAATTTTATTAATTTTTGAAAATAATTGAATTTCAGAGAAGAATTTAATTATTTCTAAAGATAATTGAAATTTTGACGAGAATTTTTAAGTTTTTGAACATAATTGAATTTTTACGAAGAATTTTATTACTTTTGAAAATAATTTTCAATAAAATTACGGACTTTAAGGACCTTTTTTAAAAAAAATCTGACTTTTACGGGACTTCAAGCAAAGTTACGGCCTTTTACGGGATTTACGGACCTAATTCGAGCCCTGTGAATATTAATTTTTAATACAAATATTAACATTGTTACTTATTGTTATTAAAGTTATTAGCATTGATTAACTTTTAATTTGAATTCAAGTGAAATTTTAACTATAGAAAGAAATTATGCGAAATTAACTTACAACGAAGTCGTAGACGGGAATGGACGTGCTACTGGTGCCAAAATAAATTAAATTATTGTGCCTCAACAAACTGTAAACCGTGTAATTCCTTTGACCACTGATTTGCCGTAGAAATAATCCAGTAAAAGCGTCGCGTATTGTAATCGGCTGATTTCTTGATGCCACAATAAGAACTTTCCTTGGTCCTTCATTTGTTGCTTTTAATGCCAAAACTGATTTATTCGAGAATTGTATTTTATCTCCTTTTAGGGATGAAGCCTAGAAGAATATTATCAATATTATAACAATTTTATCAAACATAACAAATATCAAACATTATCAAAAATATCTAATTTCTTAATTATCAATTTTTTGTTTATTGTCAAATTTAAAAAAGGCTTAAATATAAAAAATTGCTTTATTACAAAAAAAGCAGTAAAATTAGAAAAATTTTGAAATATAATCGTATAATCGCACTAAAAAGAAATATTGTCGAAAAATACACAAAAAATGCAAATTTACTTTTTTTACTTCCATTTTTTTTTGTTATTATCTTTTATTTTATTACCCATTATTTATTGCTTTTAAATAAACAAAAATCGTTACCTTTATGTGATAACGAGCAACGTGACCTGAAGTGGTGCCAATAAAAATAGCTCCCCATGCCTGATCCATACATTGTACAGCACTTCCCATAATAATTGGACTTTGCATTTGTTCTCCAGTCTGAAAAAAGGAATTACAAATTCGTAAACAAACAGTCAATTAAAGTCGACTAATTACTAATTACCAATTACAAAATTAGTATATTTTTTAATTAGCTCATTTAATTCTTTCCTTATCAATTCATTTGAATAAGAAATAATTTTCATCATTAATCATTAATCGTTTCGTTTTTTTTATTTGTTATTTACGTCAGTGATTGAAAGTTAATTCTTACTACCAATTTTAATTCTAATATTTGGTTTAATTTCTAAAATTTGATTTAATATTTAATAATTAATAATTGTTTAAAAATTCCCTTTGTTTAGAATTTTATTTTCTTATTAGAAGCAGAATAGAAATAAAAATAAAAATAGAAAAAGAAATAAAATTAGAAACAGAAACGAAAATTGAAATAAAAATAGAAATGAAAAAAGGAAATAAATTGCTACTTACCGCAATATCATAACAGCGCATTTGTCCATCCAAGGAGCCAGAGTACATCCATTTTCGATTTGGATTCATAGCGTCAGGATTTAAAACATAAAGGCATGTGACTGCATGCGTGTGACCTTTGTAAATATTTAAAATTCCATTCGACGTCAAACTGTATCTGTAGATTGCTCCATCCTCACTTGCAGCCAAGAATGAATCGCCAATGATCTGGAGTACGTGTAGTTTTTTGTTTTTTTTACTCTCATACAATTAAATTATTACAATATCCAACTCAACTATTTTTCTACTCTCTAAAGTAATCTCTAACAATTTTTATCACAAAAATCTCATTGAATTTTTGACAATCTTCGACATTTCAAAACTTAGTAGTACACATATTGTTTTTTTTTTGGAGGCGAAAACATTTTTTGATAAAAAAAAATTTCCAATTAGCGAAAATAAAAAAGTTCCAATTAAGCGGACATTTTTGTTAAAATTTTGAACTAGCGAACAATTGTAAATTGTTTATGTTTTTCTTAAAAAACTGAAAATTTTTCAAAATTTTATATTAAGCGAATATTTTTGTTCAAATTTTAAATCAACGAACAATTGTCAATTTCCCTTTCTAAAGAAACGAACATTTGTTAAAAATTTCGAATAAAGCGTCGAAATTCAATGTGAATGATTTTTCGAAAAAAAAGTAATAATAGTTTTTGATCGATTTATAAATTCTTATAAATATTTTTTAAAGCAAGCAAACTTCGATTTTCTTCTCTAATTTTCAATAACAATTAGTATTTTTATAATACTTCGATAAATATTTCATAATATTAATAAATAATAATAATATATCAATTTTTCTCTAATACTCAAAAACTATTTTACTTTTTTTTAATATTCTACTTTTTTTCTACTAAACTATTTTTTTGTTACACAAGTTTTGAACGTCCAAATGAACAAAATTTTATAAAAATTATTTTCACAATTTTAGCAATAAAAATTGCAATAAAAACTAATAATTTCAATTTTACATTTAAAAACTTAATAATTTTTTCGAAAAAATTATGCTAATAAAATTTTAATTTGCAGAAGAAATAAATAGATTTCGTTCATTTGAACGTTCAGAACTTTAGGAGAACACTATTTTTTTTAAAACATTTATGCAATATTTTTTACGTAAAAAAAATACGTTTCTAACAATTAACACACAACAAAAGAAATACTGAAACTCGAAAATTTTTTTTCCATAAATTCAAAAAATTACAAAATTATAAATGTAGATTATTCTATACAAAATTATGTTCCTAAAGTTTCGAACGTTCAAATGAACGACGATTTTTTTGCATTTTATTAAAATTCGAAATTTGTTAAAAAATATTTTTTTTTGTTAATTTAAAAAATTAATTCCTTTCTCAATGTTGAATTTTGAATTAATTTTATTTTAAATTTCATTCTGGTAAATGTTTGAAAATATTTAAATAGAAAATTTATTTCGTTCATTTGAACGTTCAAAACTTTAGGGACGTACAAAATTTTGAATTTAACAGAAAAAAAATTATCTGCTACGATATTTTAATTTCCAGTTAAAAATAATTAAAACAAATTCTATCGCTACGAATGAAAAATTAAAAAAACGTGCATTCTTAAAATTTTATTTTTGTTTAGAAAACGACAAAAAGAATTTGTTTATATGAAAATTAAAAATAATTCGGAGTAAAGTAAAGTGTAAAAAAGGAAAAAAAATTTTTTTAATAAAAAAAAATGTTCAATAAATTAAAAAAATCCTTTTTTTGAAAAGCAAAGATTTCTAAACATGCGAAATTTTCTTTGGAATAAAAGTAAAAAAAAATGTAAATAATAGAAAATTTTCTTCTCTAAAAGTAATTAATTGAATTTAAATTTAAATAATGGAAGATTTTCTTTTCTAAAAATAATTTGTTGAATTTAAATTTAAATAATATAGAAACATTTTTTTAAATTAAATTTCAATAATAGAAAATAATCTCTTTAAGAAATAATTTTTTGGATTTAAATTTAAATAATAGCAGATTTTCTCTTCTAAAAATAATTATTTTGAATTTAAATTTAAATAGTAGAAAATTTTCTCTTTTAAAAATAATTTTTCGAATTTAAATTTAAATAATAGAAATAGAAACATTTTTTTTAAATCAAATTTCAATAATAGAAAATTTTCTATTCTAAAAATAAATTTTTGAATTTTAATTTAAATAATAGAAACATTTCTTTTCTAAACACAATTTTTGAATTTAAATTTAATTAATAGAACAATTTTTTTGAATTTAAATTTAAAATAGAAAATATTCTCTTCTAATAATAATTTTTTGGATTTTAATTTAAATATTAGAAAATTTTTTGTTCTAAAAATAATTTTTCCAATTTAAATTCAAATAATAGGTAGAAAAATTTCTTTTCGAATAATAATTTTTTGAATTTAAATTTTAATGTAATTAATAGAAAAACTTCTTTTCTAAAAATAATTTTTTGAATTTAAATTTAAATAATAGAAAATATTTTCTTTTAAAAATAATTTTTTGGATGTTAAATTAAATATTAGAAAATTTTCTCTTCTAAATATAATTTATCGAATTTAAATTTAAATAATACCAGATTTTGTCTCCTAAAAATAATTATTTGAATTTAAATATTGGTAAATAATAGAAACATTTCTATTTTAACACAATTTTTTTGAATTTAAATTTAAGTAATAGAAATATTTATTTTCAAAAGACAATTTTTTGAATTTAAATTTAAACGTAATAAAAAAATTTTCTCTTCGAAAAATAATTTTTTGAATTTAAATTTAAATAATAGAAAATTTTCTCTTCTAAAAATAATTTTTGAATTTAAATTTAAATGTAATAATATGAAAATTTCTTTCTAAAAATAATTTTTTGAATTTAAATTAAAATAATAGAAAATTTTCTCTTCTAAAAATAATTTTTGAATTTAAAAAAAATAATAGTAACATTTCTCATCTAAAAATAATTATTTGAATGTAAATTTAAATTTAGAAACATTTCTTTTCGAAAAATAATTTTTTAAATTTAGATTTAATTAATAGAAAATTTTCTCTTCTAAAAATAATTTTTCGAATTTAAATTTAAATAAAAGAAATATTTCAATTCTAAGGACAATTTTTTGAATTTAAATTTAAATAATAGAAAATTTTCTCTTCTAAAAATAATTTTAGAATTTATGTTTAAATAATAGAAAATATTCTTTTTTAAAAATAATTTTTGGATTTAAATTTAAATAATACCAGATTTTTTCTTCTAAAAATAATTATTTTGAATTTAAATTTAAATAGTAGAAAATTTTCTTTTCTAAAAATAATTTTTCGAATTTAAATTTAAATTCTTCGTAAATAAAATAAAAACATTTGACTTTTGCGTAAAAAGCAAATTAAAATTTTCTACTTTCTACTTCGTCTCCTTGTTCGCTTATTTCCTCTTACCTTGATATCTAAAATTGGTCCTTTATGAACAGTGTACTGAATTTTTGCAATATCGTTCGCATCATCAGTTCTTTCGTCTCCAACAATATTTTCATTATGGCTCATTTTTTCCTCTTCGCTCGGTCCATTCGTCAACAATTCCTCTTCATTTGTATTTTGAGTATTTAAATCGGTTTTCACTTCTTTATTTTCCGGATGGATTTTATCTTTCCCCGCTGTTGCTCCTGCTCCTGCTGTTGTTGCTGTACTTCCTGCTGTTGTTGTCGTCATCGCTATTGTCATCGCCGCTGCAGTCATTGTAGTAATAATATTTGTCATCGTCACTGATGTTGGTATTTTCTCCTCGTTATTCACACTTTCCTTTTCCCCCTCGTTTATTTTATCTTCGCTTTTCTTCTCGATTTTTTCTTCTTCCTTTTCCTTATCACTTTTCTCCTTTTCCTTCTCCTTCTCGTTTTTCAATGTGACATTTTTTTCTTCCTCCTCGTCTTTCTCGTCTTTTCGATTTTTCTCCTTTTCTACAATTTTATTATTTAATTTTTCCTCAAAAATTGATGGATTAAAATTATTTTCCGCATTTGTTTTCACAATCTCGTGTTTTTTAGCACTTGCGACGGGTTTAAAAATATACAAATTCGTCTCCTCCATCGAAATCCGTCGGATTGGTTGCATATTCATTATTTCCTCTCGTAATAATAAATTTGGGAAATCAATCCTTTGTTCGATTTGTTGTTGGTGGATTTTCGTGAGACCTAAACGTTTTAGAACACCTGGGGGTAAATCATCGCGCATATATGTATATTTACAATCGACTAATTTTACTTTACAATTTTCCATTTCGCTTAATGTTTGTTTTCTTTTCTTTCGATCTTTTCGTTTCGGGCGTAATTCCATTTTTAAGAGATCGCGAATCGTGGAGTAGAGTATTTTTTCGTTTATTTTTTTCTTCTTTCTCGGTGGTTCGCCTTCTGAACATTGTGATGTGGAGAGGGCTTGTGATCGTTTTTCCGGTTCTTCTTCACTTTCCTGATGCCTCGAACTTCGACGGGTTGGTTGATTATTTATTTTTCCCGCACGTGATACACTTCGCGTTGGTCGTTTACGTTTGCGGGTCGAATCGACTGATTTCGATGATGAATCGTCGGAAATCGGTGACAAGAGGGCGGAACGCGTTGAATCCTTGTCGGAAAATTCCTTGAAACTTGGATGAGAAAATACTTGTTCCGATTCAATGGGACTTACTTCAATTTCAATTTTTGAATGTGAAGAATTCAAGGCAATGTCGATTTTATTTTCATTCTGGGAATTTATTCTCTGGACTTCTTCATTGAGACTTTCGTCCTCGTTGCTTTCGGCGAATAAATTCTTCGTTAATTCGGGCACTTTTTCGTTTTGTGACGATGGGAGACTCGGTGGTTCGATTTTCGTTTCACTGTCGAAACCTTTGCAAGAAACATCTCCTGGTTGATTCTGAATTTCTTTTTCGGTCAGATTTTCCTCCGTTTCCTCCTTTTTCTCTTGGTGCTTCTTCTTCTTCTCTTTCGCCTTCTTTGCTTCGGCAATTTCACGTTTATATTCCTGTTCAAGTAGACCGAGTGCGGTGTTATTTTTTTTCTTATCCCGAATTGATTCCAACGGTTCGAGTTGACTTTCGTCGGAATAAATCAAAGCACTGTCGATTGTTTTCAATCTCATGTGTTTTTTATCAATAATCTCCACTTTGTCCTTTTTTGGGGAAATTTTCTTTTTTTCCACTTTCCCAACGGGGGGTAAATCATTTTTCTTTTTTTCGAGTCGATTAATTATATTCGAACTGATTTTCGACACTTTTTCATTTTTCTCAATAATTTGCACTTTTTTCTCCGGCGATTCTTTCTTTTTGAATTTATCCCGTTCGTGTTTGCCGCGAATTTTGACGAATATTCTCTCAGCAGTGTTTAAAATTGGAATATCTTTGGTTGCTGTAGTCGTTCTTCTTCTTTTCACAATTTCCTCGTCACTTTCGTCGATTTTTGAACTTTTCATCATTACACTTTTGGGACGTTTGTTGGAAATTTTTTTCTCCAATTTTACACGTTCCTTTTTTTTCAAATTTTCATTCTCCTCATCGTCGTCACTTGTGGGAATTAATTTCGATATTGTCGGTTTCATTGCACTTTTTGGACGCGCACGTATTGTATCACTATTATTTTTTGGTGGTAATTTTTTATTATTTAAACTACTCAACATTGCAACTTCTTCATCGCCACTTGTCACTTCGGAACTTTCGTTAACTTTTGATGTTAATTTCATTACACTTTTCGGTCGTTTTGTATTCTCCGGTTTCTTTCGCTGCTCGTCACTGAATTTTTCCGAAAATAATTTCATAACACTTTTTGGTCTCTTTTGAGGGGTTTTTTTATTCCGTTTTTGTGTTTCATCTTCGCTCGACGATTTTATCGAGACTTTCAACATAACACTCTTTGGTCTTTTGGGTGATTTTGATTCTTCCTCATCGCTGGATAATTTTGCCTTTGATTTATTTTTCGGAACATTATCCTCTGATTCGATGATTGTATTTTTCTTCATTCGCGATTGTGATCTTTCGGTTAATTTTTTGAATTTATTTTCCTGTTCGTCGTCGGTGATTGTTAATTTTTTATTACCTCGAACTCGGGGTAATTTCTTTTGTTTTCCCTTTGTTATTCTTTCAATTTCCTCGTCCTCTGAACTTGAATCGGGTAAATTTGTTTTTCGTAGTTTTGTCAATTTTTTCGTTTTCTTCTCGATGGTTGTTTTTCCCTCTTCTTCGTCGGCACTTTTTTTCGACACTTTAGATTTTGTTGTGTTCGTTTCTTTCAATGGTGATGATAATTCCTCTTTGGAGAATTCTTCATTTTCAGAACTTGGAATTTTTAATTTCTTTTCATCGCTCGATGGAGGTTCCTCGTTGCCATTTTTCGTCGCAATTTCGTTTGGATTCGTGTTATTTTCTGTATTTGCCATCATTTCGTAAAGTTTTTGCTTCTCGAGCATTAATTTTTGTATTTCGTCGTCGATTTCCTTCATTCTCGCCACGAGTGATTGTGTTGTGAGAGGCTTTACACTTTGTTTAATAGCGTCCTTTAGTCCGTCTTTAATTTTCTTATCCTTCTTTTTCTTCATTCTTCTTTTACGTTTTAATTTATGTAACGCTTTTTCCGATTTCGACGATTCCTCCTTATCTTCCATTTTCGAATGCACCGTTTCAGTTTCACTTGGATTTAACCTAACCTCAAAATCGGTTTCCGTTTTCTCCTCTTGATCTACCGTTTTTTCCGAAATAATTTGATGATCACACTTCTCGGAGACTGCAATTTCAGGGTCTAATAATTCACCATCAATTATCGATTCTTCGTAATTATCTTTAAGATCCTTGAGAATCATAACACCGGTTTGAAGCACAAATTCGGATAATTTTTTTGGTCTATTGTTCGATTGAATTTCGGTAATTTGGGAATTATTTAACGAATCAAATGGGAGTTTATCGGACTTGGTGGCTAGTGAAAATTCTGAGGGGGGTAATATTTCAGTTTCATCGGAAATGGCAACGGTCGTTTCTGAGAATGCAGGTTTCAACTCGTCTTTGTCACTGGAAAACGTTCTTGTTTCTTTCACTTCGTTAGCACTTGAACTTTCCGTTTCTATACACTTTTCCACTTGGTCAACAATTTTTCTATTTTCAATTTCACTCGATGTATTTTCTTCAACCGAATCGATATCCACGTGCGGACCAGTGCTTTCGTTTAACAAATGACTCAAATCGCCGGTTTCGCGCGATTCATCAACTGTCACGTGACACTCATCAGATGGCGTTACTTGACTCGCGGAATTTTTGAATTCATCATCGAAAATAACAGGCGCTTTATTATCCAAATTTACATCGTTGATTGTATTTTCAAATAATTGTTTAACACTTTCCTCGGGTTCTTTTTTATCGTAAACTGTTGGGGGGTTTTCTAAACTTTGGGGATTTTTTATTAAAAATTGTTCATCATTCACACTGTCATCGAATTGTTCAATAAGCGTTTTTTCGTCACCTTCCAATTTTTCGTCATTCAATGGTAAATTCATTTCACGTTCAGTTAAAATTGGTGGTAGATCATCGGTTAATCTTAAATTTGTATCACTATCGTCGATACCAAAATGAAATAATTCTGGTTTCTCGACACTTTGTTCGTCAAAAATTTCGTCATCGGTTTTTGACGAAAGAACACATGAATTTATATCGGAATAAACGATATTTGCTTCTTGTAATTCGGCATCAAGAACGTTATCAAAAATATTTTCTATTGGATTAATATCGTCGATGATAAGTTTATTTTTTATTGGCTCATCCTCATTGTCGAATGTTGATTTAATATCGGTGATGTCGTCCTCCTTCACTGACATATTACCAAAAAATACTTCTTTCGCCGGACAAACGTCCACTGGATCTTCTATTAAATCCTGTAGAATATTTGGATAATTCTCCACCTCCATTGTATAATGTTTTGTTATTTCTTCCGAGGGCACTGTATCCGGTAGTCCATCGCTAATTAATTTTTTCTCCTTTATTTTCGTTTCCTGTGTATTTTTTCCATAGACTTTTAACTTTCTCACTGGTTTATAAGGTAAAGTAGTATTTTCTTTCGGTTTTTCATTTATTTCCACTTCGACTTTTGATTTATTATCAGTTGATTTTTCCTTTTGAATTTTCTCATCACATTTTGTTGTCACATTTTCATTGGTTATTTCCTGTTTTTGTGTTTTAATATCGTTTTTACTTTTTCTTGTATTCGATTCGTTTTTCTCTTGTTTTCTCTTGCTGTCAATTGTTTTTGTTTTTATTACATGCGAACTACTTTGCGATGATTGATCCGATTCCGATGATATTGATGATCGTCTAACTGGACTTTCAATTTTTTGCTCAATAACAACGAGTGGTGTTAATTCATTTTTTATTTTCTTCACAATTTTTGGCTTATTTTTTAATTTCATCTCCTTACCGCCTTCAGATTTGATGAATTTAAATTTACTCTCGTCTTGTAATTTATTATCATTGACATTATTTTTATTTGGATCTAATTTTGTTTTTTCATGCGTTATTTTAGGTGCAAGACGTGGATCACGTGAAATTATTTTTGTCTCGTCTTGTATTTTTTGTTTGAGAATTTCATCGTTGATTTTTTTATTTTCAATTATTATTTTTTTCTCTGTTATTTCATTTTGTTGAATATTTTTATTTTTCTTCTTTGTCTCGAGGGATTTTTCAATAATTCGTGATTTACTCCCTAACGGAATGTTGAGAAGATTAGTTGTTAATGAAATTGGATTTTGATCAATTTCCTTCAGCTTTTGTTGTTCCTTTTTCTTTCGCTCGATTGTCCGTGCTTTGTAAGCTTGAATGTCGATTCGTTTCGGCTTCTTCTCATCATCACTTCTCAAATGAACTTTTTCCTTCGTTCTTGTCGTTTTACTTTGATTCTGAAAAAATTTCCAAATATTGTTAGTATTAAATAAATATATTAATTAATTAATTAATTAATTAAATAAATAAATAAAAATTAAGATATAATTTATTTTACATAATATTAAATTTAATATTTATTTTTTCATTTATTGAAATAAACTGCAATTTTATTACGTTTTTAATTTTTTAAAAATAAACTCTGTAATTTGTTTAGAATTTTTTTTTTATCTAAGTCCCGTAATAAATGTAATAAATTTAATCTTCGAGTGAATTTATTCACGATAACAGTTGTCCAGCAATGCATAAGAGAGATAAAGATTTAGAATTTGCAGTTAAGTCATTTCATCTTATCTCCCTTCCGTTTTTAGAAACGCAGTTATCGGATTTCACTCGTTAAATTCTAATTCTCAAGATTTTAGAAATTTTGTATTATTCATCAAAGAATAATTTTTCAATTATTCGTATTTCTTATTTAATAATTTTTCAATTAGATATAATAAATACTTTACCAGGGTGGTCACAAGTTTGAGTTTATCAATTTCCCTGATATTTCCCTGACAATTTACTGACATTAAAATTATTTTCCCTGACAAAATTCTTTTCACAAGAAAATATGAAATTTTACGGAAAATTAGTAAAATTTATGAAATTTAATAATAATTTTTTTAAAAATAATTTTAATAAGTCCAAAAAAGTAAATTTTTATTTGCTTTATTGGAAGACAATTAAAGCTTAAAAAATTATGATAAAAAATTCTAGGAATTAAGTAGATTTTAAAAATATTTTAATGTAATTTTTCGAAAACAATTGAATTTCTCCAAAATGTTAAAAATAATTCAAAAATGTTATTATTTTTGGAATGTATTTGAATTTTTGGAAATATGTAATTAAAATTTTTGCCAATTCAATTATTTTCATTAAATTTGCAATTAAATTCCTTCAAAAGTTGATTTTCAAAAATTGTACCAATAATACTTAAAAAAAACAATTATTTTTAATTAAATTTTACACACTTTCAATGATTCAAAATCTTTTAAATTTTATATTACGAAAATTTAAATAGAAAAATGATTCAAAAATAATTTTTGAAAGGTTTGTTTATAGTTAAACGTAAGTAATTGGAATATTATTTAAATTTAATTCAATTTTCTCGAGAATAATTAACTATTAATTATTTTTTTTGTAATTTTTTATTATTTAAGTTAATTAACTTAAATAGTAAAAAATAAACGAAGAAACGAAATTTTAAAACTCACTTTCTTTGAAGTTTGTGGCTTTTCGGACTTCTTAGAAGGTTCCTCGACAATTTTGGTCTCAGTAGGCGACGAATTTTTCAATTCCGAACTTTTATCAACCTCGTCATTCTTCTTCTCCATCTCTTGAATTAAATCCGAAATTTTTTCATCGTTCTTGGGAGTTTCTAAAATTTCTTGCAATTTCTTTTCTTCACTTTCCTTTTCCAGTGGCTTTTCCGTTTCTTTCTCGAACTCCTTCTCCTTCACCTGCTCTTTTTCTTTTTTCCTCTCTTTCTCCTTGTCCGATTCCTTCTCTTTTTCCTTTTCCTTCTCTTTTTCTAATTCCTTCTCTTTTTCCTTTTCTTTCTCTTTTTCTTTCACTTTTTCCTTTTCCTTTTCTTTTTCTTTTTCTTTTTCTTTCTCTTTTACTTTTTCTTTCTCTTTTACTTTTTCTTTTTCTTTAACTTTTTCTTTCTCTTTTTCCTTTTCTTTCTCTTTCTCCTTTTCCTTTCCTTTCAATTTTTCCTTTTCCTTCTCCTTCAATTTTTCTTCTTTCTCTTTCTCCTTTTCCTTCAACTTTTCCACTTCCTTCTCCAAATTATCAATAGCGACGGATTCATTCGAAGAAAGAAAATTGAGATTTTTCCCATGTATTGGAGCATCACTGCCATAGTTGACCAATTTAATCGTCGAATTCTCATCGTTCTGCGGTGGCGATTCAACAATAATTGCCGTATTCGACACTTCTGGCATTTGCTTCAATTGTGCCTTTGTCTTCAGTGATTGCATTTTCACCTGACCATAATCAACATTAACCTTAACCGGCGAATTGGAAATTTGTCGATTATCACAATTTCTCAATGTACCATCTTTATTTTGTCCAATAATTGGCAATAATTTCTTCTCACTTCGTTTCTCCTCAGGTGAAATTGGTTCAATTTTCACTTCCTTTTTAATTTCATCCTCAGTCAATAATTTCATTGGTATCTCCTTCTCCGAGCCTGATATTGAATTGCGTTTTGTTTTTTTCTTATGACGACGAGTTTTCTTTTTCTTCTTACCCTTTTTCTCACGTCTTTTTCGTTTACGTGATTTTTTCTCCTTATGCCGTTCCTTTTCGCGTTTACGCTTCTCAATATCGGCGGCAACCTCATCGCGTATCGCTTCATTTAAAGATTTTTTCTTTGCCACTTTTTCACGTTCTTTTATCACTTTTAATAGTTTTGTAACATCGGGAGCAATATTTTCACTACTTGTACTGTCGCTCGATGTTGATGAACTCGATGAACTATCATTGTCACTGTCGTCATCACTTTCGGAAATTTCACCATCCTCGAGATGCTCCTTTTGACGGACAAGTAAACGTTCGGTGCTTTCGTCATTATTATCCCTCTCGGGAATTGGCGTCTCGTCCCATTGATATGGCTTCTTTTGTGATCGATCGCACACCTGAAATTTAAAAATAAATATATATTAACTCCTGGGGCGGAAATAATTTTTTTTCTTTTAGAGTTGCCACGCTTTTGCTCATTTCCAATTCCCTGACTTTTCCAGGTTTTTAAAACTACATTTATATTTTACAAAATATTAAATAATTAGTCATTATAATTTTTCCATAAGAATTAAAATTCTTCAAAAGATTCAAATTTAAATCTTTTTGAAATTAAACATCTTATAAAAAATTGTTATAAAACATGAAGAAATCGATCACTGTGCAATCATTGTCTTCATGTTTTATAAATAATTAAAAATGACCGACTGATAAAATCATTATTTTATATTATAAAAATATTGTTACTATAACTTATTCAAAATTACTTTCATTTTAACAAAAATTAAACATATTGATTGACTTTTTGCTTTTGAATTAGTAAATTTTACTATTAAATTAGTAGAAACGACTATTTATTACTAAAAACTGCTAATTCAAAAGCAAAAAGTCAGTCACTAATTAAAATTAGAAAACATTTTTACAAATTCAAATTTAGAGAGTTTAATATTCAATTATTATCTAAAATTTTAATTAAAATTCATATTTAAATCAATTTTTATTAGAAAATTCTACGAGAATTCAATTATTTAAATACAAAAATAAATAATTTATTGAAGAATTGAATGTTTTTTAAAATAAATAAATTCTCTCATAAAGAATTTTATTAACAAATTTTTAAATGGGTAATTAAAATTCTTTTGACGAATTTTAATAACATTTTTAAGAATAATTTCATTTTTCGAAAAATTAGATAAAAATTGTATTAAAAATAATTGAATCTCTGTAAAAAAATTTTATTGAATTGAGAAAAGTTTTTGAAAATAATTGAAATTTTGCCAAGAATTTTATTAAAATTTTTGAAAATAATTGAATTTTGGAAAAAAAGTTTATTATTTATTTAAAGATAATTGAAATAATTGAATTTTTTAGACGAATTTTTTAATAATATTTTTTTTAAATACCTAATTGAATTCTTTTGTGAAATTTTATAATCAAAATTTAAAAAATTCACTTATTAAGTAAAAAATTAATTATTAGGTACTGTTTATATTTTCAAAAATTTTAATAAAATTTCACGAAAGAATTCAATTATTTTTCAAAATTATAATAAATCCTTCTAAACAATTCAATTATTTTTTTAAATAGTAAAATTCTTCGCAAGAATTCAATTAATTTTATAAATAGCAAAATTCTTTGCAGGAATTCAATTATTTTCAAAACAATTTTAATTGAATTTCTCGGATAAATTCAAATATTTTTAAATATTTCCATAAATTTCAATTATTTCCTAAAATTTTAATAAATTCTTCTAAACAATTAAACTATTTTTATAAATACTAAAATTTTTTGCAGGAATTAAATAATTTTTAATACAATTTAAATAAAATTACACGAAAGAATTTAATTATTTAAAAAAATGTCCATAAAATTCAATTTCAACAAGAATTTAAAATTGTCTAAAAATAATTCAATTATTCTCAAAATATTTTTAAAAAATTCTATACCAAAATTAAATTACTTTCAATGTAATTTTTAAATTTATTCGTCAAAAAAATTGAAAGAATTCAATTATTTTCGAAAAATAATAAAATTCTTGTGATGAATTCAATTATTTTGAATATACTTAATTTTAAAAAAATTCTTTAAAGAAATTCAATTATTTTCGGAACATCTTTAATTGAATTTCTCGAAAAGATTTCATTATTTTTAAATATTTCTATAAAATTCTTCATAACAATTTAATTATTTCTTAAAATTTTAATAAATTCTTCGAAACATTTCAATTTTTTATAAATACTAAAATTCTTAGTAATAATTCAATAATATTTAAATTTTTAAATATTAACATAAAATTTATTTATTTTCTAAAATTTTAATGAATTCTTGAAAGGAATTCAATTATTTTTATAAATAGTAAAATTCTTTTCAAGAATTCAATTATTTTCAATACAATTTTAATAAAATTCTTCTTCATAAAATTCAATTGCTTTCAAAATTTTCAATTAAAATTATTAAAGAAACTCTATTAGTGTAAAAAAATTCAAAGATATTCTTCAAAAGAATTTAATTAGGATTTTTTAAAATTTTAATAAAATTCTTTGCGAGAATTTAGTTAATTTACTAAATAATAAAATTCTTTGAAGAAATTCTATTAATATCACATTTTTTGATAAAATTCCTTGCAACAATTCGATGATTTTCAATTCATTAATTTTAAAATTGAAAATATTTGAAAAGAAAAATTATAAAAAAGTCAAGAAACGAAAAAGCAAACAACAACTAACTTCAAACTGCGAACAAATTACAGATTGAAATTAATTAAAGTTCTACGAAGAATTTTATTAAAATTATTTTGAAAAAAAAATTGAATTGTTAAAAAGAATTTCATTAAATCTTTTGAAAATAATTTAATTCTTTCAAGAAATTTAATTAAAAATTGTATTTAAAAAATACAATATTCTAATAAATAGATTATAGAAAGGCTTTTTAAAATACCTAATTGAATTTCTTTGATGAATTTTAAAAAAATTTTTAAGAATAATTACATTTTTCGAGAAATTCCATTAAAATTGTATTAAAATTAATTGAAATTCTGCGATGAGTTTTATTATTTATAAAAATAATTGAAAAACTATAAAGTTTCTTATTATTTATGAAAATAATTGAATCTCTTTAAAAAAAACTTGATTATTTATGAAAATAATTGAATTATTGCGAAGAAATTAATAAAGAATTTGTAAATAATAGAATTCTTGTGAAATTTATTTTTATTTATGAAAATAATTGAACGTTTGCGTAGAATTTTATTCAAATTTTTTTTAATAATGGAATTCTTTTGGAAAATTTAATTATTGCGAAGAAAAATTTTAAACGCATCTCTTTTAAAATTGAATTAATTTTGAAATATTTTAGAAAAATTAGATTTCAAGAATAAACACAATAGCTTTAGAAAACAATAATTTTCCAGGATTCCAATCAAAATTTCCTGACATTTCCTGGTTTTCCAGGATTTCCAGGTTACGTGGCAACCCTGATTCTTTTCTTTTATTAAAAATAGAGTAAAGTTACCTCAACGATTCGGGTTTCCTTTGCCTTGGAATGCAGCGATTCGTTATCAGCTCGTCGGGACATTAATGCATTGAATTCCTTTTCGAGAGCATCGCTCATGGTGTGTCCATGTTTCGCCTCCCATTCCTCTTTGGTCAAATTTCTGAACGTATCGACATTTTCCCGCTTCTTTCGGGTCCACATTTGTTGGAGTTCCAAATTCTGTTCGGCAATGGGTTTCGATGAGGCTTTTGCTTTGGCAATTCCGGCGCTGAATATATCGTCTAAAGTACGTTCCATTGTACCTAGTGTTGGATATTTACCGGGTGGTTTTGTGACAACTTCGCTTCTATTTGGCTTTGTTCGGGGCGTTTCAGCGACGACGTTCACGGCAACATTCACGCTTCGATCGGGTTTCACCTTTTGAATACCGGGTTTGAAAATATCGTCGAGAACAGAAGTGAGATGTGACGATGGATTTTCGGCTTCTTTGTTTGTCGAACCACTTTCAATTAACTCGCGTGCTAATTGAGCTTTTAAGTGTGCTTGCTTCTTTTTTAATTCCTTGATTTCGGCTTCGCGTTGAGCTTCACGTTGCGCTTCACGTTGTGCTTCGCGTTGAGCTTCACGTTGTGCCTCGCGTTGTGCTTCACGTAATTTTGCTTCACGTAATTTTGCCTCACGTGCCTTTGCCTCGCGCGCCTCACGCTCTTGTTTTTCCTTCAGCGCCAATTGTTCCTTTAATTCCTGTTCGCGTTGCTCGCGAAGAAGCTGTTCGCGTGCTTGTTGATCTCGCACCTGTTGTTCGCGTGCTTGTTGCTCCCGTATCTGCAGTTCCCTCAAATGTGCCTCACGAATTTGCGCCTCTCTCAGAGCTTGACTCTCCTTCAGGGAATTTTTCACCGTCACGTCGCCGTTTTCTCGTTCTCGAGACGATTTCGTTTCCTTTGATGATGATCGAGAGGCGGACGCTAAAAAAACAAATTAATTGTTATTAACCATTTTTATATGTTTTCTATCTGGAATTATGTTACCAAAACAATTTTTGGTTCAATTCTTGGTTCAAGAACCAAAAATTGACACAAAAAATTAATTTTGTTTTTCCCTCACTTCTCCCTGATTTCAAAAACAGAATTTTAACTTTTTCCGCTTACACTAAAAAATATTCAGATTCACTCAAAAAATTACTAAATAATCATGACTATTTTTCCAAATGAATTAAGATTTTCAAAAATATTAATTTCGAAACCTTTTGAAATTTGGTAATTTACAAAAATTGCTATTGAAGCTTCTTCAAATTTATTATCATAATTTCAATTCAATTTTCTAAAATTTTTAACTAAAATTCTTCTCTAAATAAATTATTTTTAATATTTTACGATAAAATTCTTTAAAAATCCATTTATTCAAATAATAAAGAAAAATTATAATTAATAACTTTTAAAGTTAAATTAATTTTTAAATTCACTTGTTTACAATTCAATTTTATTATAAATTTCGATCATCTGGAAATACTTTAATTAAATATTAAAGGAAGAAGTTAACAATCTATTCGAATCATTTCTCACTTAAAGCTTCATTAAGATTTCATGTATATCGACAGCACAGCCGTCCTATTAAAATAATACAGAAACCTGCTTTTTCAGAAGAATATTTTTCCAAATCAATAAATAATAAATCAATTATTTTTAATAATATTCAGAGAATTCTTTCCTAAATCAATTATTTTTAATAATATTCAGAACATTTTTTCTTAAATCAATTATTATTAATAATTAAATACATATTACAAAAATTCAACTAATTTCTAAAGAAATTAAAATTTTCCTAAAAATGAAGTTCAAGAAAAGTTCTAATTAAATTCATTAAACATTTAAATCTTCTCAAATTTCAGTTTGAAACCTTTTTGAAATTAAATTATTTTTAAAAAATTCTAATATTTGTAACTTCTGCAAAATTCAATTATTTCTTAAGAGATTTTAACTAAAATTCTTCTCTAAATCAATTATTTTCAATAATAATCAGAGAATTCTTTTCTAAATCAATTATTTTCAATAATTAAATTTATATCAGGTACAAAATTCAACTAATTTCAAAAGAAATTGAATTAAAATTTTTCAAAATACTAAATTCAACAAAATTTCTAATTAAATTCATTTAAAATTCTAATTTTCTAAAGTTTCAGTTTGAAACCTTTCCAAAATTCAATTATTTAGAGTTTTTAACAAAAATTCTTCTCTAAATCAATTTTTTAAAAATAATTTACAGAAAATTCTTCTAATAAATCAATTATTTTTAATAAGCAGGTACAAAATTCCACTAATTTCAAAAGAAATGAAATTAAAATCTTTCAAAAATTAGTTCATGACAGTTTCTGATTAAATTCATTCAAAATTCAAATTTTCTAAAATTTTGATTAGAAACCTTTTCAAAATTCAATTATTTTTTAAAGTTTGTAACATAAATTCTTCTCTTAATCAATTATTTTTAATAATAATTAAAGAATTTTTTTCTAAATCAATTATTTTTAATAATAATCGGAGAATTCTTTTTTAAATCAATTTTTTTCAATAATTAAATTTATATCAGGTACAAAATTCAACTAATTTCAAAAGAATTTAAATTAAAATTTTTCCAAAAATTATTTTAACAAAATTTCTGATTAAATTAATTTAAAATTAAAATATTTCTAAAATTTCAGTTTGAAACCTTTTCAAAATTCAATTATTTTTTAGAGTTTATAATAAAAATTCTTTTCTAAATCAATTACTTTAATAATATTCAGATAATTCTTTTCTAAATCAATTATTTTCAATAATTAAATATCTTTTAGGTACAAAATTCAAAACCAATTTCAAAAGAATTTGAATTAAAATTATTCAAAAAAATTAAGTTCAACAAAATTTCTAATTTAATTCATTCAAAATTCAATTTGAAACCTTTTCAAAGTAAATTATTTATGAAAATTTTAATTGCAACTCTTATAAAATTCAATTATTTTTTGAAATTGTTATGTAAAATTTTTTATTAAAAATAATTATAAGTAATAATTTTACAATAGTTCTTCTAAAATTAAATTGTTTCAACTAAATTTAATTTCATATTCAGTAGAGTTTTAAATATTGTCAGAAATAAACGAATTTAAGTTTTTTTTCGTGAATTCAAAGTTTATAAAACAAAAAAAATAAAGTATAGAAATTTAAGAAGAATTAATTCTTTTTAATATTTTCAAAGATATTATTTATCAGTTATCTTTTTAATACTTTCACTGAAATTCAGAATATTCTAATGAATTCTAAAAATTTAATTTTTCTGCAGTTTTTTTTAATAAAATTCCCTGACTTTTCCCTGATTTCCCTGATCAATTCTAATTTTCCTGAATTCCCTGCAATGTCGCAAACCCTTTTTGGATATTTTTTGAAGAGAAAAATAATTACTTTTTACAGAAAAGTAAATTAGGAAAATTTAATTTTTTTTCCAGTATTTTTAATCAAATTCCCTGACTTTTCTCTGATATTAAATAATAAATTCCCTTTTTGCGGAAAATTAATGATAAATTCTTTTTCTGTGGAAAAATTAAGAAAAATTCTTTTTCTTTTTCTGCGGAAAAATTAAGAAAAATTCTTTTCCTTTTTTTCTACGGAAAACTTAAGAAAAATTCCTAAATACGTAGAACGATATTAAAACATTTATAAATAGAAAAACATTGAAAAAAGAAAAAAACCAAGTAGAAAAAAAAATCTAAACGATTGTTTACATTCTTTTACCTTGTTCATAACCATCGCTCTGATTACTTCCTTCTTTTACTCGAATAACGTGAACAATTTTCTTCTCATGATGTCGACTCCTCTTTTTCTCAATCGCCGGCAACGATTGAACCGTCGAATTCGGTGACGAATGCGAATGTTTCGGCAAATGCGTATATTCATCCTCATTCATCATTTGCTGCTCCTGCTCCTGTTGCTCCTGCTGCATTTGCTGTTGTTGTTTCTTATTCGCCATTACCATTTGCTGAAGAAAATCATCCGAATCCATCACTTCAATTTCCCCGACATCCTCACCACCTGGCATTGGATCCAAATGAAGAACAGCGCTCAAATGTTGAATGAATTCAGTTGGTAAATTAGTAATATCAACCGATTCCCTTACACCCGGATCTAGCATTGCACTCAATTGTGTCATAAATTGATCACCATCGTAATCGCGCACCTTCTCCTCCTCACTGATTCTCATCTCTTGGGACAACGAAGTTTTTCGTTCCTTCACCAATTGTTTCATTGCCATATCAAATCGTCTCAAACTCGTGTTATTAATCATATTGTTTATATCATTTTTACTCATTTTTAGAAATTGATTTATCACCTTATTCCGCCATATTTCTTGATGTATTGTACTGTCATTTTTTGTCTTCTTCCCACTTTCCTTATCGTGAAATGTCCTTTCCTTATCTTGAACTGTCCTTTCCTTATCGTGAACTATTCTTTCCTTATCGAGAAGTGGTATTCTTTCCTTATCGGGAAATATTGTCGAAGATGTTGAGGGTTTCTCGTCCTTCTTGTCCTTCGAGGTACGTCGTCGTCGCTTCTCGTCTTCCTCGGGAATTATTTCTTTATCGAATTTCTCCTTGGGTAATTTTTTCTTTCTTCTTTCCTCATTGTCCTCGGCTTGTAATTGCTGTTGCCATTCGTCGTTTTTGTGAATTCGTTTCACTTTATTCAGATTGAAGACAACTTTTGGTCTTATTTGATCTTCGGGAATTTCTTCGGTTGGTATCGGTACGTCTTGTAGATTTTCAGGACCGTATTCAATGTCCTTTTTTCTCTTCTCATCCTTCTTGTTGTACTCCTTCTTCTTTTTTTCATTCTTTGTTTTTCTTTCGGTTTGCTTCTCGCCATTCGATTCGGACATGTTCATTAATTGTTTGGCAAATTCCATGGCCTCTTGCATTTCTTCGAGTTCATCCTCCATGTTGAGCATTGATAGTGAGGATGATTGAATTGACGGTTGGGGATCCTGAGGTAGAGGCGGTGGATATTCTGGCAATGGGATATTGTAACTGGGGAGAAAATTATTTGTTTGTGACATTGGTATTGTGTGCATTGGTGGTGCGTAATTTGTATAGTCAATCATAGCCGATGGCCAAGTGGTGGGAACAATTTCATTCGGTGCGACGAAATCCATTCTTTGCTGTGACGATAGACGGGGATCGAATACTTTTGGCGGTTGTATAACATCGGTTAATATTGTGACAGATGGCGGTGGACCACGTGGATCGAATGCTGGTGGTGGTTGTTGAAGAATTTCCTTCATTTCTTCCCGATGATCGAGTTTCTTTGATTTTTTTATCATCACTATTGGTTTTGTATCACATTCCTGAACGAATTCGGGTGGTTCGCCAATTTCGAACATTGGTGGCGGTTCAAGGGGTTTGTCCTCGATGTTTCTCGAGCTAAAGCTCACGTTGTTTTCTTCCATGAGATCGGGAAACACTTCCATTGGATCGAATATTGGCGGGGGTTCGAGTTTCTTGTTTTTAAATGAATCGGAACTATCTGAATATTGATTCATTAATTCTTGTAATTCGAAAATAGGCGGTGGTTGCAGGGGAATATTACTCTCGCTTTCTTGATTTGCATCGTCGAATATTGAATTTGATTGTTGGGTTTCATCGCTCGATGGTAGGGTCGTCTCATCGTCGCGGATAAATCTCTTTTCCTTTGATTGATTACTCATTTCGTCATTGTCGGAAACTTTCGTCTCGTCTTCTTTACATGTTGTTGAATCCTGATCCGGTTGGGGGAAATTCCCCTCCATTTGATCCAATTGCTCGAAGAATAAATTCGATTCTTGTTGCGATAATTCGGGTAATGCTTCGGTAGAATCAAAAATTTGTACCTGTCCCTGACTTTGATCGAAAGCTGATTGTAAATCTTGCAATTCACTTTGATTTTGAAGAATATCGGCCGATTGTTCAATATCAGCTGATAATCTTGTATTAACATCCTGTTGTTCAAATGGTAAATTCGAACTTTGTGATTCTTCTTGGAGAATTTCTTTTGGCGGCTCAGTTGATTTAAAGGCAGTGAAGAGTTCAACGTCCGGTTTTGTTTGCTGTGAATTACCAACAAAATCATTTGTAAATTCATTATCCAACTCTTCTTGAATTTGATTATTCGATTTTTCAAAGGGAAAATTCGTTTCAATAACTGCATTGTCAGTTGTTTCTTCAAAATTCCCCTCAATTGTCTGATCGAATAATGAGCCATTATTAAAATTTGTTAATTCTGTTTGTACTTCGGTGACATTCTCATTGAATTGAGGATCAATGTCAAATTGTAAATTTTCATTAGTCTCGCACAGCAAGTCATTTCTTTCTTCAATTTGAAATTCGGAAATTATTTTTTCACTTGCGAGAAATTCCACCGATTGATCGCATTGTTCTTGGGAATTAAATTCATTAACATTCGATGTTGTTGGTTGAGAGAAATTCACGTCACAATTTGCAATCCTCGTGTCGAGATGAGAAATAAATGACTCCTCCTGCGGATCGTCCAGATATAAACAATCCTCACCAAATGGATCCGCATCCTTTGAACTTTGTCTCGAAAGTTTTGCTTTCTCACTCGTCCCATTGAATACTGCGAAAAAGAAATTCACTTTAGAAAAAATTTTATCAAACAAAATATTTCCTAAAAATAAAAATTTCAGTAAAAAAAAAAAAATTCACATCTAAATTTTTATCCACTTTTATAAAGACCAGTCCTTTAGAAATTACTTCAGTCTTTATATATGATTAAAAATTAAATCAGTTTCGATATCATCTATAGCGGTAATTAAATTACAACCCGGAGTTAATGATGTTACTTTCAATTGCCTTGACCTAGCGCGTTTTCTATTTATGAAATATTCTGGTACGTCGAAAAAAATTTCGAGAATTCAGTGGAAAAAAGTCATGAAAAAAAAGAAGAAACAAATTACATTCTCTTTTTATATATTTATAGACAGAGATATCTATATAATGCATTCGCGTGAGTTATGATAAAGATGCAATTCACGATGATCGATAGATAAAAGGCAAGTAGGACAAGATTTTTTTTTCATGTATAGTATTCTTTCAATGATTCAATGAAACTTTCTTATATATTTTACATTGATTTGTCAATATTATTATTTCGTGAATTTCACAATACTCGCTATAAACAAATCATTATCTTTTGTATATTGCTATTTTTTTATGAAACAAAAAAGTTGGTAATAAAATATTGAAATCACCTTCCGGACTTTGTTATTGCTTTTTTTTCCAGTTTCAAAAATAAATTCTAATTTTAATTCCATTCGCTTAAATCTCAAATAAGAATTTTTTTCTTCTCTTTACTCTCTGAGTTATTTTTTTTTATTTTCGATTTTTGAAATATTTAAAATTCTGTAATTAATTCTTAAAAAAAAAATTTGCAATATTTTATAATTGTCACTGAAAAAAAAAATTTTCTTTCAAAATAAAAATTCGTTGTATAGTTAAAAAACATTGAGAGAGAAAGAGACAATTTTTTCTTTTATTAGTCACAATTTGAAAAATTTGAATTTAAAATTAATTTTGAAACAAATTCAAATTGAAATGCAAAAGTTGGATGGAAAATGTTTCTCTTTTATTTAAAATATCATCTGTTTTGAGACGGTGTATCTATCTAATAATTGCAATATTATTCACTGCATATTTGCATAATTAACAAATATATCATGCATTTAAGAAAGTAATTAGATTAATAGACTTGTCGTTCAATAATGAATTGAAAATGATAGTGATGTAATTAAATAAACAAAGAATTTGAAGGACATCCCTCAGGGGTCAATGACCTAAAAATGTCACACTATTGTACTTTACAATTCACACATTTTTCTCCAACTTTAAAAAAAACAAATTTCAACGAATTAATTTATCGATAATTTTTCTAATATTGAAAAATGCACTGTAGTTTTAATAATAATAATAATAATAATAATAATAATAATAATAATAATAATAATAATAATAATAATAATAATAATAATAATAATAAAATAATAATAATTACAGGGAATTTTTTATAGCAAAAAAAATAAAAATACTAAATTATATTAAAATTTAATAATAAAATAATTGTTTCTAATAATCTATTTATTTAGATTCATAACTAAATAAATATTATAATTGACATTATAAATAAATAAATAATTAAATAAATAATGTTTTATAATTATTTTGTTATTATTTGAGAATTTCAATGAAATTTCAATACGTAAAATAATGTTTAAAAATATTTTTTTGCGTCTCCATGGCAATAAAAATTGATAAAACATAAATAGAGATAATTTATACTTGAGCGAGCAGTTTTAGAAGTGTTTAAAGAGTAAATATCAAATAAAGAAAGAAAGTTTGAATGCAAAAAAAGACACCGGAATTATTTATGTAACTTTAAATATGTAAAAAAAGAAGAATATAATCTTTGTAAATTTAATAATACATGCAATTAGAAAGTTAATAGATAATAAATTGCGTCACACGAGACATAAAATTAAGAGAGAAAAAAAAAACACAAGAAAATTGTTAAGAAGTAAAAAAAAGTATTTAAATTTAAAAATAAAATTGAAATTTCTCCCGGTGGGAAGAAATTATTTATACAGGGCTCGAACCAGTGAAAGTATTTAAAAATACGGACTTCACGGACAAAAAATGAAAAATTACAGACCATTTAACTAAAATTTTTCTTTAAATCGATTATTTTTAATGATTTTCGTAAAAGTTCTTTGATAATTTTCAAATCCATTTGTTTACAATCAAACTTTTTCAAAAAGAGTAATTTCAAAATTCAATTATTTTTAAAAATTCACGTTATATTGCTTTTAATGTTCAATTATTATCTAAAATTATAACTGAAAATTATTTTTTAAATCAACTTTTTTTAGAAAATTCTACTAGAATTCAATTATTGAAATACAAAAATAAATATATAATTTATTAAATAATTGAATGTTTCTTAAAATTTAATTCCCATAAAGAATCGTTATCAACAAATTATTTCAAATAATTGAATTCTATCAACGAATTTTAAGAAAATTTTTAAGAATAATTACATTACATTTTATTAGAAAATAAAAACTTTAAATAATTTTTTTAAAAAATCCGAAATTAAAGTTTCTAAAAAAAAATAAATTCCACAGAATTGTTAGTTAAAAATATGAAAAATTCAAATTTTCAAAGATTTTAATGTAGAATCTTTTCAAAATTCAATTATTTCTAAAAATTCACGCTCTATATTGCTTTCAATTTATAATAATAATAAGTTATTATTTTTTTGAAAATAATTAAAAGTTTGTGTAGAATTTTATTAAATTCTTTTTGTAAATAATTGAATACTTTTGGTAAATTTTATGAAAATAGTAGATATTGAAAATCATTGAATTAAAGGAAAATGTTTGGAAAATAATTAAAATTTTGCCAAAAATTTTATTAAAATTTTTGAAAATAATTTAAATTTTGCCAAAAATTCTATTAAAATTTTTGAAAATAATTGAAATTTTGCCAAGAATTTTATTAATTAATTTAATTAATTTAATTAATTTAATTATTTCTAAAGATAATTGAAATTTTGACGAGAATTTAAAAAAATTTTAATATAATTGAATTTTTGCGAAGAATTTTATTAATTTTGAAAATAATTGAATTTCTACGAAGAATTTAATTATTTCTAAAGATAATTGAAATTTTGACGAGAATTTAAAAAAAATTTTCAACATAATTAAATTTTTACGAAGAATTTTATTACTTTTTAAAATAATTGAATTTCTGCAATAATTTATAATTCCTCTAAAATTTTCCAAATTATATCGTACAATTTACGAACTTTTCATTCTGTTTGATTCAAATTATGGACTTTACGGACCTTTTTTAAAAAAAATGGACTTTTACGAACTTCAAGCAAAGTTACGGACTTTTATGTAATTTCCGGACCCAGTTCGAGCCCTGCTTATATTATTAAATGCAATGAACTCTTAAACGGAAACAAAAATTCCAATTGATAAGACAAGAAAAATTGATAATTGATAACGAAAAAAAAAGATTCAATTGTATTTTCTTTTTTTTTTTTGTATTGAAAATGTTTACCAGTATTATCCTGTTCGTTTCCCGTGACATTTGTTTCAGTCCTTAATGTTGTATCCAAATCAACACGACCAATGACTTTAAAGTCATTAAACGTTAAATCGAGTTCAGGTGGACCGTGCCTGAGTTCGGGAATACCTTTCTGTGATGTTGATGGATCATCAGAAACAACAGATTGCGGTGAAAAATTATCCTCCCAAAAATTAATACTATCCTCCTCGGTGAATGACGATAATGTTTGTTTCAATTTATCCACCGTCTTGGATATTTTCTGCTGTCGTTCCTCCTCTGAACCCAAATGCGGTTCTTGATAATCATCGAAGAAATTTCTCTTCTCACCGTCGCGAATATACCTTTGTTGTTGTTGTTGCTGCTGCTGCTGATGCATATGTTGTTGCTGTAATTGTTGCTGTTGTCTTGGATCGCGATTAATTCGATCGGAATCTCTAATCGGTCCCCGACCACCTCTTGGACATGGAAATCTCGATGGTCGAAATCCATGAAAATTTCCCGGTCCATTATTATAATAATGTCTTTGGTGTCCTGGATTATGTCCCGGATATTGTGGTCCATTACCAGAATGTCGATTGAATCGATTTTCGGAATTATCACGCCAACCATCCTGTCCACCACCAGCACCTGGTGATCGACCCTGTCGTCGTTGTGGTCCAAAATTTAAATTTGAATTGAAATTTTGATGATTTGGATTTGGTCGACGATTTTGATTAAAATTTGGATGGGGAGCATTAAAACCACCGTGTGGTTTTTGTGGACGATTACTTCGCGGTCCGAAGCCTCTTCCTCGAAAACCACTGTTACTCATCACACTCTGTTCAATGCACAGTTGTCCCTAACCTGAGCCTCATCGAACTACATTAAGGGATGCTTTTTAGGACCTCCCTTCTGAAAAAACAAAATTTACAAATCACAATCACAATTCAATCTTTTCTTTATGATGTAAACATTTAATACAAAAACAATTACTCTATCCAACGAAAAAAAGAACAACCTCCGGAAATCGAAGTGAATTTCTAAAAAAAAAAAAAATAATTTAAACACTGAGTAAACAAAAGAAAAGAATAAAATTCCCTTAAAATGAAAGGAAAAAAATAGTTAATTCTAGAACGGTATTCCCACACTTGTTAACTACATGTCTTACAGTCTGTCATGTTTTTTTTTCTCCTTTTAACCCTGTTTTGTCCCGGAGGAAGGCCTCGTAAAAACTCTCGGCCTCAATTTCCCAATTTGAATAATAAAACAAATCCAATTATCATTCTCGCGTATTTGTCACAAATGCTAAAAATGATATGAATAAAAAGGTACACGGACGCACCTTGACTAAAACGATAAAATACGTTTTTACTGCGCAAAACGAACGTGTTTTCACGAGCAGATCGCCATATTGCGTGAGCACTGTTATCATTATTGTCCGCTGTTATTTTGGAGCAGCTCGGAAGCAAATTTTGTTGCTAGGAATTTGTTTAGAAAAAAAGAAAAAAAAAAATAATTTGACAACAATTTACGAAAATCACACCAATTATAACAAATTCATACCAAAATGTTGAATATATATTATATTACTTACTGAAATTTGTAAATCTATATCCAATAAGCCGCGTGATAATCCAATCAACATTTTTTTCAACACTATAAACAATCGAATCACCTTTTTTTTTCTTTAGTAATATTTTTCTTATTTTCTTCTATATTTGTGTTATAACTATATATACATACACGGAAAAATGTTTGGGACAGTATCTGTACCTTTTGGTGAATCGGTTATCCTTGTCTAAAAATTTTACTATTCAATTCACTTCACACTTATTATTTCCTATTGTTTTTATATGAAGTGAAGTTAATTGTTGGATAAATTTTTTGAAAGGTATAGCATGTGCACCTTACATTTTTCCGTGTATTATTTCACTAAAAAAATATTAACCTAATATACAACAAAAATCAGAACATCACAGAGGTTAGCTTGTTACTTTCATTTCAATTTATAAATCACACGCCAATACAACACACGATGCCGTATTACCCGAAAAATATAATGTTTTCAATTATTTACAAAATGAAAAAATCAGCCGTTTATAATATTTAAGAATCGATTGAATAATTATTATTTTCGCACATGTGATCAATCTCGGCCTGTTGGTAGCGTAACTGTTGTTAGGGATGCATCACAATATTCATGCATCACTCTTCGCCAATCAACGGGGAGTTTCTGTCTGTTCACGTTTCTGATTGGTCGGTGGAAAAGTGCAACGATCTGTGCACCAATAACAGACGAGCTTGTCTATTCCTCGATCATGATTGGTGTGCACAACGACATCTGTTTCCGGTTTCATATTCAAAATGTACTTTTTCGTTGTTTACAAGTTTTACAAAGTTTACAAAGATTATAAATAAAATTGTTTGTAAATAAAATGAAATAAAAAGTAACGTTTCGGTTATTTTGGTACAATTGAGTAGTAGTAATCAAGTAATTTCTTTTAGTTCGGATATTGTTTAATTCGAATTTACTTTCATTCGACTACGTGAGTCAAGTAGTGTTGAACGTACAATGACGACTTCCGGTTGTCAGACGAACGTTGCGTGTTGAGCCGCGAGAATCTCTTTGGACTCAGTGTTTTATTGTTTTTCGTGACAGTGAATTTGTTTGGAATTCGACATTTAGTGGTTTGGGAAAAAATACCGGTGAGTAACGAATGTTTACAATAAATTCTCATGCTAAACATGAATTAGTAATGTGGGAAACAATCATTAAAATTCACATGTTAAAATGGTTGGTGGTTGGCTGTCATTGCAGCATACCTATCGATTTTTTAACCTCGCAACACTTGTTTTCTTCTTTTTTTCACTTTTTCCACACACACTTTTTTATAACAATTCACTTTTCCATTTTTCCATTTTCATATTTCACTTGCTTGACATTTTTCTGTTACACGCCCACTTGTTCACTTATTAATTTTTTATCACTTCTCGTTCTACCGATAACAGTTTTAAAATTAAAACAAAATTTTTGTCTTATCATTGTTGAATTTTGTTTACGCCTTCATTGCATTCATAAACATTGGAAAATTTTTTTTGTCTTATTCTTTCAATAAAATAAGTGTTTGAAAAAATTGTAGAAATTACGAGAATAAATATAAAAGGAAGAGAAATTTTTGTTTTGGAAATTATTTTTTAGTAAATTTCACTTTTAGGGAAAATTTTCATTTTTTTAAAATTCATTTTAAAATTAATTTGACATTTGCAAAATTAATGATAACTCACAATATTGATAAAAATCAATGTCGTAAAGATCCTCGAACCATGCCGTTATTGGAGATTGAACGGACATTTCACGTTTAGTGCAAGTTACATCGCGTGACTGAAAGTAAACGAGCGTGTTTGATATTCTCGTATACACACGCTTTTTTTTTGATAATATAATCAGTTTGATTATAAGGAGTTTTGGGAGCGCCCTGGAAAATAATTTAAATTTAGTTTTAAAAAAATGTATGATTAAAGTGATAAAAGGAGGAAAAGAAAATTTACATTGACATTAATTTCAAGAGTAAAAATTAATTTTATTTCTCTTAATAGCACTTGATTAACAGACCTTAAAGAGAAAGTTAATTGTTTCTTGTATAATATGTCGATATACGTATATATTTATTCCATTTTTATCACTGGAAGAAAAAAATAGTTTTCGAGAATAGAACATTCCAAAATAATGGTCTTTTTTATTTTTTTTATTAAATTGCATATTACGTTATAATTATATATTATACTGGATTATATATAATATTAAGATTATTTATTACCTATTATAATATTATTATTATTATTTTATTATAATTATTATTATTTATTATTACTATTATTATTATATTACTAGCAAATATTAAGCGCGGAACGAGATATTTCATTTATTATTGTTATGCAAATTGCAAAATGTTTTATTTTCAAATATAAATTTTTAAAATAATTTCATAATCAAAATTTCAAAAATTTACTTATTAAGTACAAAATTAATTATTACTATTCATATTTTCTAAAATTTTAATAAATACTTCTAAACAATTCAATTATTTTTTTAAATAGTAAAATCTTTACAAAAATTCAATTATTTTCAAAACAATTTTAATTAAATTTTTCGGAAGAATTTAAATTTTTAAATATTAATATAAAATTCATTTATCTTCTAAAATTTTAATAAATTCTTCGAAAAAATTCAATTATTTTTATAAATAGTAAAATTCTTCACAAGAATTCAATTATTTTATAAATAGTAAAATTTTTCGCAAGAATTTAATTATTTTCAATTCAATTTTAATTAAATTCTTCATAAAAATCAATTGCTTTCAAAATTTTCAATTAAAATTATTAATAAAACTCCATCAGTTAAAAAAAATTCATAATAATTAATAATAATAAAATAATAATAATAATAAAAAATTAAATAATAATTAAGAAATTCTTCAAAAGAATTTAATTCGGATTTTGAAAAATTTTAATAAAATTCTTCTCGAGAATTCAGTTATTTTCCTAAATAATGAAATTCTTTGAAGGAGCTCATTATCAAATTTTTTGATAAAATTCTTTGCAACAATTCGATGATTTTCAATGCATTAATTTAAAAATTGAAAATATTTGAAAAGAGAAATTTTAATTTTAATTTTAATTTTAATTTTAATTTTAATTTTAATTTTAATTTTAATTTTAATTTTAATTTTAATTTTAATTTTAATTTTAATTTTGAATAATCAAAATTATTCAAAAAATTAGTTTTTTTAAAATTATACGAAAATTCTTTTAAGTAATTCAATTCTTTTCCAAAAATTACATTACAATATTTAAAAAAAAAACTTTTTCTTGTAATTTTTTTATCTTAATTTTTTAAAGATTCAATTAACTTCGAACAAAGTAAATTAAATTTTTTAAAAATTTACTTTTTTAGATTTATTAAAGTTTTTGTCGAAATCACGTTTATACCGTATTAATAATTAAAATTCTTGAGAAATTCAATTATTTTTTTAATACAATTTACCAAATTTCAATTGTTTGTAAATTTTTCAATGGTATATAAATGAAAAACTATTATCTTTCTTCAATTATTTTAAAAATATTTTTAAAAAATTAATTTTAAGAATTTTCCATATTATAATTTTTTTGAAAATTAATTAATAACTTAAAAAACATGGACAGTTACAATTATTATAAGAAACTGAATTTTTTTAAATTCAGTATTTAAATAATTTTTGTAACAACACTGAATTAAATAAACGATTTTTTTCTATTTTAAATAGATTTTTTTGCGCCTTAAAGTCGATCCGAGGCCTGTGTAATTTATTTTTTTTTTTTATGAAAATTACTTGATTTTGTTTGATGGAATTTTTTTGTTTTTTTTTACAGAGGGATAAAAGTTTTTCTTATCGGAAGTTATGCATACAAAAATAGACATGAAAGGCATTTAAACTGTGCGAAGAAGATAAAGAGGCTCCATTGTATTAGAATTACGGAATTCGGTGAATTGATTGCAATATTCTACTTTTTAATTACGCCATTATCGTTCATATTACGCCACAGGAATTAACATTGACCTGCTCGCAATTTTATATGTATATAGAGCAAATTTTATATTCAAGATCAAAATTCTTTCAATTCGGAGTATTTTTAAAAAAAAGATGAATAAGAAGAAAATTTTAGGTATGTTTTTTCGAAAAATAATACACAAAAAATGGAAATTTTATACTGGAGAAAATTTACTTTTATGAAAACTAATCAGAATAGTTTTTTTTCTTTTTTTAGGCAGAATTTCGTCTTTCTTTAGCTGGGAAAATTTCATTTTTTTTCCAATTCTAGTCTTTTCTTTTGATTCTAGTCTCTTTTTTTTGCAGCTCTCTTTCTCTTTTACACTTGGGAGTTTGATTAATGATTGGAATCTAAAGTAAAAGGCATAAAATCAATAAAAGGCCATTGTGTTTGCAGCCTTTCACAAAGAGCGTTTATACAACCTTGCAAAACGAGTGATGAAACACCCGGAGCCCACTTTTCTCCCAACAGAGAGAGATATACACTTGAGGTGACCTGTAGTGTGCTGCGCCGACCTTGGTCATGGTCACGCAGGTCGCTGGCACACAGTGTCTGCTTTTCTAATGTCAGAGAATTGTCACGATTTATTCTTTTCTGCAGTAAATTAACGGCGAGGGAGAAAATAAGAGAAAAAGGGGGAAACGATTAGGAATATTGCACGTAGTTACTATTTCTTTGTATTTTTAGTTTTTTTTTTTCTATTTTAGTGTCTAACGGTATAGACTCGTTATTTCGGACTTTTTCTAAAATTTTACAAATTTTAATTAATTAATAATTAATAATAATTAATTTATTATTTAATTAATTTTACAAATTTCTGAAAAATTTAGAAAAAAAGAAAAATTACATAATACCGTATTGTCAATTGATAATTTTAATTTGTGATCTTCGTTATCATTTTCAATCGATTTCGCAAAATTTTTGCATTCTCTTCATGGCATTTTTTCGTCACTTTTTCTCAACTTCTCTCACTGAAGTTGATAAACTTCAGATGAAATAATTGTGCCTGAAGTTCGTAGCGTTTTTTCATCGCTTCTTGTTCGCTTCTTGTTCATCTATTAATGTTCGATTTAAATAGTTAAATTCAATTATTCACTTAGAATGACCAATCACTAGAAAAATAGAAAAGAATTTCAATTTTCATGTTTGACAATTTCCCGAGTAAATGAATACAGACTTCGCACTGAATAATTAATTTTAAAACAGTAGCAAAAAATAGCTTTCAAACTAAAAAAAGTAGTTATCGAATAATTGAACTTGACGACCAAAAAAACTCGTTTTAGATACTTCACAAAATTGAAAAAAATTCTATTCAATATTTTATTTTCCTGACTTTTTCCTAATTTTCATGAAAAATATTTACTTCTATTTAATTCTAGCGAAGAATTTTATAAAAAATTTTAAATAATTGATTACTTTCGACTAATTTTATACAAATTCTAATTTAAGTAATTGAATTCCAGCGAGAAATTTTTATTATTCACAAAAAAAATTAAATTCTTACAAAGATTTTTACACAAATTTTTTTAAATAATTGAATTCTGTTTGGAAATTTTATATAATAGTAAATATTGAAAAAATTAAATTGCGAAAAATTTTTTAAAATAATTAAATTTTACAAAGAATTCTATTAAAATTTTTGACAAAAATTAAATCTCTGTGTGGTATTTTATTAAATTTTTTTGAAAATTATTGAATTCCTAAAAATCATTGTATTTTTTATAAAAATAATTGAATTGTTGTGAACGATTTTTTTTTGAATTTTTAAAAATAATTTAATTTCCAAGACAAAAATTTATTACTTTTAAAAATAATTTAATTTTGCAAAGAATTTAATTAAAATGCCTCAAAATAATTGAATTTTCGTGAAAAATTTTGTTATTTATCGACATAATTGAATTCTTTCCAAGAATTGTTAATGTAAATAATTGAATTCTTAAAAAGAATTATATTAAAATTTAAAAGAATAATTAAATTATGTGAAAACAATTTAATAAAAATTGTATTTAAAATAATTGAATTGTTTTCAACAATTTTCTTAAAATATTTGAAAATAATTGAATTCCTCTGAAAAATTCTAATATTTTTGTAATTAAAATTGTAATTATAATTGTATT